GACTGCGTAGTCCCAGGAGCTGGTCTTCCACGTCGATGATCTCGGCCGTGAGGGGGTCATCGAGGTGCATTCGGCGACCGTAGCATAGCGTCATCATCAGGCTAAGCCCCAACCTCGAGATGAACATGTACAAGTCGACCGGGACTCGGCCAGCGCCACAGTTCGCGACGAGATCCCGTATCAAATGGCGTGACTCTCTGTCGATGTTGCCCAGATGTGTTTTGAGGGCAGGCTTGCTTCCTTCCGAAGCGATCTCCTTGCGGGTATGTTTCAGGCTGCTGTTGAGCTTTGAGGCGCCAACCGTAGTCCCCAAATCCCTAGATACGATCTTCGTTTTGTTTCAGCGGTCTGCTCCCAAGCGATTTCAGGTAGCGGGGGGTCCTACAGTATGGAACGTATAGAAGGAGGGCCTCGAGGCCACGGCTTGCGAGTTTCGCCCAAGAATCTCCTTTGCAGCAGCCGCGGAATTAATGACCAGAGCAGGCGTGTAGCCAAGATGAATCCTGAACACATCTCCATACTTTGCTGCCCACTCCAAGTATCGAGTTTCTGTGCGCTTGCGGTAGATTGAGAGAAAGTTTCCGAAAAAGGGCCAGCCATATGGCCCCGGGAACTGCTTCAGAGGGGACGCATGGGAGGGAGATGCTCAGTAGAAAATCAAGCACAGTAAGGGACATAGCAGGATAAAGGGCAGGCCTAAAGGACTTCCTCTGGAACCAAGAGTGAGAATCCGAGCCTGAATTCCGGATACGGTCGTAGAGACCAGAGGCATCTTGCTCTTCGATGCTTTTGAGTCACCTGGATGCGATAGTATGTGGAGAAGTGACAGAACTCGCTGCACTTGTGGTGAGCTTGACGGTGCAAAACGGGAGATCTATCTATTGCTTTATATAATGCCACTCTCCTTCCAAACTTTGGTGTGGCTTTGAGGGCAGTCGCGAAGCCTTCACATGCCATAGATGTCGGCCAGACTGTTGGACCGTGACTTCACCGATTCAGACGCTTGGCAGCATGCCCACCTCAAGAGCAGTGAGTAATAGAGTTGTCGCATGCATACTTCGCGACTGCCCTTGGGAAATTGTTGCTTGCAGACATGGACCGAGCGGAGGCTCTCATGGAACGAGTGCTTTCGATTACACGAATCCCTTTTTCACTCGCCCGCTGGCTGCAGGGCGTAGCTGCATGCAGGACATAAGGTCCAGAACTGCCTGTTGGCGCGGGCTGCATTGCCAAGCGAACGGTTCTTTGCAAGCCCTATTATCCCATGTAACGCAACAGACCGTACTTCATGGCGTCTCCTGCATATACGTGCAACTGGTTACCACATCAGCACAACGTCGCTCACAGTGGACTTAGCGCGCGCGGGGTCATCATCACCTTCAGAGCCGGAACACGGCCCGGTTGCCTTGGGTTCACATGGGTCGAACTGGTGCGATTGGGGGGTAGGTGCTGCCCCGACAACGCGAAGCCTGCCGTCAAGGCACGGCAACATGAAGCGGCGTTGCATCCAACAGGATCGCCGACGCAAACCTTGTATCGAGGGCAAGCGACGCTGGGTGCGACCATCCGGTTTGACGTTGCCGTGGACAATGACAACCTTGGCGGGCATGTGATCATGATCTTGAGCACAGCTTCTCGCAATACGCAGATTTGGGTACATTCTACAGTCAAATCCCCAACACCCACCAGAGGTGTCCTGTGCTATCGTGTCAGAATTTGATTCGGTCAAGTTAAAGTAACGGTTCCCAAATAATGTGCTTTCGCCGACAGGGGCCGCCTAATAGGAGCGGGGATGAGTGGGAGCCGAGGGGAGGCTACAAACCCCAGTCCCCCGTATTGCAGGCCCGGTCTCATGACTGTCCTTACCGTGATGGGTTCATGGGGATCCACTCTGAAGAACGGCTGGCGTCCTACAGACCTAGGCGCGGGCGCTGAGATACACAAGCCCATTATAGCTTTCAGCTTTCATATACTTTCAGCCGCCCTTCAACCTGGGCCGAACTTGATGGCTCGAAGGAAGCAGTTTCGAGCTCATTGGGCGATGTACTGCAACTGTGACGACATACCGCCAGTCTCTTTGGCCTCTAACAAGGATGTCGTAAACAGTCAGGAACGGAGTTGGAAGGCTATAGCGAGAGCAGTAGCAAGATCCCACGCCGCCTGAGGCATGCCGAATACCATCTCATGGCACAGAGCAGCTTGGAGTCGGCACGTGGCGTGGTGCGATAGCTGGCTGGCCGTCCCATCAGTCTGCCCTAGACCACCTTGTCACGGCTCAATGCTGGTTGAGATGACAAGAACATAACAGCTCAACTCACGGCCTATCATATGGCCATCTCATCTATCGAGCTGCTCCTCACGCCAGTTCAAGTCCGTCTACCGTGTCGTTCATCTCATGCCATGTGTCTGTCTGCGAGGTTATCGATCCCGTCCGCTATGTATCATTACTCGCTACGTAGTTGTGTAATGAGTCCCCTTGACCAGTGTATCGCGAGCAGCGCAACTCGGCTGCCTCCTCCGTCCAAACCAAACCAGCTCAATATCCAAAGTCCTCCCACGCCGTCTTCTCACCCTCCAACCACTCCTCCAACCTCCGCCGCAGCCCCGGTCCCGCGCAGAGGTAAAACGTCCTACTTCCGCCCTTGAGCGCCGCCACGTCACCCTCGCTCACCCGCCGCGTCTCCACGCCCGCCGTCTCCCCTCGTAGCTTTGCCAGCGCGCCCTCGTCCGCCTCGGCCGCGGGCCCCGTCACAAACAGCGTCGTCGCGCCCGCCAGACCCGGTACATCGGCAAACGCCCGCGCCGCCAGCCCGAGGTCCTCGCCGCGCAGTGTCCATAGCACGCGCAGCCGTCGAGGACCCCCTGCCAGCACCTCGCGTGCTTGCGCAAGCAGCGGCGTCACGCCCACGCCTCCGGCCACGTAGACGGCCTCATGAGGTTCGACACCATCTTTGCCTGCCTCGGTGGCCGTCGTTGTCGGCAGCCTGAACGCAGCCTCGCCGCCGAAGCCCAGCACGCGCAGCTCCAACGGCGCCCGCAGGTTCTGCCGCCACAACAGCCCCGTCGCCGGCCCGTGACGCCTTGCCGTGATCTCGAGGCGCCCCTTGGCCGGCTCGCTCGACACGGTAAAGGTGCGCGTAAAGTCGTCGTTGATGCTCTGTGGGTCGTCGTCTCGCATGTGCGAGTACCCCGAGTACAACTCTGGCGCAAAGTCGAACGTGACGTGCTGGCCCGCCTGCCACGAAGGGGCCTCGTCCTCCGATCTGCCTCCGCTCGAGGACAGCTCAAACGTGAAGCGCGCAACGCTCGGCGTCAGCACTTCCCGGCCCACCAGGCTGGCCGTCAGCGTGGACTGCGGCTGCGCGACGGGCGGCGACTTCTCCGACAAAAGGTGCCGTAGCGGCGGGTTGTACGGGGAGGGCTCGCCCGCGGCGCCACGGAACGGCAGCCCGCCCTTGACGAGGCGAGCGTCGGTGACGGAGATGCTGACGGCGAGGTTGGTCCGCGCGAGGAGTGACGACGCCGCCTCCCCGATGAGCACCGACGCCGTGCCTGTCACGTACAGCACGTCGGCCGTGTCGAAGTCCGGGAACGCGATGCCGATGCGCGGGTCGACCTTGAGGTTGCCCAGCGACTGGTATAGCCTGTTTCCCGAGTCTTCGCCGTTTTCTCCTTGTCAGCGTCTACTACTACCTAATGCTTCGTCGCGGGGGAGGACCAAGGGGGCCCGGGGGAACTCACATTCTGGGTACGCAAGCGTCACGCCGTCGGCGTCGTTGCGCACCACCCGCACGAAGCCCGGCACGCCGCCGCGGTGGTTCGTGTCCATGGTGTCGCCAGTCGTGGTCGACAAGAAGAACATGTCTGCGCGCGCCACCAGCGCGAGCGCCTCGTCCGTCAGCGGCAGGCCCTCGCCCGCAAGCCGGGCGCCCCGGGGCGAGCGCCGCGTCACGGCCTTTTTGTTGAGGTACTTGGGGCAGTTACCGATGCTCTCGGTGATGAGCACCGCGGCCTGCAGGTCGGCGGCCCCGTCGTTGTCGTCCTCTTGGGGGCTCCGCACGGGGCCTCCGTCTGCTGCTGATAATGATGATCCAGCCGTCGCTCCGTCCGCCTCGGCATCGCCATCACCACCAGCATCATTATGGTGTCCGTGACCATGGCCGCCCATCTCGGCAGACCCAGCCACTACCAGCCCCGCCAGCTTCATGCGGTCGCGCGACTCCAGGTCAATGGCCAGCGCGCTCACCAGCTTGCCCTGCCCGTCGCCCGGCTGCACGACGCCTCCCTTCTCGCGCGCGTCCCCCCACAGCGCCGCGTACACGGGATCGTGCCGGGCGTCGACCTCGGTGCTGATTCCCAGCACGCCGGGTGCGATGGGCGCCGAGAGCCCCCGCGCGCCGCCCCAGACCGTCGTCCACGGCCGGCCCGCGTCGTCGAGCGTCCCCACCGCGACCAGCGCCGACGCCTCCACCCGCGCGGCGTACGGGCCCGGCAGCCCGACCGCCGTCGGGTTCTCTCCGGCCGGGATGTGCATCACCTCCCGCATGCTCGCCTCCCCTGGGTGAAACGTCTCCAGCCGGCCCGGCATCCTGTAGTAGTTGCTGTAGTGGTTGCTGCTGTAGTTGCTGCTAAACACTTGCGTTGCCAGTAGGTGCTGCACCAGCGGTATGCCCCCGAGGCTGCCGGCGAGCATGGCGTGCCGTCGCGCTTATGTAGGTTCTGCGCGCCTCATGTATTCAGGTCAGGGCTGGGTGAGTGAGCGGACGGATAAAGTCGCCCTTGGCTTGACATCCGGCGCAGTTTACAAATCAGCAGCCAGCCAGCAAGCACGCCAGCCAGCCGCCCGAGCATCCGCGCTAGCGCCACAGCATCGCGCCATCACGGGGGGACGGGAATCACAGCCGCTCGAGTGCGGCGCGTACGTAGCAACAAAGGTAAATTGCGGTCCATCACTGGATGGGTATCGAATGTACATGCATAACACAACTCGCTGGCCAACGCTAGAACCTGTACCCTCCATCGTATCCGTACGCCCGCTGATTCGGCGGCATGCCCTGTCCTGCCTGCCCCGGCGGCGGCCCTCGCATGCTCTGCGACGTCCCTGTCCTCGCCGGCGGCTCAAAGTCGCCTGGCCGCACGGGCGCCGTCATGTTCCTCTGCGGGTGCGGGGGCGGCCCGCGCTGCGGCACCTGGCCCGTCAGGCTCCTCATGGGCTGCTGCGGCGGGCCCATTGGCGTGGGTATCGAGGTGGACGCAGGCGTTCCTGTGCGATACGTGGTGGGCGCCGGGGAAGCGCGGCCGTCATATGCGTCGTAGGTCCGAGCGTCTGGACTGTAGGCATCGTAAGAACGCGCGGGCGGGTTGCCGTACGCATTCATGGAATGTGACGTGGGCGTCCTGGTTGGGCCGTACGGCGGCATGCCCGCGTCCATTGGCGCGGGGGTCGCGGTAAAGTTGCGGATCGAGCCCGAGCTCCCCGACGGCCCGTAACCCGGACGGTAGCTGCGCTGCGAGTTGGCCGTGGCCGTGCGCGGAGGCGGGACGGAGCTAAAGTCTAGGTCGGGCAACCTGGGCTCCGGGGACGCGCGCCCGTAGCCCATGTCGGCGGCGCCGCCGATGAGCGGTGCCCTCGACGAGTACGAGCCCGCGGTGCCGGAGCGAGAGGGTATCGGCCGCTTCTGGTCCATGGCCGTGAGCTCGAAGCTGTTGGGCGTGCCCGGGCGCGATGTGTAGGCCGGCAGCGTGGTGGTAGTCTCGTTGCGGTTGAGCATGGGCATCTGCGGCAGGGCATCCTCCTTTCCGAGACCGACGTCAGGGAGCACGGGCAGGGTGGCGGCGCGGTCGAGGTGCGGCTTCTCGCCGTTGCGCATGGCCAGCGCGTCGGCCTTTTCGCGCTTAGCCTGGCTTTTGGCGAGCGCCTTGTTGACCTTTGTGGTGACGATGCTGGTGAGACGCTTGTTGACCTTGCGCTCGCAGTAGCCGGTGAGGCCACCGTCGTCGCGGGGGATCCAGTGGAAGAGGAAGAAGACGTAGAAGAGGACGGCGGACAAGAGGTAGAGGGCCGAAAAGACCCAGATGACGAGAGTGAAGCACATGCCCGACAGGATGACGGCCTGCTGGTAGTCCTCCTCGGCGAGCGACTTGATCTTGTCGAAGAAGCCCACGATGGAGCCCTCGACGCTGTCGGCCGTGGGCGTGAGCTTGGCCACGTACACTGAGCGCAGCGTCAGGGCGTTGACGACCTGGCGTGGGCCGGAGCACACGATGACGCGAATCCATGCTGTTGCTGTCAGTCTGTGGCTGAGCGAATGGCGCAGTCGAAAGAAGACTCACACTGGAAGCTAAAGTAGGTAAAGAGGGCAATATACTCGGCGCCCTTCTTGGACTTGGTCAACTCGGCGAAGACCAGGAAGCGCCGCCAGCCCTGGCCCTTGCCGAGGCGGATCGACTCCCAGCGCGCAGCGAGGCTGTCCATATAGCACTCGGCCACATTGCGGCGTCGCATGACGCGAAAGGCGCGGACGCCCTCGTAGGCGAGGTTGACAAAGGAGGCAATGATGCAGCCGGAAAAGATCCATTTGGAGACGTCGATGGGGATGGCGGGCTTGATCTTGGACGACCAGCGGTCAAACGCGAGCAGGTTGACGGCGGTGAAGCTATCGACGCCGTAGACGGCAATGGACAGGATGAGGGAGAACCACAAGTAGCCGTAGACGAAGCCGGGGCCGCAGCCCTTGGCCTTGAAGTCGGCCAGGTTGATGTAGTCCCATTTGTGATCGGTAAACTCCTGCCTCGTCTGCTTCCTGCTGTGGCTGAGGCAGCCCATGGTGACAGCGCCGGCGTGTCGTGGTGGTAAGTGTTGGAGAGTAGAGAGCGGTCCTGCCGTCACGCGTCGTCTCGCCTGCGAGTGACGGTGGTCAAGTGAGTGCGATCGAGGGAATCAATGTCAATGAGAGTGATGGCGATGGTGCTGGCGACGGGTCTACGTCTTTTGCATGGCGGAGAGGTCAACGGGAGCGTCGTCCGACGATTGGTACGCCAATGCAGCTGCGAAACGGTCGCAGACACGGGGTCGGCGGCCGGAGGAGCTCGACGCTGTGTGATCTCCTGCAGGGAGACGGAGTCGTCGCGGCCGTCCGTGTATGTGCTACGTCGAACGCGCTCGCGGGTGGCGGGGGGCGATTCAAAGAGCGGCTTGCGGGAGCTGGAATGAGCGTGGGATGAAAACGGAAACGCGATGGCGAAGGCCCGACAATGTCGACAATGGCGATTGTGCCACCCGACCGACAGTACGTAGCAGCGAGGGATGGTTGAGGGGGCTGGCGGGAGATGGAATGATGTCCCCATCAATCTGCCTGTCATGCTGTCTGGAGGCCCCTGTCGCGCCGGCGCCAGCGATTGGGCTCCAGCGGAGGCCCCGCCCCTCCCGCCGAGCGCAGGGCAGGGAAGGGTTGGGGCAGGGGTCCGCGCTGGCTTCAGGGGTTCCCGCCCTTGATTGGCCGCGGCGGCACCGTCACCCGTGCCCTGCAGGGTCGCTGATGCCGGCTGTTCGTCTGGACGTGTTGGTTCTCGCCTTCGTTCTTATCCGGCCGAGCCGCCAGCGAAATTTCGCAATCGACGCGAGGCCAGCCGCGCGCTGACGATAGTAATGAAGATTCGCCCAAGAGGCCGCTGCGGCAATTTGCGGGCGTCTGTCAATCGCCAGTCGCACAACTAGACATCTTGAAACGCCCGCCAGCGATTGGCGCCGTGTGGATGCATCCACGAGCGGCCACCACCAAGCACCACCTCGCACGAGGTACCTGCCTTAGCGCCCTCCGTAAGCGCTACCAGCGGGTACCTTTGCGACCCCGGGCCCACCCCTCCGCATCGGCCCAGCGGCGGCCGCCACAGCTCCATCGACGTGAAACGCCTTGCACAGGAATGGCCACAGTCGACGTCGAGCCGTTTCCCGGTGTGGGCGTCCGAGCTCAGCGATGTCGTGCGGCCGAGTCCGGGGCAGTCGGCAGCCGCGACGACGCTCTGCTTTGTATGGCGAGTGGTTTCAGACGGTTACTCGACGGTTGCTTGGCGATTACCCAACGATGGTCGACATCTACGTGCTACAGCGCCGCTATTATCGGCGTCATGTTGAGGCGTGGTCGCATTGTGCCGCGCGGGTATGCGTTGACATCACTGGCTCGAGCATTGACCACGATGCACGACCGCTGCTTTGTCTTGAGCGAGATGCTCAATGTACGTCGAACAAAGGAGCCGACTGACCCTGCCACGTCCACACCAAATGAAAAGGACTCGTAGACGCCGGCAAGCTTCACGGCGCTTCCTCCTCGAGGTACAATCATCAGTCAGCATGTCAGAGTTTAAACTGGTCGAGGAGATTGACTCGGGCGTATGGTTGGCCTCGAGAGACGATACCGAGGGCCGCTTCCTTGCCCGTCGGGTCGCCGACTACCAGGACAACGACAACAAGGCTTCCGCCGCCCTCCTGGAGCTGCATCAGGACTCGCTCGCACGGGTGCTCAACCACGAAAACATCGTCTCGCTCGTCGGCCGCGCCAGGGAGCCCGAGGCGGGTGACTTCTTCGTGTGGGATTACTGCGACGGGGGGAGCCTCGACACGCTGCTCGGCTGGGTGCGGTGCGAGTCGACGGCCTACCATCTCCCCGAGGCTTTTTGCTGGCACGTCCTCCGCGCTCTCGTCCGGGCCGTGGCCTTTCTGCACGACGGCAAACGCCTCGAGGGCCGGCGCTGGACGGGGAACGCCGCCTGGAGCCCGATCCTGCACCGCGCCATCGAGCCGAACAACGTCTTCTTCCAGCAGCCGCGCGGCCACGAGGCGTACGGGCCGTGCAAATTGGGCGGCTTTAGCGATGCCACCGTGACCGGACACGTCCTGGGAGGGCCCGACACGTGGCCGTGCAGCATAGCCGCCACCATTCAGACTGGCTGGGAGCCGCTCGAGGAGACGCGAACCAAGATTGCGCGCGATCCGGGAAAGTGGAAGACTGTGAGCCAGCCCTCCCAGACCCTTCGAGCGGACAGCTGACTTTTTAGACGGAGCGGGCGTACACGCTGAGCGACGAGTTGTGGTCCATCGGAAGCGTCGTATTCACCCTGATGAGCGGCCAGCGACTTACCCTCACGTGCCAGTCGCAGGGCTGCGTCCACGTCGCCAAGTGCAGCGAGGGCGGTTGCCTGCGGGCGGCGGCAGAGTCCAAGGGCTGCCGATGCATGCTGGGCGGGTGCGAGCACGTCCCCAAGTCGCAAGCCTGCACGCACGGAGTGTCGGACTGGCAGTGCGGGAAGCAGAGGCGGTGCAAGGAGGCCGTCGTCAACATCGACTCGTGGCTAGCGCTCGCGAGGTACTCGTGCTGGCTGCGCGACGCGGTCAAGGCCTTGCTCGAGTTTGACCCCCAGAGCAAGCTGCTGACGGCGGAGGCGCTCCCGTTTGCCGAGCAGGTGGAGGAGGGATATCGGGCTTGGGAGGAGGCCACTGGTGCGAAGTAGTCGAGTTGACGCCGAGTGTGAGGGCGTTGATATGGAGGGATGGCTTCGTGCGCGGGGTGGGTGATGTAGTATGTAGGCGGACGCTAGTTGGCAATCGAATGACTTTATTTCAGAATGGCCGTGGCGATGGCAAGGGCCGGACACTGAGCAGCAGATGCCGCATCAATTGTGCACTGTCCATGTTGGCTGGCGCCTCGGCACTTTGGAGATGCAAGGTGGAGAGATCCGTGGCCGAACGCATCAAGGCTGACTGAGATGGGGATGCGTCGGTGGGGCGGCCCGCACCTACCAATTGCAGCGTGATTGGCGTGACCAGCGTCAATCACCGACCTCACCTCACCTCCCGCCGCCCTCGCCAACGTCACCGCCAGCGTCTTGTGCCCATCCCGCGCGCGGCCACGAACCTCTTGCGCCGTGCCACCTCTGGATTTATCGCTGCCGCCGCTGTCGCCGTCGACATCATCACCATCAGTAGCACAGCAGCAACGGCACTGACGCGGTCCGTCACGGGCTCCGCGAGCAGACCCGTCGGCACCATGGCCGCGAGCCCGACGCCCCCCCTCCTCCTTACCAAGCGCCTCAACGCCTTCCTCCACGCAAACACCACGTCGGCGCTGCCCACGCTGCTCCTCACCACCGCCCACGGCAAGCTCCTCGCCCACGCGAGCCCCCACCCCGTCGCCCTGCTGCGCACCCACGCAACCGTCGCAGCCTCCCTCCTCGCCATCCACACCTCCTCCTCCGTCGACCTGCCCTCGGCGCTGCCCGGCGCGCGCACTCCCGACCCCGTCGCAAGCTCTCCCATCGGCGACGACGACGACACCGAGGACGACGACGGAGATGTCGTGGACGGCAGTGACCGCGGGCATCACGCTTCAAGAACGCGCAGCCGCCGCGGCCACCATCACCACGAGGACGAAGATGATGAGGACGAGGAGGAGCCCGAGGAGCGCGCCCGCTCGCGGAGACGCAGCGCCACCAAGCCCGTCAAGCCCGTCACCATCACGGTGCAGCTCAGCGGCGGCACCGTCATCATCAGGCGCCTGCGCTGCGGCCTGCTCTTCGTTGCCGTGGGGCCCTCGGCGCAAGAGTACCACCTGTCCGACCGCAGCCATCATCACCACCACTCGCAGGAAAATGGCGACGTGGCCGGCAGCCCCAGCGAGGTGGAGAGCCTCGTCAGCGCGGGCGGCCAGACCACCAGCAGCCTCGAGAGCGTCGGCGCGGCGTCCGTCGTCGCGATGCGCCGCCACGCCGGCGAGCTCGCTCGATGGCTCGACGACAAGCTCGGCACGCTCCAGGTGCCGGCTGAGGACGGGTCCATCGCGGCCGACTAGCTTCACATCGCATGGCGAGGCGCTGGGGATGATTTCGACGCCGGCACGGACTGGTTAGGGGCTCCTACGCTGGCTGTTTGGCATGCGTCCGTGGCAGTTGTTTAGATACCAGAAGCGGCGAGCAGCGCTATTAATGACTTATGACCTTACCGCTGCACATGAAGTGACCGCCAGATGCTCCGTGACAAACTCCCAACGCCCCAACGCCAACGACGTCGACCAAGTGACGTGTCCATGCATACTCGATGCGTACTAGTGCCACATCTATGTAAACCACCCCCCAGCCATTCATCCGCGCCGACTACTACTCGATACTCATCCGCATGATGCCGTCGTTGGTGTCCACCATGCCTTGGAAGCCCACCCTGCCCTTGCTGTTGAGCCGGCCGGGCGGGTTGGCGGGTGTGCCGCCGTTGCTCCCCGTGTCGCTCGGCGCGCTGCTGCCCTTGTCGCCCCCCGTGCTGCCGGGCCGCGAGCCCCACGCCATAGAGTCGCGCTGCATTGGGCTCTGTAGGACCGGCGAGTTGTGCACACTCATACCCGGGCTCACGGCCCGCCGCTTAAAGCTGATGGGATCGAGGTCGTCGTCGCGGCGGCGCTTGTTGTTGATGCGGCGCGTGATCTCAGCGGCGCTGGGGCCCGAGTTGCTGCCACTCTGTGACCCCTGCGACCGTCAGCGCTGCATGATTTCGAGTGTATGGAAGGAAACCTACCTGCCCCGGACCGGCCAGCGAGGGCGAGTCCATGGCCGCGTCCTCGCTCACGCCAGAAGACGAGCCCCGCGGAAGAAACGAGGGCGGCGGCGGCGTGGTGCGGCTGCTCGACTCCGAAAAGGCGTCCCAAAAGTTCTTGCCTTTGGACTTTCTGATGGCGTGGTGCTTGAACGCGCCTATCGCCTCGCCCATATCCTCCTCGGGAATGTCTGCATCAATGTTGGCCATGTTGGGCGACGACAACGTGCTGGCTGTGGCGTCCGCTTGCGCGGGAATACGCGGCTCGAGGTCCATGTCGCTTTCGCGGACCTGCTTGACGACCTCGGCCTCGCGGCGCGTCTCGGCTTCGGCCGGCGCGCCTTCTTCGAGCAGGGCGGCGCGTATGCGGGCAAAGGTCTTTGTCTTGGGCTGCGAAGGGTCAGCGTTGGAAGAGATCACGAGAATTGACGACGCGACTTGCCAGCAGGTTGCCCCGACGGGTGACCGCGCGGCGCACGACGCCCTTTTGCGCTTCCTGGGATGCATCGCCTTCGCTGGAGCGGCCGCCCTCCTCCGCCTCCACGCTCGAGATGTGCAGTTGGTTGGCCTGCCAGCTGATGCTTTCTCTCCTAGCCTGGGCAGAGCTGCTCGGTGGCGACTTGGACAGCGACGCGGCCGAGAGGTTGAAGCCCAGCCCGAGCGGTGCGCGTACTTTCTTTTTGGGATGCTTCCGCGGACGCTGCCGCTGCTGGAAGCTCATGAGGCTGCTCATGGCCGGTGAGCCAAAGGGCCCGCCGGGAGGCCCCTGTCCCATGGTGGCGGACGACTTGACGAGGGGCGTAGTGACGTAGGCCTCGTCCGTGTCTTCGTCCATGAGATCATCGTCCGAGGTGGTGGACGAGTCGGAGGCGACGGCGACGGCGTGGGTGTGGCCATGGGAGTGGGAGTGGGAGTGGGAGAGCGCGTGGTTGCTGCCGAGGGAGCTGCTCATATTCATCTTCTCCCGGTCGCCCATGACGGACCACAGCGAGGTGGACGTCTGCTCGGGCCCGTGGGCGCCGTAGTCCCGGCGGCCGGGGATGTTGACGGCGCGGTCTGCCGTGGTCGGCGACGAGTCGGGCGACGACTGCTCGGCGAGGGTCGAATGGTGGAGACTGGTAGCGGCACGGGAAAAGTCGAGGCCGCGGGAGCGGCGCGGCAGGATGTTGGTCGGGGAGGCAAAGATCTGGGAGTGGTCGAGCTTGGGGGATAGCGGCGGCGGCTTGACGTACGGGTTGGAGGCGGCCGGGGGCGGCGTGAACTGGCGAGGCGCGTGCGTCGACTGCATCTGCAGCGAGAGGCCGTGATGGTGGCCCCTGCCCCTGGGGTCGCGTCGCGGCGTGACGGGCGGCTGGGGATGCTGGGTCTGGGGATCGCGGAGGTGCAGGCCGCTGTCGTCCTTGGAGGTGCGGCGCGCGGCCTCGACGATGTGCGGCGACGGGGAAAGCTTCGAGGGCGTGCCGCCGCCGTCGGACAGGGACCGCGTCTTGGTCATGGGGGAGCGCCTGCTACTGCTGGTGGTGCTGCCGCCGTCGGCGCCCGTTCTGGATCCCGCCTGCCGCGGTGAGTCGGTATCCATGACGGCCGAGTCGGGGTAGTCGAGGCCGTCCATGGCGGCGACCAGTGTTGTTGGTCCGTGATCCGAGGATAAGTGGTGCGGACAATCGGTCAGAGTGTTGTGTTGCGGGCAGACGCGCCCTCAGGTGTTGCGGACGCTGCAGACGCTGCAGATGTTGCTCAGTGACGGGGCTGCGCGTGGGAGCATGATCCTCGTGGTGGCAGTTGCGGAGCTGTGAACCGCGTCACCAGAGCCGTCGAGCGATGGATATTGGATGGGATGTTGGAGGTCAGTGCTTGGCCTGGCCGCTGGTTGCAGCCGCAGCGGCAGCGCGTGGGACGGCAGTGCTTCGACGGGAGCGACAAAATGCGGGGCGGCGTAGTTTGGCTACGCGCAGCCCCCGCCACATCCACACCTCGCCCGCGCAGCTCGAAGCGCAGCGCCAGCGAGTGAGGCAGAGGTGTGTTAAAGTTTGCGCCAGCCATTGGCAGCCGTCAAATTGCCCGGTGCCTGTCACTGAGTTGCCAGCGGAGAGGTGCAGCTCCGTGATACCCATGTGCGACCGGTAGCCAGCTCGTGCCCGCTACCCTGGAGCGCGCCGAGGCCTGACCGGCCGCGTCAACGTCAATCGTCGGCCTGGCCCGTCGATTGCGCAGCTGCCGTAAATAAAGTCAATGATGACGACTGTGCGAAACAGCTCGGCGACGGCGACAGCACCAGCTCGGTCTTCGGGAATGGCTGGCCGTCGAATTTGACGTCAGCCCGGCGACAAAGCGGGGCTGGCGGGGTGCTCCAGCCTAAGGGTATGAGCAAAGATTCACCTCCTGCTCCTTCTGACGAGCTCCCCCTCATCGTGCAGCACCCTGATGATTCCCCTCCGAGCAGCGCAGCGTCTCATCAGCACGGCACGCATCCTCAGCCCAGACCAGACACCATCCATCAAGGTACCTGCCGCAGGTACGCGAGCCGGCCCAGGGTCCATGCGTGAGGCTAACTGCTAACTGCGTACCTGACCAGTGAGAACATTCGCCATGGCCGCCACTACAGACACGAGCAAATACAAGCTCAACCACTCGATGTAAGTGCCTGGCGATCCCGAGAGTAGACGACGCTGACCGCCCAGGATTCGAGTCAAGGACCCCAAGGCGTCCGGTAGGCAGATCGCCCCGGAGCGGCGTCGCCGGCCACGGCTAACCGTCTACAGTCAAGTTTTACGAGTTCCTGGGAATGAAGGTGGTCAAGGAGTTCAAGGCGCCTGAAGCCAAGTTCGACCTGTACTTTATGGCCTACGACAGCCCCGGTGCCGTCTCGCACGGCAAGGACGCCATTGACCGCGAGGGCGTCATCGAGCTGACCCACAACTACGGTACCGAGGACGATCCGTCTTACACGGTCAACAACGGCAACAAGGAGCCGCACCGCGGCTTCGGCCACACGTGCATCAGCGTCGACAACATCCAGGCCGCGTGCAAGCGCATCGAGGACGCCGGCTACAAGTTCCAGAAGAAGCTGACGGACGGCCGCATGAACCACATCGCATTCGCGCTAGACCCGGACGGCTACTGGGTCGAGATCATCGGGCAGCGGCCCGTGGAGGAGACGGCCGAGGTGACGACGACGGACGTGACCACGTACCGCATGGTATGTCCCTTGCAGCCCCGGCGCCCCGGCATGCGGCTGACCCTTACAGAACCACACCATGATCCGCGTCAAGGACGCGCAAAAGTCGCTCAAGTTCTACCAGGACGTGCTGGGCATGTCGCTGGTGCGAACGCACGAGGCGGCCAGCGCGGGCTTCAACCTTTACTTCCTGGCGTACCCGAGCGCGCAGCCGCTGCCCACCGAGGGCAACACGGCGCAGCGCGAGGGCCTGTTGGAGCTGACGTGGAACTACGGCACGGAAAAGGACGAGTCGTTCAAGTACCACAGCGGCAACGAGGAGCCACAGGGCTTTGGGCATATTTGTGAGTGCGGGCTGCGGTGGCGGGCCCGGAGTACCTGCATATATGGCAGTATACTGACCGATTGGCGCAGGCATCAGCGTGGACGAGCTGGACGCGGCGTGCAAGCGGTTCGACGACCTCAAGGTGAGCTGGCGGAAGCGGCTCACGGACGGGCGCATGAAGAACGTGGCATTCCTTCTCGACCCGGATGGATACTGGGTCGAGGTGGTGCAGAACCCGGCCCACAGCGACAAGTACAACGTGGAGTAACGGCACGTTGGCAACTTGGCATGCCGGGCCATGTATGTAGCTTACTGCGCGCGCTGGCTCAATAACTACCGAAGTACCTGTGTAAGCGACGGACAGGCAAAACGCCAGTGAACCTTGCTCGAGCGTCGAGACAACACACAACATACCATGCCTTGTGCCCCGTAAGCGCCTTTGGCGAGCCGTTACCGCTGCAGCCACGGCAATGTGCGACAAGGCGTTGCACCACGCTGCAACTGGTAACCGCAGCCGACGCCATTGGACGGGGCACAGGCAAGTCAGCGCAGCGCGAGCGGCCGGTCTGGGCACCGCTGCAGCCGGACGACGCTCCCCGGTGCCGTCATCTGTGTGGCGCCGCTCGCCATAGGGGAAGCGTGGCAGGGCAGGGGTCGAGGTGCGTCGGTGGGATGTGAAGCGACTGTCGGGTGCGGGGATGCCGGGGAGCACATGGCCTCTGTGGTCCAGGACTGGGCAGTGGGCATGCTGTATGACGGCCTCCGGCGTCGACTGCGTGCGTCAGTCCCGCGATCGTCAGTTCCATGGATGCAGGATATGGCGGCCGACGCCAATGGCTCGCGGCGAGGCAATAAGAGCGCGAATGAGGGGATACAGGCGACGCGAGGCACTCACTGCAGCACCTCAGACGTCCGCTGCACTGGCCTGCGCCCCGCGCACACGCTACCTTACGGCGGCAGCGGGCGCCACACGGCGACGGCCCTGGGGTGGGCTGGTGGGGGGCACGGCGCACGGAAATGGCGGGGCTCGGGACCTGGAGGTCGGAGCCCGTTGGACGTGGGGTAACTGACACGCGCCGCACCGCAGCAGCAGAGCAGATCCGCCAGTTGTGCACCTCTTCCAGGAAGGGCGGGCATGGATGGATTGGATGCCACCCTCCATCACAGCAAGTCACCTTTCCCCTCGCCGACGCGCCGGACTGGGAGGTTACCTCCGCTGCACTGCGCTGAGCTGCGTAGCCCACGCAAGCCACCCCGGTACTGCAGCAGGGCCTGGCAGTGTGTGTTCCATGTTGTGGTGGTGGGCAGCCGGATCGTCGCTCGAATGGCCCGCCGGCACCCTGATGAACGTTGCGCTGCAGCATCCATGCTGTCTCTTATACACATCTAGATGTGTATAAGAGACAGGTACTGCAGCAGGGCCTGGCAGTGTGTGTTCCATGTTGTGGTGGTGGGCAGCCGGATCGTCGCTCGAATGGCCCGCCGGCACCCTGATGAACGTTGCGCTGCAGCATCCATGTGCGTCACCCACCGCCTCCAGCGCGTGCGTGCGTGCGTGCGTGAGTGAGTGCATGCCTGCGTACTCGGGTTGCCTCTCGTGGTTCCGTGGCCCCAAGTAAGCCGCTATTCAAGGTTCGTACCAGCTCTCTGCGCGCGAATCACCTCGCGCACAAGTATACAAGTACACCCAGGTCGCCCGTGTAAGCCAGCAGACGTGCGCCACCGTCCTTGACGCCGCCGCCGTTGCGTCAACTACATCTACCTGGCCCATCGCCCTGCCATCTCGCGCCTTGTCGTCCCCTTCTTCCTCTTCCTCTCCCCCCTCGCCATTGCTCCCCCCATCGTCCGCAATGACTCCCTCCGCCATGCCAGACGTCTCGTCAGAGCCCGCCCGCCCGCGCATCCTCGTCCCCGAAAAGGTGTCCCCCGATGGCCTCGCCCTGCTGACCCCCCACTTCGACGTCGATGTCCGGATGGGCCTCACCCCGGATGAGCTGGTGCGGACCATCCCGGGGTACCATGGGCTCATCGTGCGGTCCGAGACCAAGGTGACGCCGGCCGTGCTGCAGGCCGGCCGCAAGCTGCGCGTCGTGGCCCGCGCGGGCGTCGGCGTCGACAACATCAACGTGCCCGCCGCCACCAACCAGGGCATCATCGTCGTCAACTCGCCCTCGGGCAACATCTTGGCCGCGGCCGAGCACACCATTGCACTGCTGCTCGCCACCGCCCGCAACGTGGGCCGGGCCGACGGCGGCGTCAAGGCCGGCCGCTGGGAGCGCAGCAAGCTCGTTGGCGTCGAGGTCGGCCGCAAGACGCTCGGTATCGTCGGCCTCGGCAAGGTCGGCCTCAACGTCGCCCGCATGGCCAAGGGCCTGGGCATGCAGGTCCGCGCCGTCGACCCCTACGCCAGCGCAGACATGGCCCGCCAGGCCGGTGTCGAGCTGGTGCCCTCGCTCGACGACCTGCTGCCCGCCGTCGACTTCCTGACCATCCACACGCCCCTGCTGGCCACCACCATGGACCTCGTCGGCGAGCCGCAGCTGCGCGCCATGCGGCCCACGGCGCGAGTCCTCAACGTCGCCCGCGGCGGCGTCTACAACGAGGCGGCCCTGCTGCAGGCTCTCGACGAGGGATGGATCGCCGGCGCGGGCCTCGACGTCTTCACGTCGGAGCCGCCCGAGGAGGACTCGACGGCGGCGCGGCTCGCACGACACCCCAAGGTGGTGGCGACGCCGCACCTGGGGGCGTCGACGGTTGAGGCGCAGGAGAACGTGTCCATGGACGTCTGCAAGCAGATGCTCGAGATCCTACGCGGCGGGCTGCCGACGAGCGCCGTCAACGCGCCTATAATCCTGCCCGAGCAGTACGCCAAGCTGCAGCCGTCGGTGCGCCTAGTCGAGAAGATGGGCCGGCTGTACACGCAGCACTACGTGCGGTCCAAGGGCGGCATGGTGGGCGGCCGGCGCTTCGAGCTCGTGTACCGCGGCGAGCTGGCTGGCATGCCCAACACGAAGCCGCTCTTCGCCGCGCTCGTCAAGGGGCTGGTGGCGTCGTTCAGCGACTCCAACGTCAACATTGTCAACGCAGAGCTCATCGCGCGGGAAAAGGGCATTGTCATCAACGAGACGCAGGCGCGCGACTCGCCCGATACGTACGCCAATCTGGTGACGCTGCGATCGGTGGGCGATGGGGCAGAGGGCGTCGCCGGCGGGGAGCAGCAGGTGATTGAGGGCTACGCGTCGGACAAGCGCGTGTACATTTCCAAGCTGGACCGGTTCAAGGCGTCCTTTAGCCCAGAGGGCACGCTCATCATCCTGCACAACTACGACGAGCCGGGCAAGATTGGGGGTGTAGGCATGGTGCTGGGCTCGCACGGCATTAACATCCGCTTCATGCAGGTGGCGGGGCTGGGCGGCGACGGCAACGGCACCAGGAGCCAGAGTGGTAGCGGCTCCGACGGCGGCGGCGGCGCGGAGCGCAAGGACAACGAGGCGCTGATGATTCTGGGCGTCGACGGCGAGGTGGGCGAGAGCGTGCTCGAGGGGCTGCGGGCGGCCGACGGCGTGCTGGACGTGAACCTGGTGCGCCTGTGATGTGGCCGGCATGAAGCAGTGACGATGGATGCGTGGGGTTACGCGCCGGGTCGCTCAGCAGCGACTTCCGAAGTATTACAAGGTCAATGACGAGCGACGAGCGCGTTGTGCGGCGCCACTTTGTTCGAGCGTGCATCCTGCCGCGTGTGTGTGTGAGTGTGCGACGTCGTCCCCGGCACACCGAAATGGGCACCGCGTCGTGGCAGTTGGAGTCTATCCTCGCGAATCCCTGCCGCGCCCGCGCAGGCACGACAGGGCGGATCGACCTGCAGACGCACGGCGTCATCCCTTGCGGCTGCGACTCGCCAGGACCGCTGTGACTGGGGCGTGGACAATCCGTGATGCGCACCGAGTTGTTCGTGATGAGTACTCGCGACCCACGTCGAGAGAGGCGGCCCCCGAGGATTCGACCGTGTCGATTCTGTCGAACCATGACCTGCTTTTGCCTTTGAGCCTCGTCGTATGTCCCTTGCCGTCTGATGGGGACCCCACAAAGGCAACACAAGGCTCCAGGGCAGCGAGCCGGACCCTGCGAAGCCCACAGATCGGCTTGGAAGCAAACCGCGTCAACAGGGCAGCAGGGCAGGCCACCGAGCGAGCCCACAGTGGCCCCCAAAGGGCCCCCCGTCATCGAAAAAGTGAAAGGCGCCCCACTGAAAATATCACCAACAGCCTGGAACTTGCAAGGCACCGTCCCAGCTCGGCCAATTGCCGCTGCGTCATCGTCCCACCAGGCGGCCCACCGTTAGCCGTTCCCGGCACGCTCGCGGTCCTCCCAGACAGCTCTGCATCTGCCCGCCAGGCCTCGACCGGGCCCGTGTCTCTCTCGCCAACCTCAACCACCACCCGCGAGGCCGCACAGGGTTGCGCAACCCAGGCTCACTCACTGCACTGACCAACGCAGCGACATCGGCAGCCGCCCTCCCTTTCACCCCTCACGCTCCCCTCCGGAGGCGGCATTGACGCGCGCGACGCAGCACGACCCCAGGTTCCGCTGGTCAAGTAGCTCCAGCTGCGGCGCACTGCAACGTCGTCGCCACATTCGTCATTCGAACGGCGGCATCGCGCACGCGAGACGAAAGGCAATCGGGAGAAAAAAAAATCTCAGGGCAATCGAGAGAAACATCCACCACGACATCCGAGATGCGAAGAAACGGCGGCTCGCCTGGCGGCTTCTCCAGCCTGCGCCCGGCCGTGCTAGGAGCCGGCCGGCTGCTGGGCATGGGCTTCTCGACCGTCGCCGCCGCGCCGCTGTCAAAGAGCGGGCACGGCGGCGGCGGCGATGACGAGGGTGAGGGCCAGCCGCTGTGGGTGCTCGCCGTGGCTTCCATGGTGCTTGTTCTTCTGGGCGGCGCCTTTGCTGGCCTGACGATTGCGTAGGTGCCCTCGGGATCAGGTTGCTGCGTTGGTGCTGACGAGGGAAACAGGTTGATGGGCCAGGACAGCATCTACCTCCAGGTCGTGTCGGGCGACCCGACAGAGCCACAGCACAAAAACGCCGGTCGCGTGCTCAGCCTTCTCAAGAAGGGCAAGCACTGGGTGCTGGTGACGCTGCTGCTGGCCAACGTCATCGTCAACGAGTCGCTTCCCGTCGTCCTTGACCGCACCCTTGGCGGCGGCGTCGCGGCCGTCGTTGGCTCGACAGTGCTCATCGGTAGGCCTCGGCTTTGCCGCGCTCGATTGAATAAGACTGACAGGCCGCAGTTATCTTTGGCGAAATCGTCCCCCAGTCCATCTGCGTCCGCTACGGCCTGCCCATCGGCGGCTACATGTCCAAACCCGTCCTGGCGCTCATGTACCTGCTCAGCCCCGTGGCGTGGCCGACGGCAAAACTCCTCGACTGGATCCTCGGCGAGGACCACGGCACCGTTTACAAGAAGAGTGGGCTCAAGACACTCGTCACGCTGCATAAGTCGCTCGGTGAGCTGTCGGAGCGGCTCAACCAGGATGAGGTGACCATCATTACGGCCGTGCTCGACCTCAAGGATAAGCCCGTGTCCGAGGTCATGACGCCCATGGAGGATGTCTTCACCCTGGCCGAGGATCATATCCTCGACGAAAAGACCATGGACACGATCCTCTCGTCGGGCTACTCGCGAATCCCAATCTACCGCGCTGGCAACCGCACCGACTTTGTCGGCATGCTGCTCGTCAAGACGCTCATCACATACGATCCCGAGGACCGCATCCCCGTCCGCGACGTCCCCTTGGGCGCCATCGTTGAGACGCGGCCCGAGACGAGCTGCCTCGACATCATCAACTTTTTCCAGGAGGGCAAGTCGCACCTGGTCCTGGTGTCCGAGTACCCTGGTTCCGACAAGGGGGCTCTGGGCGTCGTTACGCTCGAAGACGTGATTGAGGAGCTCATCGGAGAGTGAGTTTGCCGCTATGGCTGTTGGACCCCATTTGACGCACCGCTAACTCTGAGCAGGGAAATCGTGGACGAGTCGGACGTGTACGTGGACGTCCACAAGGCCATCCGCCGCCTGACACCCGCACCCCGCGCCCGGCGTGTGCACGGGCACTCAGAGGTTGCCACGGCGGCCACGGCGGCGGCCCTCGCGGCTAAGAACCGTAGCGACATCCTCGTCGACATTGCCGAGCACCCAGACGGGCAGTCCGTGACCGTGGGCTCGCTCGGCGCGCAGAGCGACTCTGGCGCGCAGGAGCAGCGCCCCAAGACGGCCATCTTCATGAAGCGGCGCAGCTCGGCCGGGCCCGATGGCCAGGCCAACGGCGGCGGCGGCGGCGGCGGCGGCGGCACTGTCCCCGTCAAGGCATCGCTCAACGACATGAGACAGCAGCTGCGCCTCGGCCCCGCTAACCTCGCCTCGCACCCGCGCAACATGACGCGCAACAACGTCTTTAAGATCAAGCAGGGCCTGAGCGTCACGACGCTCGTGCCCGCCGACACCAACGGAAAGCCGGGGCAACCCCACCAGCACCCGCCTACGTCCAAGCCCGTCGACGGCGAGGGGGCGGCGACGCCCGACGAGGGTGAGGGCGAGACTGCGCCGCTGCTGAAGGGCCTCAACGGCAACGGCAACGGTAGCAGTAACGGCGAGGGGTACGGGTCCGACGCGAGCAAAGGCAAGAGGAACGCGGACGGGCAATAACGAGTGGGAGAGACTTGATCGTGTATCTATATCGTGTAAAAGTCACCAGTCCAGTGGGGTGGTTGCAAAAGTACAGCGCTGGGTAGTCTACTGTGTACGGTATAAAAGTAGGCAGGTATTAATGCCACGCTTGGCATGGTTTCACATCATTCACTGCGTTTCTTTTTCGCTGTCGGCTCGTCTAGTCGTACCAGATGGCGTTCATGCCAAAGCCCGGCTCGAGTACACGCACGCGCGCCACCCGCGCGAGGAACTCGTCCTGCCAGCGGTAAATCTCGAGCCACCCCTCCTGGTCGTCGGTGATGGCGAGCCACTCGTCGGACCAGTCACTCGGCGCGACGGCGTTGCTGTGGCCGCCGCTGGTGGGCGTGGGGTTGAGGCAGATCTGTCGCTCGACACGGCCATCGTCGGCGAGGCGGAACGCGGCGACGTAGCCCGTCAGGTCGAAGCTATTTGCCCGCGACGAGGCGAAGAGGTAGCGGCGCGAGGCGGACAGGGCGCAGACGTCGGCTCGGTACTGGGTCCAGCGGTCGCGGTCGGGGATGCCGGGCGGGATGAGGGGCCAGGCGCGGGCGTCGTCGAAGACGGGGAGGCGCGTGGCCCGGTCGATGGCGCACTCGCACAGGCGGTTGCCCTTTTCCATAAGAACGTAGAGGACGCGGCCCGAGGGGTGCATGGCGACCCAGCGGGGGTGATCGCGCGGGTCCGGGCAGTCCACGGCGGCGACGAGGTCGAGCTCCGCCGAGTCGGGGGTCTTCTTGCGGTGGACCCAGACCTTGTTGGCCTTGAGGTCGGCCGAGTAGAGGTACTCCTCCGCCGGGTCGAAGACCATGCCGTGGATGCCCGAGTCGGGCTGGTAGGGGTAGTGCTGGAGCGGCGGGGCGGCGAGGGCCCCCTGGCCGTCGACGGCGAAGACGGTGCCGTGGCCGGCGTGCGAGTAAAAGGGGTTGCAGTAGACGGCGTGAGGGGGCTCGCGCGCGGCGAGGAGGAAGATGGCGCGCGTGTTGGTGTCGGGGGACGCTGCCTGGGCTGCGGCCGGTGGTCAGCTGCGACATGCGACAAGCGGTGCGAGGGGCAGTATCTCACGGTGATGCAGCATCGGGTGCGATCCCTGGTGTACAATGGACGTGGGCGACTCGACGGCGAAGCTGGACCACTTCTTCATGGCGGCGCCGTAGATTGTCTTTTTGGCATGCTGGAAGGCGAGTGGTCAGTTGGGAGAGGCATCGTCGGCATGTTGTAGTGTACACGCACATCAAAGGTCATCCACGAGATGGGCTCATCCTCAGGGATGGGCGTCCGGTGGACGAGCTCAAGCGTCAGGGCCACGTCGTCAAACGCAAAGGTGAAGATGGCGCCGGGCGGCGTCCATGTGCCGACCATGAGGTGGTGGACGGGCATCTCGACACCAGCGGGAGCTTATGCTCTCAACTTGTGATGATGTTGAGTGTGTAAGTGTACCGCGACGCAAGTGTCGATATGTCAACGGCGCAGCTGCCCGATTCCCAGCGAGATGCAGGACGAGGCTCAAGCTCGCCGACGCAACCTTGTCATGGTCACGGAAGGGTAGACGGACGGATGGATCGCGTCTCGTCTTTTTCTTTTCCCGGGCGTGGACGGTGCCTGGGCCCCAATCGGGTCGAGGGGGAGGGGTGGTGGGACAGACGCGACGGAGTGCGCGAGCGAGGTTCCAGGTTTGGAGAGTCAAGTGGCAGTGAGTGGTGGATTGGTGATGGTGGTGCGGGGCAAAACGTTTACCCCTCGCTGTGCGCAGCCTGATGTGGTCGAGGTCGCCGTGGAATGAAGCACCTGGGCAAGGATCCGCCGGGTCGGGTCCCTGAATTCTTCCAGAAGCACTGGACGGGCACAGCAGGCCATGGGACGCACAGCCATTTGCCGGCGCTGTTCCCGAAGCTCCTTGTCACCCTCAGCCCACCTCTGCTGCAGCGGACCGCCGGCGCCGCGTCCAGCAACACCAGCAGCAGCACCGCCAAAGACGCCCGCACCCCATTCACCACTCAGCAGATGGAGCAGCCAAGGTCAGCCCCCGTAGCGCCCGTGCTGCTGGACGGGCCCCCAGGCGGCCACTGGCGGGCCCATCCCCCCAGGCCCTATCGGGTGCCAGATGGCCGGGCGTCGAGCGGAAGCGCCTGCGGGGTCGCCCCCGGGCGCCACGGGTCGGTGGCAACTGGAGAATGGAGATGCCGTGGGGTCGCGCGACGCCGCCAGTAAAACGTTCATCCATGGTCATCCGCCCTTCGGCTGGTGCTTCGGCAGAGCTTCGTCCGGCGTAGATATAAGACGGGCGCCGTCGTGCCTCTGAGCGCCTGCGTTGCATCACAGCACCTCCATCCCGTCCGAGTTGACCTCTTCCGACGTCAAACCTCCTCCCCCATCATCACCACTTCTCCACTCCCTCACTTGACTTGCTCTCATCATCTTCTCACCTCCTCTCACCACCTCACCCCGCCCTATCGCGAACCCTCACATCAAAAATAGACCACAAGATGGCGCCTGCCGCAGTCTCGGATGGCCAGCCAGGGGCTGGCAAAAAGAGCAGCCGCTTCGACCCCATGTTCACGCAGCACGTCATCGACACCATGGGCCCCAACATCACGCCGCGAAATCGCCAGCTGCTCACCAGCCTGCTGCGCCACCTGCACGACTTCGCTCGCGAGGTCGAGCTGACCAACGATGAGTGGATGACGGGCGTGCACTTTATCAACGCCGTGGGCCAGACGTCGACCAAGACGCGCAACGAGGCGCACCGCGTCTCCGACATTCTCGGCCTCGAGTCGTGCGTACACCCCTCTCCTTCACTCCGCCACTGTCTCTTTCACCCACCGGCTTGCTGACTGACTGTTCCAAAGGCTCGTCGACGAAATCGCCAACAAAATCGTCGCCGAGGGAGACGTCGACCCAACCTCGTCGTCCATCCTCGGCCCCTTCTGGTCGCCCAATGCTCCCTTCCGGGAAAACGGCGCCTCCATCATCCAGGACCCAGCGCCGGGCGGCCGCGTCTGCAAGATGCACGGCACCATCACGGACCTGCTGACGGGCAAGCCCATTCCCGGGGCCGTCTTCGACATCTGGCAGGCCAGCGCCAACGGCAAGTACGACTTCCAGGACCCGGAGGCACAGACACCCAACAACCTGCGTGGCAAGTTCCGCGCCGACGAGAACGGCCAGTACTGGTTCTACTGCTACCACCCGACGGCCTACTCGCTGCCGACTGACGGGCCGAGCTACGACCTGCTGACGCTCATGGACCGGCACCCGATGCGCCCGGCGCACATTCACATCATGGTACGTGGGCCTCGAGTGGCGGACTTGGAAACCGGAGAGCAAGAGAGACGTCAAACTAACAGATGCCATGGTGTAGGTCACGCACCCCGACTTCAAGGGTTGCACAACGCAGCTGTACCCCAAGGACGACCCGTGGCTGGCCACCGACACCGTCTTTGCTGTCAAGGACGACCTCGTCGTCGACTTTAAGCCGCTCGAGGGCGACTCCCAGGCTGAGCTCGACCTAGAGTACAACGTCATCCTGTCGCCAAAAGGATACAAGGGCAAGCAATTCGGCCCGTAGCCGCCCGAGGCGCGCGCAGGGCGCGGAAAGATGACGCAAGAAGAGCGTGTATGTACTTTTGTAATGCAATGACTAATGACCGGACGTGTCGATGCCCTTTATATGCCATGTGTCGTCGCCGAGCGTAGACGGAGAGATTTCGATGTGCAATGTCCCGGGCCCAGCACGACGAGCAACGACATGAGCGCCGTCCCAGCTCAAATCCACGACGTCAGCCGCACCATCCGTTCCCGTGCTCAATCAGGGGGGCATGATCATCGAGGGCCGTACAGAAGCCGCGTGCAGCCCATAGCCCCGGAACCTGGCTTCACGATGATGCGTGAGCGCGACACGGAGGCCTCGCCGGAGTATATAAGATTCTCGCGAGGCAGGTCTGATGCCTCCCGCAAGCTCACGTCGAACCCTCAAGCCGCCGTGCATCGTCGATATGCGCCTCGCGCAGCTGGTAATTGCCGCCGACGGCATGGCCAGCTTCACGATAGCTGCTTAGCGAACACACTTAACGGCGACAGAGTCGTGGGTCACGATATCTTGTACCAGCCAAAATGTGACGGGCCTCCTCTGTACGACGAGTGCCTCTCGCCCCAAGCGTTCTGTTATGGGGCAGTATATAAATACGCCTTTGATCCCGTCCAGTTCAGGATGGATTATCACGAAGTTAGCGTGAGATGCCGTACACGCTTCTGATGCGAGAAGATGGGAAAGACCAAGGGTGGCATGAGCACGACAAGGCCGGTTAGCAGCCTCGCGGCCTGAAACATCGGCTTTTCTACGCGCATATTGATCTTGGGTAAAGCGTCCGAGGAAATGCGAGTGGGCCAAGCCAAAGAGATCCAAGCCCAGCACGACACAGGCGCCGGCACAGGTACCGACACATATACAGACAGCGACACCCTCAGCGTCAGGGCCACCACCGCCACCCGCAGCAGGACCAAACTGCACATATTCGACTGCAGGCCTGTCCGAGTCTGAGCAGGCAGTACATGCCTAAGAGACGATCACCTTGACTGGGAGTATGACGGGCCAGATCCGGAAAATGACTGGGCGGGATGGATGCAGGCGCAGATGGCCTGCGGGCCGTTCTGAGGTGCGAGAGGCGGGCGCTGACAGGAGACGGGGGACGAGGCGGAATCCACATGCTTGGAAGTTGGAACCGTCGGCAGGGCGGTGTATTGGTTATTTAATTGATAGTTCCAGTCAATCGGTGGCGAGTGCAATTGATGCAGGTGAGCAAACTGAGGTCCACGGCCTGTGCCTGATGTCGGTATGCAGCTCCAACGGTGTGCTACGCGTGCAGCAAATGACCTGTACGAAACCTGGAACGAGGCGTGCGGCGGCGGACCTCAGCTGCACCACCCCGCCACGCCACCGCTCTAGCTGTCGATTCGGGGTTCCCCCACTGACGAACGCGGTGCCCTGAGGTGGCCCGTCGTCGCAGCAACGGCGCCCCGCCACGGTAGGTAAACAGCCCCAACCGCTTCCCCACACGACGGGCAACCTTGAACAGCAACGGTCCAACTCCCAACTCCACCTCGCCGTGTGTGCTCGCTCGCCATGGACCCCGTTTGACCGCTCATGCTTCTCGCGTAGGCCCTTCTTTCCGCCGTCACTGGCGAGTTGCGTGTATTCTTCTTCTTCTTCTTCTGGGGCTTCATCTTCATCTTCTTCGACCTCACCTTCGGCCGTTCCGTCTTCATCCCCGCCGCACCGTGGCCCGGCGAGTGGCGTCGCCGCTGCATTGGATCGCCTCAACTACGCCGTAGACGCGTGAGCTTTTCTGCCTGACAACATTACCTCCACAATTGACCCAAGCTGACTCGGGCGCAGCACAGCCCTCGCACCGGACGTCACTATGGGCGCCGGCAACCTCGCCAAAACCGACGCCCCGGGCGCCCTCGGCGAGCTCCAGCAGAACCAGCAGGAGCCCGCTCGATCCCCACGGAAGGCCCGAGACGACGCACCAAAGTACACCTGGGGCAACATCTCGCTCAAACCCGCCAGATCCCGCGACCCGTCGCCCGAAAAGCCCAAGAAGGCCCGGTCGGGAGCCAACCTTGTCGGGTTGCTGTCCCGACCCAAGTCACTCAAGAACCTCTATAAGCTGGCCACCGACGATGAGGTCCGTGCTGCCAAGGACAAGGAGAACAGAACGCCCGACGAGCCGACAAGTGCCATGCTGCCGCCTCCCATATTCGCTCAGTTCACCTCCGACGCGGCAGCCACGCGGGAGCAGCGAGTGCGTTCGTCCGTGGACATTGGCAGCGCCCGGCCCATCGTCAAGGAGCGTCCGCAGTCGCTCCACGTGCCCCGAATGCACAATGATTCAGACGCGCGGCAGTCGTCTACCGAAAAGCCGGCGAGCCACCTGTATAGAGGCAAGGTGCTCGGCGCGTTTGCCCACCTGACGGGTCGCTCGGGGTCGGCAGACTCGCGCCCCCGGGAGCCAGAGTGTGACATCGATGAGCTCAACAGACAGCTCGAGGCCCTCCTGGACCGCCGCAACATCCCCGAAAACCAGCGGTACAAGATGCGGAATCTCAGCACCGCCATCAAGCTCGAGTTCATCCACCAGGACCGCGCCGAAATGCACGCGGCCACGGCGGAGCGCTCGAGCACCTTCGACAGCAATGCCAGCAGCGACGCGCCGGCGGCGACGCCCACGGGATCCGACGGTGAGGACGAGAAGCCCAAGCGTGGACGCGGCCGCAGCTTCACCTTTTCGCGAGGCAAAAAGGACCGCTCCTCTTCCAAAAAGCCCAAGGGCGACGGCACGCTGGGCCGCCACTTTCGGTCCAAGTCGACGGACAGCGTGGCGAGCGAGCGACCCACGTCGTCGGCCAGTTGCTCGTCCGGCGGCGGGTTCCTTGCCAAGGTTAAGCTCCAGCAAGGTCCCGGCGACTACGTGGCGTACCTGCGTAAGGTGCAGAAGCCGCAGTTGGTCGAGGTGGGCAAGTTACACAAGCTGCGGCTGCTGCTGCGTAACGAGACGGTGTCGTGGATCGAGGACTTTATCCAGCAGGGCGGCATGAAGGAGATTGTTGGCCTTCTCAACCGCATCATGGAGGTGGAGTGGAGGTATGAGCCCGCAATCCGCCCGAAGCAAAGGGCTGCCACTGACGAGACGCAGAGAGGAGCACGAGGACGCGCTGCTCCATGAGAACCTGCTGTGCCTCAAGGCGCTGTCGACGACGGCCCGCGCCATGGAGCACCTGCACTCGGTGCAGCAGGACCTGTTCCCCAAGCTGCTGCACATGCTGTTCGACCCGGAGAAGAAGGGTCCGAGCGAGTTTACTACGCGCAACATCATCACGTCGGTGTTGCTCACCTACATCGAGTCGGCACCCCCAGCAGAGCGTGTAAACCGCGCCAAGAGCGTGCTACAGCACCTCCGCGACCCCGAGCCCAAGGACAGCGACCGCCCGCTGCCGTTTGTGCTCGAGATGCACCGCGAGCGCCCGTATCGCGTGTGGTGCAAGGAAGTCGTTAGCGTGACCAAGGAAGTGTTTTGGATTTTCCTCCACAACCTCAACGTGGTGGCCCTCGCGTCGGACAGCAAGGACCGCGGACATGTTGACGGCGACAGCGACAGCACCGAGAAGAAACTCGAGCAGCCGCACGGCTACATGCTCCGCCACTTCCCGCCAGAGCGACCACCTGTGCCCGCCGCGCCATACGTGGGCGGCGTCGAGTGGGACGCGACAAACTACCTGGCGTCGCACCTGGACCTGATGAACGCGCTGCTGGCATGTACGCCCACGGCGGCAGAGCGCAACGCCCTGCGTGGCGAGCTGCGCATCTCGGGCTGGGAGCGCTGCCTCGGCGGCAGCCTGCGGCTCTGCAAGGAGAAGTTTTACGGCTCCGTCCACACGGCGCTGCGCACGTGGGTCGCCGCCGCGGCCGAGGACGGATGGGACGTGCGCGACGTGCGCTTCGGCCCGCCTCCGGAAGCGCGCGCGTCGCCGCGCAAGACGGGCAACGGCGGGCAGAGGCCCAAGGTTGAGGACGCGCCCAAGTTGGACATGCCCAAGTTCGACCTCGGGCTGGCGTCGGCGAAAAAGGAGGCCTGGCTGTGAGGAGGCGGCGGGCAGCAGGCAACACGACATGACAGAGAGAGAGAGAACGGAGGATGAATACGAGGGGGGACGCTCCAGGTTGGGGATCCGGGTGGACGGACGCGAAAAGACGCGCTCCAGGAGGTGTTTCTCGTCCCTCCTTTGCATACAGAGTCGTGGACTTTGGGCTTGGCTTGGTCTCTTTGGTTGGGCTTTCCGCTGGGCATGTTTTGGGGTCATCATTGGGTGTTTTTTTTGCATTGTCTATAATCATGGGCGCCACTACTCTGTATGATTGCATGAGATGAATTGACGACATGACGAGCTGCGTCGGTAGCAGCCGTCTTTTTCTTTCTTATGCGCTGAGCCACCCACCGTCTCTTGCCATGAACTGGCTAATTCTGGGTTTGTCCAGTGTGATAGACTCTCAACCGCGGTGCAGCTTGAACGCGTCGTAGACGGACATGCCCTTGAGCACGTCCTCCTTTACTTTGTCGTCGGCGGCCGTCAGGCGGGGCAGCAGCTCCAGCACGGCGTCGAGCTTGTCGCGCGGGATGACGACGACGCCGTTGACGGGGTCGTGCAGGGCCACATCTCCAGGGCGGACGACGGTGCCGTTGATGGAGAGGGGTGCCTCGAGGGCCCAGGGGATGCTGCCGCCGCCGGAGCCGACGGTCGAGGTGCCGTAGGCCCAAATCTGGCAGGCAGCGGAAGTCAGCAGGTAGTGCATGGTGCAGACATGGTGTAGGAAGACGGCAACAGGCGATGAGCAGGCAGGCAGATAGGGGCGCAGGTTCGCAGACGACAGCCAGGCAGGGTTAGCTCACCGGCAGGTTGGTGCTCCGCAGCTCGGGCAGGTCACGCACGCGGCCGGCGACGACGACACCCTTGACGCCACGGACCTTCATGCGCAGGGCCATGATGCCGCCGCAAATGGCGTTGGTTTGGCCGGGCGGCTGCTGCATGAAAACGAGGGTGCCCTCGCGCGCGAGGTCGGCCCAGTGCGCGTCCTTGGGCACGTTGGCTGGCGGCTCGGCGGGCGGGGGCGCGCCCTTTGCGGCGAAGAGGATCGTGGAGACGGGCGCGGCGGTGACGGCCGAGGTCTCGGCGTCGGCGTCCGGGGCCGGAGCGCCGTATGCCTGCAGGTCGGCGACGAAGCCGGCGCCGGGGACGTTGAGCTTGAGCAGCGCGTCGGAGACGTCGCACGCCGTGTACCGCTGCAGCTCGGCGATGGCATCCCGCGGGATCGCGGGCGTGGTTGTGGCCATGGCGCGCGACGTCACCCGGGAGGCTGCCGTGGAAGATGCAACAAGGCGAGCGGGAACGGCTTGTGAGCGAGCAGTGAGGGCAAGAGCAGTGCGTAGTAGACTCGAACGGAACATCGCGGACGCCCTATACCTCAGTTGCGAATCGGCAGGGTTCGCGAGGAGCTTCAGATCCGAACCGGGGGGTTGGATCAAGGCTCCGGGCCGAAGGGCGGCGGGGCGTCGCCTGACGGTCGGGTCGTCTGCAGCGGCCGCCGCGGGAGCTCCCGTGCCGCCAATCAGCCTCGGCACATGCGCCGTGTCAAGCGTGTCGCTGCGTCCGTCCGGGCGGCGTCCGAGGCCGCCTCTGCCACGGCGATCTTGTCGCGCGGCCGGCCAATCACCGGCTCGGGGCGACCACAGGTAAACCAGTTCGCCCGGCGCGACGACGAAGACGACGACGATGGCGGCGGCAACGTTCAACCCTCGCGCCGCGACGTGTATGTGCGACGTTGCGACGGGCAGAAGGGCCGTTGGATGAGCGGCCCTCCTGAAGACGTGGCCTCCGACCAGGTCACGATCGCCCTGGCGAATGCGGGCAAGTCTCGCCGGGAGGCATCCAACGTTGGGATGAATCGATCCAACGGCCTCGAAGCATGCCAGGCAGCTGGCCCAGACATGTCGAGCGTTGTTGGTTCGATGGCGCCGAGACAGGCCGCGTCGAGCTGACTGGACGCCGCAGCAAAAGTGCTTGCAGGTAGGACGGACCCTAGCCGTCGACGACTACAAACTACAGTATACGTGAGTAATGGTCACAGATATCGGAGGAGAGCGGGTTGTTCACGCCCGCTGCTCTAGCATTGCCACGCCGCCCATGGCTACGTCGCAGGCTTGCCGCAGCGACTCGACCGGGCGTCTGCTCGACTGTGTCGACTTACGCAAGCCAGCAACTGCCGGTGGGCAACGTGCTGATCCCCCGCATCTGGTCCTGGCGTGCCGTCCCAGAACAGAGACAGTCGCGAGTTGTTGCCTCGTCCTGGCGGCTCTACGGTTCCAGCAGCTCGTTCATTCGCAAATCACGTTTGTCCGTCGCGCGGTCGCTCCAAGCACGGAGCACCTGAGCCTGCGTCGATCCCACCCAGGCACACCCTGGTGTGCTGCATGCCATCTCCTCCGACGCCGCCGCGGGAAACAAAGTCTAGCGCGCTGTCAGGCGGCCCCGTTGGCGGCCCGCGTCATGGCGAGAGCGGGCAGGGAGCCGTACATGCGTGTATGCATCGACGGGCTCACGGCGCAGCACCGGGAGCCCGAGACATCGGCGTCGGCCGCCTGTGAATATTGCGGATTGACAGCGAGGACGAGAGTGAGACCACACGGCCGGACGGGGTCTGTCAGCGCGGTGGTGAATGGCGCGATGGCCCCTAGCCAGCACGCGGCCGGCCATCATGCAGGCGTCTGCGGTTGGTTCGAGGGCGCTCGCAAGCCGCAGCCCGTGTCTGCCCGGCGCGAGCCCGTCTTGCCCGTCCCTCTCCAGGGCTCCTCAGGCGGGGTTGGCAGTCGAGGGCCCCCTGGAGGCTGACTGAAGGTGCTGCCTGTCCGGTGCACGGCTGCTCGCCCAGTGGGCTCCAGCGACGCCGCGGACGCCCGGGAAAGGGGCCGGCTGCAGTGGACGAGGCGCGAGGCGTCGGATGTACGAGTGCAGGAGCCGTGGGGATGAGAAGGTTCGATGTTGGCTGCTGAGTCGGGCTCGCAGAGGAAGAGGTCGCCGGCCCGGACGTGACATGGGCATTCCAAGGGGGCTTTGAGTTTGGTCAATGGAAGCATCGCTGTCCCGAGGTCGTCTACAGGCCGGGCTTCAGCGCGGCGGTCTGGCGCCCCAGGCACGTGGCCCAGGGCCGGTCCAGCAGCGTTCGGGGTGCCCCTGGGGGTTGCACGGCGAGGTGCCTGGGCTGGGCTGCCAGGGTTCCCAGGTTGGCTCCAGTATAAGGTTCACCACAGCCTTCAGCTGCGGTGCCCCGCTGGCGGTACAATGCAGACACCTTCCATCTTGAGTGCGCTTCTCCGGCACGAAGACTAGACGTCGAGTGCCATGTGCCCTCTTCGAGAGTTGGTAGCGTCTCCTCGTGGCCGTGGACGCCCTCGTCGCCCAACGCGCGCAGCAGCCCAAGACGCCCTGTTGCATGTTCCAGTCGTCTTGTCTTCTCTTCTCTCCCCACCCGCCTACAGCGCGGCGCCCGGGTACCTGACAGATCACCTCAGCCGCCGGCCCACTGAACTCGAGCGCCTCAGGCGCGCCCCAGTGGGCTGGCGCCTGAACCGACGCATGGAACCTGCCCAGACGGACCGGACGCCTCAGCCTCCCGCAGCCTGCCCAGCGGCGCGAGGCACTTCCATCCATCAGTGAATGTGCTGCGCTCCATCGATGGATGCCATCCGTGGATGCCACGGGGCCGCCAGCACAGTGGGACGCCTCGACCTCACTGGCCCTTTGGCGCCCCTCGCAGCCCTGGAGCTCACCGGCTGTGATGCTGCGCCCTGTCCCGCCGTGCGCATTCCCCAATCCCCATGGCGCTGCTGTCCCTCCCTCCCGTCCGTTCCATCCCATCCATCTCATCTCATCCTCATCTCATCCATCTGTCATCCCTCTCCTCCGCCTGCGTCCGCGTCTCTGTCCACGCCCACGTCCGGCCATCCGCTCCCCTCCCCCCCCGTCTCCCTCGTCGCTTTCGTGTCCTCGCCTCGCCTCGTCTCCGATCCATCCAGACACCCCGTTCGCCTCCACGCCGCTGCGCCCCACCACACTCGACTCCCGCGACGGTCGACGCACCACAGCTCACCACCTCGCCGGTCCCATCGATCTGAGGCGTCACCAGCGCACGACCCGACGCTCTGGCTGGCCCGCCGCCGCCGCGAGCTCCCGCCGCCGCCCTCATCGTACAGACTCCAGGCAGCCCAGCCCAGCCCAGCCCAGCCCCGCGCCGGCGTCCGTCCCTTGGCCGTTGCCCACCGACCTGGGGCAACCCTCACCTCGCCCGCCCCGTCCTGCCCAGCGGCACCCCGAGCAAGACCCGGCACGCGCTGCAAGTACCTTACCTGACTGACCGGCCTGCCCTGTCCTGTCCTGTCCTGGCTGTGCCGACAGACGTGCGTCGTCGTACGTGCGATCCCAGCTAGGGTTGGTCGACCGCGCCAACCCTGTCGGTGAACATGTCCATAAAGTAAGTAAGCCCCCGTGTCTCTCTCTCACCTCCGCCAGGGACGACGAGTCTCCCGTCCCGCCTCGCCGCGCGCCCGATAGCCGTCTGCCCTTTGCCCCGGCCTCGATCGTGTCCTCTGCGCCGTCCTCGCGTCCTTTGTCCTCTCCTTCTGCCCTGGCCCTGCCGCTGCCCTGCGCTTCTTGCGCTGGCCCCGTCGGCTTACTCCGTGTCTCCTCCACACTCCCCCTTATCCCACCCGCACCCTCCCCTCGTCCCGGCTCCCGCACCCTCGCTCCCGTCCCTCCCCCGCGCCTCCGCTGCCGAGTTCGAGTATACGAGTAGTCCCCTTTCCTCGCTCCTGACCTCATGGCACGTTCGGGTGTTAGTCGCGCCCCACGATGGACAACCCTCACGACTACCTAATCACGGGCCGTGCCCCGTCCCGCCGACCAGTCGATCCTGACAATGCCGACAGCTGGGTCATGCTCAACCAGGGCGGCTTCGTCAAGCTCGGCAACGAGCGCGTCCTCCTCAAGCTCGACTCGCGGATATCCTGCGAGCTGTCCGTGCCCCAGGAGCTGCGCGCGCGCTGCACCGCCTTCCAGCGCAAGAGCGACAAGGGCACCTTGTTCCTGACCAACAAGCGGGTCGGTCTCGCGCCTCCCTGCCATACCTCGGCGCCTCTCGTGGGACGCCCTGTTGACGCGATTTTCAGATAGTCTACCTGCCCGCCAAGCCCGCCCAGGAGCCCAAGTTCGAGTCCTTTAGCGCGCCCATCCTCAAGTTCCAGGACTCGAGCACCTCGTCGTCCATGTGGTGGGGATGGGTCTGGAAGTCGGACTGCGTGCCCGTCTCAGGCGGCGGCATCCCCCCGGACCTGCCGCGCATCGAGGTCAAGTTTACCTTTTCCGACGGCGGCATGAATGACTTCAACGAGGCGTACATTCGCCTGCGAGAGCGCCTGTTCCAGTACCAGGAGATGCGGCGGGAAATGGGGCCCGGCGCTGACATCCCTGATGAGCCGCTGCCGGCGTACGAGGCTCAGGGCGGGCAGCCGGCGCCGGTCGCGACGTTGGCCGTGCCCCGGAACGTCCGCTCCGACAGCTCCTCGAGCCGGAGGGCCCCCGACGAGCCGCCGCCCGACTACGACGAGGCCCAGGCGCAGCAGCTCAGCAACCGGTTGGAGGATCACATCCGGGGCGAGGCGGAGAGGGGCGACCAGGAGGACGATTGACGCGTAGCGCCCGGGGATGCTTGACTCGACCTAGACTCGTGTATTTTGGCGTGTTATTATGCGCTGCTCGCTCGGCAGGCCTACGATTATGAATTCACGTGGTTTGGTAGCGTAAGAGGCTGAGCGGGTGGTCGTGAGAGGCGATTGAGTCGAAAAACAGCCAGCTCACCACAGCGAGTTAATACATTTGCCTCGCGACATTCGCATAGTGTCGCAACAGAGGCCGTGCCACCTTAGTTGTAGCTGCCTCCCTGCCACCACGAACGCATCCTCGCTGCTGATCGGATTGTTGCATGTCTATGACTGGCCCGGTGAAGAGCGAGATGGCCAGAGCATCACGTGATATCAACTTATGTAAGCGCCGGGCAGCATTGTGCCGCGGGCCAATCACGGGCAGGTCAAAGCCAATCGATTTTGCGCTGGTGACCGAAAGCTCCCGACCTCTTCTCCGGAAGCCAACGCACCACAAAAATCACCACCGCCATTGCCGAGCCACCAGTCGCGATGGGTATCTGGGACGCCTTTTCCGAGATTGTCGAGGCCGTGACGCCTTGGAGCGTCGTTGAGGCCGAGGCCCCGGCCGCGGAGCCCAAGGTACGCAGCATCGTCTCGACGGATCGCGCCATTAAATCGTCGAGCGCGGCAGCGATCACCGCGCCGAACGTCCCGCACCGGCCGCGGGCGATCAATTGACGACGACGAGCTAATGACCGATGAACAGGAGGAGCAGCCCGCCGCGGCCGAGACCAAGGACGACGAGTCGCCCGCCGAGGACGCCGCCGAGGAGGCTACCGAGGCTGAGGAGGCCCCCGAGGAGGAAGAGGAGGAAGAGGAAGAAGAGGAGGAGGACGAGGAGGAGATTGTCGACCCCAAGGAGACGCTCGAGGAAGGTCCGTACAACCCCGAGTACCCGGCGCAGACGACGCGGCGAGACCTGTTTGAGTCGGCTGGCCGGCCGGCGCGATGGATTGGCGCTCTCTGAACTACGGCCACGGATGACGGCTGCTAACCAACGTACAGAGTGCAAGAACTCTGCCCAGTGCGCCCCCGCCAAGCACCACTTCGACGAGTGCGTCGAGCGCGTCCAGCAGCAGGAGAGCGAGGGCGAGGCCAAGGAGGACTGCGTCGAGGAGTGTACGTGATGCCCCCGGATGCCGCTTGCCGGCCCCTCAGCGAATCTGCCAACCGGGTTCCTTTACTAACTTGTCTTTCTAGTCTTCCACCTCGCCCACTGCGCGACCGCCTGCGCCGCCCCCAAGCTGTGGTCTAAGCTGAAGTAAACGCGAGACGCCGCCGCCGCCGCTGCGCACGATCCCCGCTTCGCCGTCTCGACGCCCCCCTTCTTCGCCATGCACGAAAGTGGTTTCAGCGGGGGCTCGTTTTCGGCGTCGCATGTACAACTGCAATTGCGCTCGGGAAAGATAAAAGGGGCGGGCTGCGGGGTGGGAGGGGGATAATTCGAGTTTCCCTCGCACTCTGACTCCCCGCGGGTTGAATGGGGCTCCCTGGCCCGTGTTTGGCGGTTCGACTGTATCATACGCTGCAGCGCCCTACTACAATAGATCTTTTTTCCCTCTCCCCTCTCCCTCCCCATTCCCCGTCTGTTCACGCCTTGGTGGCGAACCCGCGAGCTCACGTGTCGGTGCTTGAGACGCTCGCGGGCCCCGCGTGCCCGACGATGCGGTAAGAATTACCAGATGTAAAGCTCAGCACGGCCCTGCAGGGTAGGCATGACGGCTCGGGCGCCCGACGGTGGTCGAGCACAGCCCATGCGGCGGCTCGGTGACGACCCGTGCGGCTTCGCGGGGCGTATCGAATGACCAAGTCAGTGGTTCGAGTTGGTTGCTATTTGCGTGCTCGAATCTGCTACGCCGTAGAACGTAGTGACGACCACGAGCAAAAAGAATGGCCGAGTAACAAACACGCGCAAGCACTTTAAAATCGGCCCTCACTCCCTCCTACTTCACACATTGTTCGCGTGCCCGACTCTTCAAGTGACTGCCCGCCCGCCACCACCACGGCACGTACCTACGTTTCTTGATCTTATAGTACGAAGTATCTTGCACGCCCAGGATGAAGTACCAGCTCGCCCTTGCCGTCGCTCCGCTGCTGTGGCACGCTACAGTGGCCGAAATCGTCCTCATCGGTGTGCGTGCCTGGGCCTCTTTCCGCGCGCATCTATAGAGTTAGCCTCGCTGACTGCAGACCGTGATGCATATAGACGTGCAAGGCGCAGCACAACACGTGCTTCATGCCCATCGGGGAGAATGAGCGCTGGATCGTGCCGGACGCGCACGAGTTCAAGGCCGTGTGCGGGTTGGGAGACAATCTCCGGGTACGTGAGCCCTGTGGCTACATATTGGTGCTGAGCTGCCATGGCTATGGCTACATTTTACGTACAACGCCAGCTACAACGACAGTCACATCACTGCTCAGCTACGCCACCCGAGCATCTAGCTGACCGATTTACAGTGCCAGAAGGATGGCGACCCGTGCTTCCTCAGGGCCAAGACGGGGATCCTCGCCGACTGCCGCGTGCACAAGAAGTGACGGGTCGCCGATGGCGTTGCGCCCTTCAGCTCAGCGTCCGGCGCAGCCCCTTACCGCGCGGAGAGAACACTTCGGTGCCCGACCCCTCGCCGCTGAGCCAACTCGTTCAACCTGCTTCACCGGGGGGGGTGGCGTGCTCGGCAGTTGCGGCGTGGGTGTGATGGTGCGAGTGCCGGATGGCGGCGGCGGCCAGCTGACCATGCCCCGGACGGGGGAGAAAATGGGCAGGAGGGGAGGCGCAGACGATCCCCCTTGACCGAACGCCTCCTGCACGACGCTGAGACTTGGACGCCGATGTGTGATGCGCGGGCGCCACTTGTCCCCGGGCAGACGACCGATACCCATCACTCGAGGGTTTGCTCGATGCCGTGCGTCTAGGTGTCGCGTGCCCCCCTCGAGGCGACGAGGTGATGGCATGTCCGCTACCAAGCCCTTGGACGGGCGCCTGTCGTGCGACCACACCCCGGTCTGCCCACCCCGGTCCGTCCCGCGGGATGGCGACCGCACAGACGGCCGCCTAGTTGGACGCCGAGTTTGCTCGAGCGGCTGAATTTGACAGGTCTAATGTGACGGTCTGCTGAGACGACTTCGAGGCATAATCAATGGCGCCTGAGGTGAGCGGGTGGTTCTCAAGGTGAGTGGCGGAAGCGTTGATAGCGAGGTGGCATCGCGCCCACCATCTGGCACAGAGAGGCAATCCAAAGTCCGGGGAGAAGAGGCAATGCGGCTGGCAAAAAGAAGATAATCGGGGCATATGCTGTACTGTAATACGGAAGGAATCCAGGGCAGACAAAAAGAAGACATACAACAGCCGGTGTTCGCTGGCCGTCACCGATCCAGCTACTAATCTGCCCCTCACCAGCTTAACTATGGGGGAGCGGACGAGACCCCGTGCTGCCTGGTAGGTGTGGTCGTATGTGCTTGGAGACGAGGCTATTTGGCTTATAACACCTGCGAGAAGCCATAAGTGCGTTGACGTGAGCCATGCGTGCGTTGATATGAGCCGGGTTGCCTATCGAATGGAGTGTGTATGCTTGACGATTGCGGGTCGACGCTCGGCTGCTCGCCCGACTGCCGCGGCCCAGCCCGGTATAGCAGACGAGACGTGCTGACAGCGTGGTCCTGCGCCGCCTCACGATGCGGCGCGACCACGGTCGACGACGTACGGCTCCGACATGGCGAGTCGCACGACGCCAGAGGCGCGTGGAAACCGCGGCTATCCGGCCGAGACGCGCTGCCCGCCGCAGGGCTGAGCTGCGCTCGGCGCAGTCAACGCTGGCCACATCCACATCAAGAAGGCGAAAACCGGTGAGGCCGCGACAGGGCGTGGCCAGAGCGTCAGGTGAGGTCGACGACTGCGGCCAGCCCTGCGACGAGCGACGCGCGCACGGGGCAGGCGTGTCGGCAGCTCTGACGAACCGGTTGGGAGGGAAGAAGTAAAGAAAAAAAAATCTCCGACCCAGATGCCGTCCGGGACGGAACACACCGAGAGATGAGAGTCCAGGTTGGCCGGCGGATCACGACCGGCGAGTCGAGGATCTGGTCGGCCGGGTTTCAGGTCCCCTCGAGGACGTCTAAAATAGAGTGAAACGGGCGCGCATGAGGACAGGGGGTGGTTTGGTGGGCTGGGCGGACGGGTCGAGCGACCGGCTCCGTCCGGGCGGGCTGCGCGTGGTGGGTGACGGAGCAGCGGAGCCGAAGGGGGGCGCTGCTGGCGCGAGTCTGCGGCCGAGGATGGGGAACGGTGGCCGGGACGGCACAATACAGCATAGTTCTGTGCTGCAGCGTGCAGAGCGCAGAGGCAGCAGGATGGCGGTGGGATTAGGTTGGGGTTGGCCGACAAATGGTTACATGCGTGGCCCGAGCTGGCACGTCGTCTGCGCGGCGACGATGCATCGCCGGCGGGCAGCACCCACCCCCCCTTGTCGAGCGGACCGATTTGGCTCGGCGTCGGTCGACGAGGGCGGGCTTGGGACGGGGTCGGTGGTCCTGTACATAAATTGTGTGCCGCGTCGGGTGGAGTCGAGCGTCCTGCGCCGTCATACGATGTCAGGCGTGGGTTTGTTACGCGGGCGATGCAGAGGGAAGAGTTGGCAATGCGTAGGTACTATGGGCGGCATGCGCGTGGTGTTTGCGGCGGCGGCCTGAAATCGAGAGATGGGGAAAAAAAGAGACGAAACGAGACGAGGCTGCCACATGCTTTCGCTGCATGCGCGCGCGTGGACGTTGCAGCACCAGCAGCAAGTCTGTCGTTGCAGCCGAGGCTAGCGCTGGCGGTGGTGCTGGGCCATCGATCGCCCGCCGCAAATCACCTGCATTGATGGCTTGGATCCCATCCATGGATCCAATCCAGCCTACGGACGGTTGGACGGCGCAGTGGAGGGATGGATGGATGGTCGCCGTGGGTGGGGCCCTGCCTAGGCCCCGAGGCGCCCCCAAGGCCCCGTCCAGCCGTCCAGCCGTCCATACGAGCGCCGGCCAGCGCGTGCGCGTGTGCGCGCTAGGCCCGAGACCCTGGAACCCCGCATCGTCGGCGCCCTGTGATCCCCTGGGAGGGGGACCGGGGGGATCCGCCTGTCTGGGCTGGTCCAGTGCCTCTGTTTCGCTTTTGGTCGTCCACCTCAAAGCGCTGGTCGACGGCGACGGGCGATGGGGAAGCAGATCCACGCGCGACCAGACAATCAATCCTCTGCGTATCCGCCCCCCCATCGCTTGCGGCCGACAGCCAGCTAGCGCGAGCGATTGCATCGGGGGCTGGCCATTTCAAGCAGCGAATGCCCTCTGCTTGTTCCCTGCTGGCATTGCTATCATCTCCCACGATACGCGATCCCATCCTGTCGTGTGCCGCGCTCTGTGTCTGCTGGCAGCCCATTGCGCTCACTCGGCCGCCCACTCGCCGCAACCCCACGCACGACACGACGACGCCCTCGTCAACCCAGGCCCCTCCGCCTCCCACGAACAGCGGCCGCAGGACACGACAGCGCGGATGAAAAAGCATTCGATCCAGCGTCGTCGTTGACCTGACCTCTCTCTCTCGTCCCCACAGGGCTGGGCTGGACTCGACCCTCCCGCGGCTTGGCCTGGGCCGACCTCGACTAATACTAGCCCCCCGGCGGCGTCGTTGCAATTTCCAGCACCGGCCTGCAAACCGCACCCCCAGCGCACGCCAAACGGCTCGCTTCCCCCAGCGGGCGGACGGCTCGTGCAGCTAGTTCGACGACAACTCGCAGAAACTAAACCTCGCGCAGCGTCCTGCAGGAGCCCGCGTCTGCATTCTGCATTGCAGCAGCACGCTGCCCGCCCCCCCGGCCCTTTCGCCAAGGACGGACCGCCGGGACGAAAGACTTAACTTTTCTGCTCCTTGCCCGAAGCTCGACTTATTGTCACCTCCCACCCCCGGCGCCTCCCGCGACGCCACTCACTTGACTTTGTCCGCGCGCCCGGTGGGTGGTCTCCAGGTCCAGCAAAGTCTCCAAACCTTCCTCTCCTTCTCCGCATCGCCATCACAAGACCTCTTGCGTCGCCCGGTGCTCCCTCTCGCCATGGCGCTGGGAAGCTTCATCAAGAGCGCGAGCGCCGACGGCAGCGGCAGCGGCAACCGGGCCAGCACCGATGCCATGGGTAGCGGCGGACGCTTCTGGGGTGGCAGCGGCAAGAAGAAGCTGGGCTCAAACGACTTCACCATGCGCGAGCGCACCGTCGGCGAGGAGCGCGAGGGCAGCGTCACCAACGGCACGTCGACCGAGTACCGCACCTACAAGCGACGCTGGTTCGGCCTCGTCCAGCTGACCCTCATGAACATTGTTGTCTCCTGGGACGTGAGTGCTGCCCCGGACTGACTGGCTTGAATGACACGGAAACGGAGACTGACGAGAGAATGGAATCGATGCAGTGGCTCACCTTCGCCCCCGTCGCCGACAACGCGGCCACCTACTACAACGTCTCCAAGTCCACCATCAACTGGATCAGCACCGCCTTCTTCCTCGCCTTCGTCGCCATCTTCCCCCTCACCATCGCCGTCCTGCACCGCGGGCCCAAGCTGGCTTTCATGGTTGCCGCCGTCCTCATCCTCGTCGGCAACTGGGTGCGCTATGCCGGTTCCACGAGCACCTCGGGCGGCCACATCGCCCACGTCATGGCCGGCGAGATCCTCATCGGCTTCGCCCAGCCCTTCATTCTCGCCGCCCCGACCCGCTACTCTGACCTGTGGTTCACCAACCGTGGCCGCGTCGCGGCCACCGCCGTCACCAGCCTTGCGAACCCCCTGGGCGGCGCCCTGGGCCAGCTCATCAACCCGCTCTGGGTCAAAGGGCCCGGGGACATCTCCAAGATGGTCCTCTACGTCTCCATCATTTCGACCGTCTGCAGCGTCCCGGCCTTCTTCGTCCCCGCCGCGCCGCCCACCCCCGTCGGCCCCTCGGCCGAGACGCCCAAGCTCCGCCTCCGCGAGTCCGTTGGCGTCGTGACGCGCTCGCCCGAGCTCTGGCTCGTCCTCGTCCCCTTCTTCATCTTCGTCGGCTTCTTCAACTCCATCTCGTCGCTCCTCAACCAGATGATGGTGCCCTACGGCTTCACCGACGACGAGGCCGGCATCGGCGGCGCCGTTCTCATCCTCGTCGGCCTCGTCGCCGCCGCCATCTCCTCGCCCATCCTCGACCGCACAAAGGCCTTCCTCCTCGCCCTCAAGCTTTTCATCCCCGTCATCGGCCTCTGCTACCTCGTCTTCATCTGGATGCCCGAGACGCGCTCTATCGCGGGACCCTACGTCGTCCTCGCGGCTCTCGGCGCCTCCTCCTTCGCCCTCGTCCCCGTCGCCCTCGAATTCCTCATCGAGCTCAGCCACCCACTCAGCCCCGAGGTCACCTCCACCACCGCCTGGGCCGGCGGCCAGCTCTTTGGCGCCATCTTCGTCATCGTCAGCGACGCTCTCACCGACGGCGACGACGCCGACCCGCCCCGCAACATGAAGCGCGCCCTTATCTTCCAGGCCGTTATTGCCCTCGTCGTCTGCCCCCTACCCCTCGCCCTCGGCCTGTTTGGTCGCCGCGACAAGGTCGTTCTGCGCCGCGTCCGCTCCGACGAGCAGGGCAGAGAGGGCCACGTCGTCTCCGCCGCCACCGCAGCGACGACACAAGAGCAGGCGTAGCATGCGAGAGAGGAAGGCATATAGCGTGATTTTACTACTTGTGCGAGTCAAGTTGAGTAGGTAGTCGGGCGGTTCTCCATGCAGCCATGTAGGCGAATAATATACACCGTCTGATCTCGTGCCGTCTCTGTTTCGCAATCCATCATCTCCGTCTCTGTATCGAGTGTCCTCTGTCGCGCACTGCCGATAGTTTCCCCCGCTTTAGAGGTGTGTTCGTAGTTGTGTCTGTCTCTGTGTCGCACATAGGTCTATTATTATTACAAGGTCGCACGTCGGTGCCTGCAGATTAGTCGTCGTCGATTATGTCCTCCCACCGCGCCCGCAGCTCCTCCATCTCGCGCCAGCAGCGCGCGCCCAGCTCCTGAAACTGTTCAATGTCCTCGCGCGTGGCGTCCAGTACATCGTGCTTGCGCCCGCGAGCCTTGTGCAGCACGTCCAGGGCAGTATCCTTGGCCGGGTCCTCGACGCGGCCCTCCCAGCCCCAACCCTCGACCTCGGTGATCTTGACGTCGGCGCGCCCGTGACGGTCGGCGGTGGACCCCCATTTGATGCGGTCGGCGGCCCGAGCATCAAGCTCGGGTTGTTCCTGGAGGGCGAGCCAGGCGGCGGCCTTGGAGCCCGTGTAGCCGTCAACGGTGTGCCAGGGGGAGCCTAGCCAGCGCGAGATGAGCAGCGCAAGCTTGTAGGCCCAGAAGAGGAACCACGGTACGGGGAAGAGCGTGCTGGCGACGATACCTGGGTGCGAGAGGTATACACGCGGGCGGACGGGCCGCTCCTTGGCGACGGCGGCATCGTCGGGCGTGAGCCACCGCGCAGAAAAGGGTGCCGAGCCCGGCACCGACGCCGTCAGGGAGAGCACATCGGTGAGGCGCTTGGCCGACTCGTAGGCCTCGTCGCGCATGAAGCACTGAAAATCGTCCGGGTTGAAGACGTCGCGGCACGCCTCGATGCTCGACGACCAGATGATGCGCCCAGGGGGGAGGTCCGTCGACGCCGGCCGGCTGAGCAGAGGCAGCAGCTGATGCGCGAGCATGTAGTGCCCAAAGACACACGCCGCGAACACTTCGCCGAGGAGGGGCTTGACGGGCTGCGCTCATGTCAGTACCGCGGGCAAACGGACCGCAAGGGGTGGTGGCCACATACATAACCGTATTCTTGCCGCTCGTTGAGAATGCATGTTGGCAGCGAGCCCTTGAACGTCGGCCATGTCACCGACTGAACGATGCCCTTTGTGAGGATCGACCACACGGCCGCCGGGTAGTCGACGCCGGACCAGCCGCCAAACGCGGCGTTGCAGACGACGCTGTCGATTCGGGGGACGCGCACGCCGCGTAGGTCCTCGCCCGTGCCGCCCTGCTCTATGGACGCCTCGGCGCCGCGCGGATTGCTCACCTCTTCGTGTACGAGGCGGGCGGCGAAATTACGCACGCCACGCAGGTCGCACAGGTCGAGCGTCAGGCCGAGGGCATGGACGCGGGCGAGCGTGTCGCGTGGGTGGACGTAGTCCGGGCCGGCGCGAGCGCGCAGCGGCGAGGTCGGGTCTTCGGCGGCGTTGGCGGCATAGGCGCGGATGTCGTGCACGGCCTGGAGGCACTTTGACGGGGAGCGCGCAGTCGGGATGAGGATGAGGTGCGAAGTCAAGGGCCGCTGGGCGAGGAACTCGTCGACGAGACGGTGGGCGATACCCAGGCCCACGCCGCTGACCCTCGGGCTCACGTCAGCGGTGCTGCTCCTGCGAGCGATAGACAGCTCGCCCGACTGCCCAATACGCGTGTCGACAGGGGTGGCCGCTGCAGAGAGACAGAGGGTCGGCTTACCTATTGGAGCCCGTGATGAGGACAAAGAGCTGGTCGTGCGCAGGGACGGCGTCCCACGGGGCGGCCCCGGGCTGCGCTGCCGCAACCATGTTCGCTGTGCTCTGCGGGCGGCCAATGGTGCCAGTGGTGCCAGTGACGCGGCAGGACGGTGCAGACTCGAGCAGTGCCGCCTCCTGCCGGAGAGTTGAGGCAGCTGGCGATGTTCGGGCGGGCGGATGGCTCTCAGGGGCGCGTGGTGGTGCTGTCACAAAAGAAAGTTGCCAGACGCATTTTTGGTGGGGCTGGTTCGCACCACACGGAAGTCAAAGTGCCGGCGCCCGCAGCACTAACATTTGATCGCCGTGGCGTCGCTTGTGACTGCAGTTCGCACGGCCATCGAGTCCGCCTCACGCGCGGCCTCGCGTCATAACGGCGCAGTCACCACGATGCCTGTACATTTTGCACGTATTCGTATAGTTGTAGCAGACGTTCAATCTAACCCCCTATCGCCTAATTATGTCTGATGATGGCCCCGGTGATGCGGCTACTATACGGCCAGCCTACACGTGGCATCGTCTTGTATTCCCAGCTACTCGGCATCAAGTCAACTCGTACGAAAGCTACTCCCTCTTGAGCGCCTCGCGCACCGCCGCCAGGATCAGGTCCTTGGCCTTCTCGACACCGTCCTGGTTGCCCACGATCTCAATCGCCTCGTCCTTGGCCTGGTCGCGCGGCACTTGGATGCGGCACCCGCTCTGCTGCCGGATCGAGTTGACCTTGGACCCGTTGGGCCCGATGACGTGCCGGTACGTCTTGGGGTCCGGTAGCACCAGGTAGCCCGTCGCGTCGTTCTTTTGCGCCTGCTCGAGTGCCCGCTGGATCATCTCCTTGGCCTTGGCCACGCCCTCGGGCGGGCCGCGCAGCACCCACGGGATCTCGCCCTGCTCGTCCGACGCCGTCCGCACCACCTTCCACGAGTGTGCATCCGCCGCGGCGTCGGCATCGTCGGTGATGAGAGGCAGCGCCGCATCGGCCGCTCGCGTCGACGAGCCCGTCTTAGCCGGCGCCTGCTGGCCTGCGTGGTCCACGGTCACCTGGTGGTTGTTTCGCAGCTGCCGGAACAGCTGCCCGTTGTTGGACACGGCGTGGTGCACGCTGCGCGGGACCTGCAGCGCCTCGCCTTGCTGCTGCTTGACAATGCCCGCGATGTGCTCCTTAGCCTTGGCCACGTTCTCGGGTCGGCCCGTCACCTTGACGCCCGTCTTGCCCTCGCCCTGTCGCGGCACGTCGATGCTGACGGAAAACTGCGTCTCCATCTGCCGCTTGACGTCGCCGCCGCGTCCGATGAGCGAGCGGTGGTTCTCGACCGGCACCTCCACCACCTCGGTGACCTGGCTCTCCCGCTCGGCGACAATCTCTTCGATACGCTCGATAATTTTCTGCACCACATCGGTGCGTCCCTCGACTTTGATGGTGTTGCCATCGGCGTCCTGCTTCGGGAACTGGATCGTCCGTGCCAGGCTGCGGCGGTCGTCTGCGCCGCCGGCACCGACGACAATCTCGCGCAGGTTGGAGCCTAGAATAAGATTGTCAGTGTCAGAGCGAGTAAGGAAGACGCCACCGTGACTTACCGCCCGAGCCAATAAGCGCCTTGTGGTGCTTTTTGTCGACGTCAAGCGTCTTGACGACGGTGTCGTCAAAGACGGCGCGCTTCTCCTCGAGAATCTTGCGGGCCTGGGCGACCTGCGACGCGGTACCCTTGATGACAATCTCAACAATGTCCGTGTCACGGTCGGCGGGCACGTCGATGCGGGCGCCCGTGGCCTGGCGCAGCTCGTCGAGGGCGGCGCCGCCCTGTCCGATGAGCGTACCGACCTGCTTCTGCTGCACGGGTACCGAGGCCGTGACCGAGTGCTCCTCTAGGTACTTGTGAAGCGAAAAGATCTCGTCACGGGCCTCGTCGGCGCCCTTCTTGGGCCCGCGGATGATGACCTCATCCGGCGCCTGCTGGCGGCGGGGCTTGCCGGCCTCGCTGGCGGCGTCGGCGTTGGACTGGTCCTCGGCCGCGCTCTTGGCAGACCGCGGGAAGAAGATGAGCACCTTGTAGCGGTTCTGCAGGCGGTTGATCTGGCCGCCTTGCGCGCCGATGAGCTCCCGGTGGTACTTAGGGTCGATCTTGAGGACGTGCGTCGTTTCGTCCGCCAGCGTGCGACCGAGTCCCTGGATATGCGAGCGCGCCGCCTCGGCCTTGGCCTTGGGGCCCTTGAGCTCGACCTTGCCGTCCTGGACCTGGATCTCGACGTCGAAGCGGTCGCGCAGCTCCTTGATGTTGCTACCGCCCTTGCCAATCAGGTGGTTGGCGTACTTTTGGGGAAAGTCAAACGACAGCGTGAAGCCGCGCTCCTTCTCCTCCTCTTTGGCCTGCTCGACAAACTCCTCGGCCTTGGCCGCCAGCGACTCGACGGCCGATGCCGGCCCGCGCAGCGTGATATTGGTGCCGACCTTAGTGACGCGGATGGGGATCTGGTCAGAGGAGCGGCTCTCCTGCTCCTTCTTGATGAAGCGACGGAGCTTCTCGTGGAACTTGGCTGGCACGTCCAGCGTCGTGCTGGTGAGCGACTCCTGCTTGTTGAGGAGCTCCAGGATGTGCTTGCGCGCATCATCGATACCCTGCTGGAAAGCCTTGACCTCGGCGTCCGTGGGTTTGGTGCGCGGGACCTGGTACGGGCCGTCGGCGGGGTCCGGGCCCTCGAAGACGAGAAGCACGGGGGCGTCGGCCTCCGAGGCCTCGGGCACAACGACGTGCACGCCGTAGTCTTTCTTGACACGGGGCGTAACGTCGTTGCGCAGGTGCTGGTGGAAGAAGGGGTCCACGGGGACGGCCTGCATGCGCGACGGCGGGAGGCCGTTGATGATGCCCGTAATCTCCGACTGCGCGCGGATGGCGTTCTTGCCCTCGCGCGAGTACAGCTCCCACGGCAGGGCGCCGTCCTGGGAGAAGGGAGTGTTGATGTGCGTGTTGTAGAGCTTTTCGAGGCGCTCAATCTCGCGGCGCTGGCGCAGGTAGCGCGTGACGTTGGCCGCGTGGGCGGCGGCGCCGCTCGGGGCGGTGCGATGAAACCTCGAAATGTCAATGTTGGACATTTGCATGCCCATGGCGAGGTCCATGGCGCGCTCCAGGCCGGCCTGCACGCGGTCGGCGGGGCCGATGATGGTGACCATGTCATCGTCCTCCTCCGAAGGCAGCAGGATGGCGCAGCCCGTCTCGGCGAAGAAGTCGTCGGCCGGCACGCCGCGGTCGCCAACGATGAACTGGTGGCGGCCGCGCTGGATGGAGAGCTGCTCGGCCTCGAGCTCCTTCTGGAGCTGCGCGGCGCGGCGCTCGATCTCGGCACGCACCTTTTGCACGGCCGCCCGGTCGCCGGCGAGCTGGATGTGGTCGTCGTCGGAGCCGGCGGGGTGGAACACGGGCCGCTGGCCGGGTGCGGGGGCCACAGGCGCGGGCACACGCGAGAATGGCTGGTGCGGGGGCACGCGGATCTGGACGCCGTTCTCGTCCTCGAGCGACTGGGCCGCGGCGTTGGCGGGGCCGGCGAGGAAGGGGTAAAAGGCCGGCGCAATGCCGCGGACCTTGGTCTGCACGTTGGCGGAACGCTCGCCGGCAATCTTGAGAATCTCGTTGCGCGCCGACGCCGCCGACAGGGCGTTGCCCTCGACGATGACATCAATTGTGGCGTCGTCGTCGTCGTCGTCGGCCGGGCGGCTGCCCTCCTCGGCTCGGGGGAGCTGGATCCGGGCACCCGTCTTCTCCTGCAGGGCCTTGATCATGGAGCCGCCCTTGCCGATGATGTGGGCGCGCGCGCTGTGGGGGATGGGGACCTTGATCGACGTCTGCTCTGGTTAGGCACGGCTCAATGGCGGATCGACACCCGGGAAAAACTCACCCTGAGTCCGATCTGCGAGACCAGATCCTTGAGGGCCTGTTGGGCGACCTCGGGAGGGCCGGTCGCGTCGAAGCGCAGGCGGCCGTTGGGGGCCGTAGACATGGTCAAGTTGGCCCGGGACTTGCGGTTGATGTCCTTGAGGGTGTCGGCGATGGGGCGCTTCAACTGGCCGCGGGGCAGAATGAAGGCGGGATCAAGGGTGACCGTCTCGACATTGCGGCCGGGGATGAACATGGACGGGGCGGCGCTGGACTGCGAGGGCGTCGCGGCGCCGGTGGACGTCGGGGTCGAGGAGCGAGAGGCGCCGTTGGAGGCGCCGGAGCCATTGGCCTTGCCATTGGCGCCGCTCTTGGCACCCCAGACAGGAGCGATGTTGGCGCTCTTGCCCTTGGGTGCGCCGAGCTCCGGGAAGAGCTCGTGCGACTGGGTGTCGAGGGCGGACTTGGGCTGGGTTGCTTGCTGCTTGCCAGCGGCCTTTGCGCTCATAGGGGCAGCCCAGGAGCCAGAGGCCTCGGCGGCCGGCTTCGGGGCTGGGCCATCCTCGTCGGGGACGTCCTCAACGGTGACGGTGTGCGGAGCCTCGGCGTGCTTCTGGAGGAGCTTCTGCGCCGCGGATTCCTCGCCGCCGTTGGCGAGGTCAGCGGTGGACGTCGGGTTCGCGGCCATTGTGGGACGTTCGGGGACGTATATGGGGGCTATTTGCGGGCAATTGGTGGTGCTGGCTCGGCGTCAGTGACCGTCGTCGGATGCATTGACGGGTCCGGGGTCATGCCCCCCTTCCCCCACGCGGTGGACTTACAGGACCGCTTTGGTCGTTCGAGGAGAGTATTGAGGCTCGGGCACAATACAATACACAGTCTTGGGGTTCTGTGGCGTCTAGAACATGATGCAGACGCGCACAGGCGATGGATACCGGTGACCAGGAGGATGAACCAGAAGATGCGGCGGACCGAGGATGGTGGTGCGAGGCGGTGTCTGTTGGAGCGGACAGAGTTGAGGGTGAGGTGGAAGTTTGTCCAGCTTCCCCCACGGCAGAAGTGTTGGCCTGGCGCAGGGGTCGGGCCCGACGGGCGGCTCGGATCCCCACCAGGCGTGGTGCTGGTGGGCCAATTGGAGCGGGAGTCACGGGACGAGGCATGTGACTTGGCGATGGCCACGTCTACTTCCTGCGGCCAGGAAGGCAAAAATGGTGAGAATGACGACTGCACTGGGTGCGACTGGAAGGATATGGCGGCATTGCAGTAAGCAATTGGGCCGTCTATGTGATTTCCATGACGCTGTCGTGCTCTGCTTAAGGTCGGGTCGTGTACTGTGGCCTGACGCATCCATTATGCGGAGGAGAGTCGCCTACGGAGTACGAAGCAGCCGTCTCCCAAACCTGCACTGCACTTCGAGGGCCAAGGTTCAATGGCGCGTGAGAACAACCTATGGCCATCTCTGCCATTGGGCCACGACCATTCACTCCAGACACCGGTCGAGGCGTCAACACTCACTCACTGCATCCGTCAAGACACCACTCAACCATTACAGTCCATTGGCCGTGGCTCGACGAGGCGCCCGTCCGCAGACGCCATCGACGACGTACGACTCCCTGCGAACCGACTGGCATCTGCGTTGGCCCTGACAGCCCATCGCTGGCCAACCATGCAGCCGGTCAGCATGCCTCTCTCCCTCAGTCGTCCGTCATTCTGACGACTCGCGCGCGACGCCCGGGCGTGGCCCCGCGTGTCCTGGCGTGGGCGTGCGGTCGCACGAGCTCGCTTCCCCGCGAAGCGACGCATCGGCGAGCGGACGGGAGGGCGGGCGGACGGACGGGCGGGAATGGCACAGATGCAATCGATCTTACCTTGTAGTAGGGCAGCAGAGGCCCCGACGAGCGCGCCACAGCGGCCCGGGCATTGGGCACCGCGAGTGAAGCTCGAGTCGGTCGTCCCCGTCGAGGGCCGAACCAGACTGCCGGACAGCCAGGAGGTGGGGGCGGCTGCGTTTCAAACGCCTGCACAGAGGGTCCCGGGCAAGACACGATGCGATGCGCCTGTCGCAGACCCGTCCCGCTTGAACGGCGGCGGCTGGCCCGACGACGTCTGTAGCAGCTTGGGCGAGATGAGGACGGACCGTGTGGAGCGCAGGCCCTGGTGGCTTGAAACAGGGGAGGCCCGGGGCCGGGACGTGACGACGCGGAGTTCTCTCACGCAGGCCCGCGCCAGCAGCGCCAACGGGCAGAGTTATTGCCGACGGCGTGAAACGGAGGTGGTGATGAGTGAGCGGCGCTGGGCCGGTGATCGCGCACCCGTCCACGTCGATTTCTGTTGCTTGCGCCTGTGCCTGGCGTCGGAAGCAGCCCCGGGTGGCCCTGTGTCGCGTCCAATTGCCCCCCGCCCTCCGGGGCCAAATTCCATGGGCAGTCGAGTCCATGGCATCGTCCGGCGGTCGGCCGGTCAAATCGCCGACGAGGGCGGGCGCACGCGCAGGCAGCAAATGTCGTGGGACAGGCGCGCGAGGGTTGGGAGAAGCCCCTTTGTGGCTTTTGGCTCCCACGTTGTTGGTGGGCATTGTGGCATTTGAGTTGAACGTGTCCCATCCAGTTGCGGGCGCCTAATCAGAGCGAATGGAAGGGGAAGATGGGGGGGTGGGCGTGCCCCGCAGGCCAGGCGACGTTGCGACAGCCTTTCTGGGCGAGTCGAGAATGAGACAGTCGTGAAATTGGGGGCATGCAGGCGGGAGGATGAATGAGGCGGGAAAACTGGGCCATGCGTGGTTCAACGGCCCACTGCCGGCGGGTGACGCTGGCCGCCTGGGGGACTGAGGCAGGTGAGGTTATTAATTGTTCTCCTCCGGGGAGCGGCGCCTCAGGAGCCAGCAGAGGGCCAGTGAGCGCGCCATCAAAGACCAACGCGGGCGATGGCTGCATGGGCAATCTCGACGGTCCGCCATCTTCGTTGGTGAGTGGTGAGGAGCCGCCACGCGCTGTTTTCTTCTTCTCTCGCTCTCCCGTGTTGTCCCGTCGCCGTCGTTATCGTCGTCGCCTTCTGCAAGCCCGAGCCGTCTTCGCGGTGGACCTCGCGCCGGCGCCGTCCAACCATGGGGGGCCACGGTTGCGGCTCCGGGGGCGCTGGGCTTTGCTGATGAGCTGTCCGGCGATGTGCTATCCATGTGCTTTGTGCGGTATTGTTTGCTCCTCAATCGTCGGTAGGGCAGCGCGACACGATACGAGCCTTGGCCAGGCCTTTCATCATTATTTATAGCAGCCCGGGCAGGACCGCGAGGCTCGCGATGCCCGCCTGCGTGCCTGTCAATCGGTCGCGCGCGCACCGTCGCCCGTGTCGATTTTGCTTCGTGCGAGCAAAAAGCACATCCGCGCCAGTCGTTTCACCCATGCACGACAGGGCCTGCAATTAATTAACTGGCAGCGCCCTGTCCTGGCTGGCGACTCTGTACCGAGGCCCCCAACGGTTGTTCCGATGGATGTCAATTGCTTGTGTCGGGCCGCCAGAGGGCTTTCCTCCGGCGCAATTCATCCAGAGCCCGCACTGTGTCGACCCCGCGGGTGGGCTGTTTGGCGTCCAACGCAGGGGTGCGACGACCGACGCCAGTGCGGGAACCCGCACTACCAGGCACCTAAGCCAGCCCCTCAGCATGGAGTCATTCACCACGACGGGACAGACGGTGCGGGTGCGCACTGTACCCGCGCAGCTCGACCCGGCCCTGCCTGGGCTGGGATTGGCGCTGCACATTTTAGCAGCCCTTCCATTGCGAGGCAGTGAGACGGGGTGGATGCCCGTGTGTCGGTCGTCTGGGCTTGCTGGGCTGGCATGCGGCAGGATTCAACGTGGTGCCAATCTGCCGCATACCTTAGCATGGAGGAGAGCATGGCAGACTCGATCCAATGCACTGCAGGCACTCTTAGTCCATAATAGCAAGCAGCCTTGGGTCTTCAGCATTGACGCGGGCCAGCCATTGCCCGTCATCCTTGCTCGCTCGCTCGCTCCGTCACGTCTCTCCGTCTCCCGCATCACCAGACGCGCTCAACCGCCGGACGCCAGATCGCCCGAGCCCATTGCCTGACGAGCACCCGCCTCACGTAGCACGGCCCTCGCAGCTTGGCCTGCTTGTCTCTCATCGCACACGCCCCCCCGGACGCCCTCTCGCAGCCGGCGGCAACGGGCAACAGACAAGCGACCTCGCCTCGTGCAGCGCCGCGCAGCCCAGGTAAATGACGGAGGCGCCCATGCACAGACTGACTGGCCCCGCGGCGACGCTGACCTGACCCGTGGACGACGACGAAGCCGACGACGACGGCGCGAGAGTCCATCCATCACGGCCCGCAGACAGGCGTGACGGCGACCACCACCGCGACGACGGCGGCGACGACCTTGTCCGGGAGCAACCCAACACTCGCAACGGCTCGTAACGCTCGCGACGCACCGCGACGCAACGCACCGCACCGCGCGCCACGCCTCTCGCAACTCGCCTTGCCCACCTGCGACTGACCCGTCGGGCGGCTGCCGCTACCGCTGCCGTTGCAACGTCCTGCCATCGACGTTGCCAAGTACCTCACCTAATACTGTGCTTCCCGACTACACAGCGCTCGCTGCCCCGGCAGCAGCCCAGAGGTCTGGCGCCACCGGTGACCTCCCCTCTCCTCCACCGCACCACCGCACCACCCGCTGGGCGTCCGCCGCCAGCTGCCCGCGCCGCCGCGAAAAAAGGAACCGGGAACCTGAAGCAGCGCAGCGCCAGCGCCAGCACCAGCGCAACTGGACGCGGCCCAGGCAAACCCGCCCGCCTGCCCGCCCCTCCTCCGCCCACTCGCGCGCTCGCCCGCCCACCACCACCTCCTCCATCACCCTCTGGCCCTCCCCCCCAAAGGAGCGCCCACCCGCCCATCCAAACGGAGGCCCGCAAGGACCGCTTTTTTTCCCTCTCCTCGCACACCCTTCGTCCCCTCTGGCCCCCAGCCGGCGCTCGCTCGCTCCCTCCCCTCTGAGACCTTTTAGGCAAGGGTTGGTCACTATCATGGACGGCCAGAGCTCGCCTTTCAACGGCACTTCGCAACGTCGCAGGCTCGTCAAGAAACCTCCTCCCTCCTCCTCCACAGCCGCCGCCGCCGCAGCCTCGTCCTCCTCCTTCCACCAGCACCACCAGCACCACCACCACACGCACCACCACGCCTACGCCCGCTCCTCATCCGGCTTCGACGCCCAGTCCATCGACAGCCAGCGCAGCTCCCAGAGCCTGCGGCGTGCCCCGAGCGCTCCGCCCGTGCGGTCCTCCGCCTCAAACACGTCCAACAACAGCTCCTCCTCCCCCCGACACCCGCCCGCCGCACAGTGGTCCTCGAACCCGTCCCCCGTCCTCCAGCAGGGAGACTTTGCCGGTGCCGGTGCCGCCGCCTCCTCGTCGTCGACAACGTCGCCACCGTTTGGCATCGCCAACTCCGGCAGCGCCTACACCGCATCCGCCACGCCGCTGGCCCATCGTCCGAACCGCCTCTCTGACCCTCACCTCCGCCGCCTGAGTCAAAAGGCATCCGACGACTTCATCGGCGCGCCTTTCGACGGCGCCGCCATCCTGAGCCGCATCGAGGCCACCAAGATCTCGAGCCCTCGATCCTCATTTCAGCGACCCCCCAACGCCGCCCCGCCCCCTCTCCTCAAGGCTGGCACCGACTCTCGCCTCGCGAGCCCCGCCCTCCGCTCCTCGGTGAGCTTCAGCAACATGGACCCCTCCATCGTGGAAAAGGTCCAGGGCGGCCGGGTCCCAGACTCCCAGGTCACCAGCCCCAAGCGGTATTCGGACGAGGGTAAGGATGCCAAGCCCGGCGTCCTTCGCAAGAAGTCGGGCTTCTCTGCCATCGTCAACAGCCTCGTCGGGTCTCAGAAGAAGCCCGTCATCTCCGCGCCCGAGAACCCCGTTCACGTCACTCACGTCGGCTACGACAGCGCCACGGGGCAATTCACGGTGAGTCCAGCCCCGCGCTCGACGCTGCTCAATGCACTGTACTGACTTCGTCTCGCAGGGCCTGCCAAAGGAATGGCAACGATTAATCAACGAGAGCGGCATCCCCGAAAAGGAGCGACGCGAAAACCCCCAGACCATGGTCGACATCCTGCAGTTCTACAAGGAGACGCAAGAGCGGCCGCCCGAAGACCAGATCTTGGAGAAGTTTCACCACGCAGGCACCGCAGACATGCGGGGATATGCCACGCCCCCCTCGAACCCGACCTCTCCCGCCATGTATCCCACAAACTATATGGGTACGGCCCACTGCTGGTCCCGTTCCTTCCTCGATTTGATACTGACCTTGCCCGCAGGGAGCTTTGAGAACCCTCGGCCACCTCCCCCCGTGCCGACGAGCAGAAACCAGGGCCTGGGCATCGCCGGTAAGGACATGATGCCCAACCGCCCGGCACCGAAACCGCCCGTGAGCATGAACAACCGGCCGTTGCCCCCAAGCGCGTACACGACCAAGGACTCGGGCATCGGCATGTCTCAGCCCCCCGACGACGTCTCGCCGGGCGGCTTCGGCCAGGCTAAGGAGGCCCCCATGCTTCCCGAGGAGCACCGATCGCGATCCAACTCGCGCGCCAACGGGCAGTCGCCATATAGCCCGCCGACGCCGCAGATGACGCAGGCCGCGCAGGCGACGGCATACCAGCAGCAGCTGATGCAGCAGCAGCAGGAGCAGGCCTTGGCGCAGGCGCAGGCGGCCATGTCAGGCCACGTTGGCCGCGCGCCTAGCAAGCGTCAGGCGCCTCCGCAGGCCGTCCCGAGCCCGCATCATGCACCGCAGTACGCGCGGACGCCTGAGCACAATGGCCACCCGGGCTCCCGCCGGCAGCCTAGCCCCGGCGGCGTACCTGGAGCCAGGCCGCGACACCGGCCTCGACAGAGCAACGGCATCGACGTGGTGGCCTCGCTCAAGCGTATCTGCAATGAGGGCGACCCGCGGGAGATCTTCCGCGGCTTCACTAAGATTGGACAGGGCGCGTCCGGCGGCGTCTTCACAGGCTACGAGCGCGGCACGAACCGCCTCGTGGCTATCAAGCAGATGAACCTCGAGCAGCAGCCCAAGAAAGACCTCATCATCAACGAGATCCTGGTCATGAAAGACAGCTCGCACCCCAACATTGTAAATTTCATCGACAGCTACCTGTGCGGCGGCGAGCTGTGGGTCGTGATGGAGTTTATGGAGGGCGGCAGCCTGACGGACGTCGTCACATTCAACATCATGACCGAGGGGCAGATTGCGTCGGTATGCCGAGAGACGCTCAAGGGCCTGCAGCACCTGCACTCTAAAGGCGTCATCCACCGCGACATCAAGTCGGACAACATTCTGCTTTCCAACGAGGGCAGCATCAAGCTGAGTGAGTGTCCCCCACGTCCCGTTACCAGTGAACCATACTGACCAGTTGCAGCTGATTTCGGCTTCTGCGCCACAATCAACGAGGCCCAGAACAAGCGAACGACCATGGTGGGCACGCCCTACTGGATGGCGCCCGAGGTGGTCACGCGCAAGGAGTATGGCCGCAAGGTGGATATTTGGTCGCTCGGCATCATGGCCATCGAGATGATTGAGGGCGAGCCGCCGTACCTGACGGAGTCGCCCCTGCGTGCGCTGTGGCTGATTGCCACCAATGGTACGCCGCAGATCAAGAACGAGCAGGACCTCTCGCCCGTCTTCAAGGACTTTCTCTACTTTGCGCTCAAGGTCGACCCGGAGAAGCGGGCGAGCGCTCACGACCTGCTGAGGGTATGTTGTCCCCTTTGCCCCCCCTTTTGTGTGCTGTGCATATCTGACGTTCCGCAGCACGAGTTCATGAAGCAATGCGTCGACCTGGGCCAGCTGGCGCCTCTCGTCCGAGCCGCGCGCGAGCAGCGAGCCCAGGAAAAGGCCAGGAAGCAGTAGTACTGACAACTGCCCTGCCCTACCTTGCTCATCTCCGGCCCGTCGAGGCCGGCGGTTGTTGATTTGGTGCCATTCACGCATACGTCCCCCAAAAATCTGTCTCCGAGCATTAGCGAGCCTCTGGACCCGAGTCCAGTTTACGAAACGTGTCGAAGAAGCAACGATACGATACACCCCAATACGGCCGGCCAGCCTAACGCTGGATACGCGCTCTCAGCGATCTGAGGAGGATTGCCGGTCGGGGCATGCATGGAACCGCCCAGCGAGCTGGCGACGGACGAACCTCCGAGCGGCCATGTATTCCCGCCGTGCTCGACCCGGCCACTTGTGGACAGGTGGTTCCCTTACTACATAGACATGCATTCACAACACTTTTTCTTGCTTTTGTGCCTGGGGGTCGCCGGGAACATGGGACCCTGGCGGCCCGACGGGCAGCACTGGATACCAAGGCAGCGATGCCTGCCACTCTACCCCCATTTCTCTTGCTCGCGGGCCTCGCTGCCCTCTGACGATCTCGAATGCGCAAGCGGTGGCGGTTTGCTTTGACGTTGAGGGGAGCGGGAGGGAATCGAACAAGACGAAGGCGCGGCTGGAGACGCCGCAGAACGTCTGGGATGGATGTACCTAGGACGAAGGCCGGGCGACGGCCCCGAACGAATGATTGATCTACGGGCTGTGCGTGTATGCATACGTGACTGCAGTGAGTGCCCCTGCTTGGCGTCTCGCCGGCAGCAATGCGTCAGAGGAAGTCACTCGAGACCGCAGCGGCCGTCAATCCCGATGATCGCCTGCTGGCACTGCCGAGATGCCGCGCAAGTGTTTGAGCCGTAGACCACGCCGACTTTGCGGTGTAGCCGACAGGGGCCCGAAACGAATTGAATAATGGGTTATATGGTCGTAGGGACTTTAGAGGAGCCTTGTGGCTTCGAGGCGGAAACGGTACTCGGCGCGCCCGGAGGGGGCCAGGCGGCGAGTCAGAGGAAGCGAGAACACGGCTCGGCAAACAGGCCGGTGGTACGACGACGGACGGCATGTGTGTTGATGTGGAGCGGAGCAAGGTAAGTCATCGTGTGCTGCTGGCCGGTCGATTGACGGTGCGGTGGAAGTGCCGTCTTGGCTGGCGGCTAATGTATGCGGGTGTTGGGCAGCTGGGCGGAGGCGGACCCTCACTTATGATCCACGTCGCCCCCGAACGCAACCTTTCATATCGTTAGAGCATCTACCATTCATCTGCCCAGGACCCCATTCCCCTGGTTTCCATGTATGTCTCCATGCATGTTTACGTTACGAGGAATTGCGCCGCAGGTGAAGGATTCGGTGTAGGGTGCGCCTCGTCAGATGGACAACTGCGGGCAAATCTCGCCGGAACGCAGCGTCAGCTCCTATCTGATCTCTCATCTTCTCCAATGTTCAGTTCACAACACGGGCTCGCCCCCTGGGCCGCCACCCGAGCTTGTTTGTGATGAGGGCATCGACAAGTCCCGCCCGAGCTCGTGACTTACACGTGGTGGCCGTGCGAGCAGGGAAAGTACGTATGGAAATGGCCTACGCCACCAGCCATGAGCCCTGCCATGATTCGAACGACCTGCTGTTCAGGTAGAACCTCAATGATTTTTTTCCCCTCCCGTCATGTACTGCTGAGCCCGTCCGCAGTATCCAGCCGCATTGACGCCAAGGCCCCGATATCCCGCCGCTGCTGAAAGCAAGCAAGCAAGCAAAGCCCCGCAACACGCAACCCGGCATCCATCTGCACAGGGCTCCGAGAGGGAAAGGGGCGAAGCCAGCCACGCGCAAAGCAGAATGTGTGCTTTTACGTGCTACTACATTGTAGAGCATGGTGGATATGTATGTACCTGCGTTGCCTTCACGCGGGAAAGGAAAGGGGACCAGGGCCCCCTCCCTTTGCCAGCGCGCGGGGGAGTGGGATGGCCGGGAAGCGTGAGAGAACCTGTACGACGAGGCCCAGCCTTGATGCTGGCTGAGAGACGGGGACAGACCGGGTTGGGGAGCCAGTGCGCGTGCAATGTTGGTATGCGCCATGTTGGCCCACGCGTCCAGAGTTTCTACTACTGAGCATTGAGCGTTTGCGTCCTAGGCCCAATCACGCGCGCGGCGACGCGGCCATCAGGGAAGAGGTCTTCGGTTGTGGGCTCTACCGACCCTGCCTGCCACATGAGCGAAGACGCGTTGCTGGGCTGCCGCGTCCACGGAACGCCCCGGAGGATGCCTGAGTCGCCATGTGCAATTACTAAGACCAGTGAGCCGCCCGAAGCTGACGATGATGTTGCCCCGCGTGACCCATGTACTCAGCAAGGTACCACGGAATGGACACACTTGCATGCATGAAGGGGATGTCATGTCATGTCTCGAAGCGGCTTGCTCAGCAGCGGGAACTATGGAGGTGACGACGTCGGCCTTCCGTCCATCCATCCGTCAGGGGTGGACGTGGCATCGCAGCTGCGTATCCGGTGCGGTTCGGGCCTGCCCGTAAGAGGGCCTCCCCGGTCCTGCCGTTGCGACTGGGACGGGGCAGACCAACATGCTCTCCAACAAAGAGCGACGAAGCATAAAATGTCCCGCTCTGCCACGCCTGCCCCGGACCCCTGGCACTGCGTGTCGTCAGTTCGCGCGACTTTGAGGTCGACGGCCAGCTGCCATCCTCAACGCCAGCTTGCCCGCTTGGCGCGAGATGCACGTATCACGACGGTAGCCTCTCTCGTCGTCGACCACCTCGGACCGTGGAGTGTGGACTGTGAGGTCCGCGCGCGCGCACGCCAATAGACACGCCGGCGACCGCTCAGCACGATGGATGAGTACTATCATTACTACGAGAGACCGTCGAGTCGGGCGCCCCTGATCGTGGCGCTGCTCATCTCCATGTAAGTCTCTTCCCTCTCCTCTATCTATCCCCCTCCATCCCCTCGCGGTTCCAGCACACAGAGAGCTAGCTAACGCAGGGGAGCACAGTGGCGGCTTCTACCTCCTGTACCGGTGTCTAGACTCGTACTACAAGTACGGCACATAGGAGACGGAGCTATTCGCACCTGTCATATCTTATACGACGATTATCAGGGCGAGTTGTGATGCAGTGGGAGGAGAAGTAAGGGATATGAACCACCGAAGCGGTCTCATCGACGGGGCGTTGGTGGACGTCCCACCGGCGTGACGCGCCACAACGACGGATGAGTGAAGAAAATGCTAATGTCATGCCCACGAGGAGATGCTAGAGCTGTTCCTATTGTCTTGGCCCGCAAAGTGTCGCTCCCTTGCCGCGTCATCGATGCTACGAGTAGACCTCCGTCGGCGAGCGGCGAATCAATGCTACTCATGTAACGACAACCTCCCTGCGAGACAAGTCTCCAACTCGCCAAGCTCCCCTTTGCAAGTGACCAAACTCCTCTCCTTGATTGCCCATCGCCTCAAGTACTTTAACAACAATGACCCCAAGGGGTAAGGGGAGCTTTAAAATGCCTACGGCGCAGCCACCGGTCGAGTCTCAAGCGTCTGCCCCGATATTCGGGTCATTGTTCCCGGGCCGTGTCTGGCGGGAGACCCACCTCCTACCGGGCGACGGAGGTGGCAGGTGGCGTGGACGTCTAGGGACCGGCCCAGCCATCGACAAGCCCAAGTCAACCACAGCCGTCGACTGGTCGCGTCGTCTGCGCATCCACATGTCTACTTAGCCGCATGATGCCTTGGGGTATACGGGACGGCATTGGGTGCGGGGAACGGTGCCCAGCTCTTGCATCAAGTGCCGAATACTACCGTCTATTTTCGCGTCATGCATGCACGTACCGAGGGCTCAATCAGATTGTGCGGACATTATGCCTTTCATTCATACCTAGGCCGCCATCCCGGTTCTCCGCCACCTGGGAGGCATCTATCGTCTATGCGATCCGTGTGGTCGCTTTATCCCCCGTCCTCAGTCACCCGTTTTGCTCAAAGCATGAAGCGTCAAATGCGGCATCCCCATGGAAATCAAATCCGGAACTCCAAGCGAAATGAAGTCAACAATGTGCTGGGTAGAAACTAGTAGCACGAGTAGCCGCCGTCAATCAGGACGTTGGCGCCCGTCATGAAGCTGGACGAGTCCGAGGCCAGGAAGACGCACAGGCCGTTGAGCTCGTCAACGGCGCCGAGGCGGTCCTGGGGCGTCAGGGATTTCCAGATCTTCTTCTGAGCCTCGAGGGCGGGGACGCGGTTCAGGGCCGTGTCCATGTAGCCGGGCGAGATGCAGTTGACGCGGATGCCGTATTTGGCCCACTCCGAAGCGATGGACTTGGCGAACTGGATGACACCGGCCTTGGAGGCGTTGTAGCAGCTCTGCTCCTGCGGGTAGTTGACGATGGAGCCCGACATGGAGGCGACGAGCACGAGGCTGCCGGGCTTGCCCGCGGCCATCATGGCGCGGCCGACGGCCTGCGACATGAGGAAGGTGCCCGTGAGGTTGATGTCGATGAGGCGGCGGAACATGGCCGGGTCGTACGTCTCAGCCTTGATGTTAGAGTCGGCGATACCCGCGGCGTTGACAAGCGCGTCGGGAGCGCCATACATCTCGACGACCGAATCGACAGCAGCGTTGATGGCGGCGCCGTCGCGCACATCCACCTTGAAGAAGGACACAGGCAGGCCAGACTTGTCGTGCAGCTCGGCCGCCGCCTCGTCGCCCAGCTCCTGGTTGGCGTCGAAGATGACGATGGCCTTAGCACCAGCCTCGGCGCAGGCGCGGGCCATGTGGTTGCCGAGGCCGCGGGCACCGCCCGTGACAATGATGGTCTTGCCGTAGACGGTCATGTTGCGCAGCGTCCAGGGCATGGCCTCGAACGTCTTGCGGGAGAGGGGCTGAACGGCGTCATGGTCGGGCGGCGGGACGGGGGAGTCGTAGGGGACCTTGGCGGCGTCCTCGTGGACGTTGACGGTGTGCTTCTCGCCGTGGCCGGCGCCGTAGACGGTGACGGGCACCTCCTTCTCGCGGACGACGCTCTTCTTGTTGGGGGTGTCGGAGACGCGGTTGGCGCGGGTGACGGAGAAGAAGCGAGGGGCGGCGGCGCGGGCAGAGACGCGGGGCGCCGCAGCGCGGGACAGCCGCAGGGCGTTTCGCGCGGCGAAAGACATTGTGTGATGTATTGTGTGTGAGATGTGTGTGAGAGAGGTGGTGTAGGTGGGGTGTGTAAGTGGCAGGCTGTGAAAGACCAAGGCTGTCAAACACACGCGAAGAGGGAAGAAGCGAGGAGGTTTGGGGTATCTCTGAGCAAGTCTATGAATGAACAATGACAAGACCCGAGAGCTGAGGGACACCGGTCGAGGCGGTATATAAGGGTCCTGAGCGTTTGGTGTTGACGACACGGACCTGGGCGCAGGCCACAAAAAAGAGTGGGGAGTCTAGAACTCTGGAGATCACTGCGAGATGGTGGAGGTGAAGGCTCTGCACGGTGGGGAGCTAAATCTGGGTCGCGCTGGGGCCCTGGCAGGAGTAGCGTGGCGGGAAGTCCGGCGGGTGTGTCAGGGCTGTTGGTGTTGGCAGAGGCGAAGCTCTTTTTTTTTTCTCGTCTTGGTGGTGCTGATGGGCGCGAGCTGGAGGGCGGAGTGGGTTCGGGATCTGCCCGCGGTATTGCCTGACAAATGCAGATGTGCTTGACGCGATGCAGCTGAGGCGGCAGAGAGAGTGTATGTCAGGGTCAATTGGCGAGGCCGAGACGAGAGTGACGATGTTGACGAGAGAAGAGGGAACGCAGCAACGGCGACGAAGAGGCGCGGCGGGTTGCTTCCTTTTTGTTAGCGAACTGGGCCAGGGCCAAAGGCGTCGAGCACATCATCGTGGAGAAGGCGGCGGCACGGCGGCGGCCATGTCCATTCAGTCCGAAAGCGCCTAAAACAGGAGGGAGGGAGGGAGGGCGGCGGGGTTGTGAATCGCGGCGCGGACGTGAGATGGGGGTGGCCATGGTTGCTGGTGGGCGTGGGTGTGGGTGGTGGGCGTGGGCGTGGGCGAGAAGGGTCGCGGGAGCGGAGAGGAGAATGGGATGGCGGCAGTGCAATTGAGAAGCAGGGCCAGGTACGTACCCGGATGGAAAAACGTGGTCTGTCGGTGTGGCGAAAACGGCAAGTCAGATCTGACGCTCCTGCTGTCGGCGCGGAGTCGGCGTCGCGTCACAAAACTGGAGCGACTGGAGCGGGCGCTGGAGCGAGTGGGCTTTTGCAGCGATGGAAGGGCTGTTGGTGGCGGGAGCGAGAGCGAACGATGGCTGCAGTCTGCAAGCAGCTTGTTAGCAATCAATCAATCGCTCGCACCGCACCGCACCGGCCTGGTGGCGCCCGCGGGACACCACAGCGGGCATCGGGACACCGCCAAGGCGTGCCCCGACGTCGCAAACGAACAATGGACCGACCTGCAGAGTGCTTGGCGCAGCGGGAGGGCGGGCTGGAATGCAGAGTGTCTCGGACGGGATCAGGCGCAGCAGCACAAGGTGACGACGGAAACCTTGCGGGAGTCGGGGCGAGCGATGGAGGGAGGACGACGACCAACCCGAACCGAACCACCACGCCGCACGCCTTTATACTCGAAGCCTACTTACTTCGTACAGACCGCAGGGTCAGACTGCACGACTACCGCACCACCGCGCCGCACGTACGAGCGCGTGTACTCCGTGCTTGGTACGAAACTGGAAACGAGGTGGTGGAGCACCATCTTACGCGAGAGGTCAGATGACCCCTTTGCAATGCGAACGTGAACCCGGCCAACGCTCGAGGTGGCATGGCATGGCCTCCAGCTGGGAAAGCGGCAGCGCCATAGCCTCCCCCCGATGTCGCCGCCGCGCCGGGGGAGCGAGCGAGAGTGACAATCAGTCCGTGAATGAGTGGCATGGAATACACGGCGGATGGCTGGCGTTGGGGCCTGTCGGCATCGGGCCAGCAGGGATCAGGCAAGCAACCAATTTAGCAGCTGGCCGTCGAGGTGAAGAAACAAGAGACATGCATCAAAGTGCCCGCCCGGACATGTCGCCGCCCGTCACCCGCAGCGCGGCTCTGCTGCAGCGGCGGCAGGGGACAGGGGGGTGCCCTGCAGTGTCCATCTTGCCATCGCAGCGCTGGCGCGTCGGTGCGGCAGTGGTGAGCTCCCCCTCGCAGGGGTCCAACCCACGCCTTCGGGTGGACCGCGCAGGGCCTGGCAGGGGTCGATTGACAGGGGCCGCGTGCGAGATCCAGCACCTGGCTGGATGGCTGGCGCTAGGGCGCTGCTGCAGCGCCGGAGGGTGCTGGACTGGTGTGCTGGCCGCCGAACGCGGAACCGCGAAGCGATGGAACCACCGTGCCAGGGCGACAGGGCTCCGACTAGCTCCCAGCTCCCCTCGAGAAACGGCAGCGTTCCGTAACGGCGGCCAGGGTGGGGCGCCGAGACAGCTGACAGGCACCACCCCAGGCCACCGTTTTGGGACTGCCGTTCCGTGGAGCCTCAACGCCGGCAGTGCATCGTGGCCGCATGCAGTCGCCGGCCCACGACGGCATCCCTTTGTTCGCACGAGCGAGCACGATGCGGCGACGCGCCGCCGCCGCAGCCGCCATTGGGGCCGTCACGTGTTCCCCCGCGCGCCGCCCATTGATCGATCCCCAGACGGGGCCGCGCGGGAGTGAGCCATCCCGCCGCCTCGGCCTTGCCCGACGCGGCGCTCACGGCAACCTGAATGAAGGGAGGCAGGCGAGCGCGTGACGAGTCGCGTTCAAGATCTACTCTGCATGCGATCGTGCGAGATCTGGGCCGGCGCCCTCGCTGTCGACGTCCCGCGTCCGCCACGCACGACGCGCCCGGCTGCGTCCATCACGGAGACGCGTGCTCGAAGCTGGGGAGCTTGCCGTCGAGGACGTGGAAGTGCTCCAGCATTCCTTCCCCCGCCGCTACGTGCTGCTATCTCTGCTGACAGCAGGGCACGACAGGTGGCCAGCAGCTGCCGTGAGACGGCATCTCGTCTCTTCGTCGTGCTTTCTGGGCACACGTCGCTGGCACCGTAATGCAGCGTCATGGCAGGCGAAACGGAAGGAGCACCGGTTCGATGAAGCTCCCTGGTGCTACAGACTACGTATGCGGTCTCGGACATCCGAGCAAGCTCGCCAGGAGCTGCATCTCCAGCCAGACACCCGTGGCGTCGGCGGCGCACACCACACCGCATTGTCTGCAAGCCGTCTGCCCTCGTCCCTGCTCTCTCGCAACGCTGGGCTGGCTGCGGCATGCCCATTGCACCAGGCAGCCGAATTCCTGGGAGCCAGCCGATTCTTCGGTCCGGGGTGAGTCTCGACCAGCAGCTGGTGCGGAGCGGGCGGCGCCAAATCTCCGCGTCCCCAGGCCACTTCCAGAAAGTCGATGCCCCCTTGCCCCAAGCCGCCGGGAACGGCTCCACGAAGACAAATGGAAGGGCGCCTCTCCTATTCAATGACACGGCCACGCCACGCATCCACGGTACGGAACACGGGCCACCCGCCCACGCCGCACCCCAGCATCCGAGGCGAGCCCCGGCAAGCAACACAGGACTGATTGATATTGACCCCGTCCGCGCGCACCTGGCATCCTGGCAAACACGGCCCCCGCTGGGCTGGGCGTCGCAGCGTTGGCACCGGGGAGCGCGGGAGGCGTGGACCGGGGGCCGGGGTGTTGGCCGGGGGGGTCCGATGCGCTCACCGAAAAAAAAATAAAAGGACGCTGAGGCCAATCTCGCAGAGGTCATGTGGACAGTCGACTTTTTCTCTCCCTCCTGGTCTGCAACGACGTGGCCTCTGCGTTTTGATACAGCAATGTATTACTCGTACGGACTACATGGCGGGATCCCTGCTCGAGACGTGCGCGCTGGCACACCCAAGAGGTTCCATCCGTTGGCAACGGGAGACGAGACGGCTGGCGCTTCGCAGGGCGTCGCAGCCTGGCCGCCTTGGAGACGCACGCCGTCGAGAGCTTGAGCTTGACGGCACTGCAGCCAGCCGGGACAATCAATCGACGGGGAACGCCGCAATGCGCATCGCACGTTCGGATGCCATTTCGCCTCGATCCCCGTCCCCCGTCTCCCAAGCCCCCATGGCCAGCGCCGCCATTGTCTCGTCGCCAAGCTCGTCCCCAAAACCTTAATGGCGCCAGCGTCGCTCGCCCCCGGGCCGCCCAGAAGAGCGCCATGCCGCTCTGGCGTTGGACAATGACCAAGGCGACACCGCCCTGCCCCTGTCTCTTATACACATCTAGATGTGTATAAGAGACAGGCCCAGAAGAGCGCCATGCCGCTCTGGCGTTGGACAATGACCAAGGCGACACCGCCCTGCCCTGCCCTGCCTTGTCGTTCCACCCCTGGCCTGGCGCATGCCCCCCGGGAGGAGGGAGGGCCTGAGCTCCCCCCCGGCAATCTCGGGCGCTTGCGTGGCCGTGCAGGTCCGCATCTTGGCTCCGTCCGAAACGGTGGGTGTGCACACCCACGGACTGGGGATGCAGAGGCGAGCGACTTGCGGTGTGTGGGCTGTGCTGCTACTGCTTCTGCTGGTTCTTGCGTGATGGCGCCGCGCCTGATGTGCTTTTGCAATTGATTCATCTCGCTCGCCTGGCCGCGCGAGATTGAGCAGACGGGCAGGTACACGCGCGGGCTGCAGGCTTGGCCTGGCCGACGCCGCCATCGGGGAACTATACTGGTGCCGTCTCGAGTTGTATGTACAGACAAGGGCCCTGCGAGTACCTCGAGCTGTGCGCGTGTGCTGTACACTGTACAACACGGAGGGCATCTCATGATGCCCATGCTTACATTTTATCAGCCGGGGAACTGGCCCTTGCTCGTGAGGCGGCCAACTCGCCCACGCGCCCGACAGCTCCTGGACTCGCTGCACGACATCCTCAAGCGACACGTCGCGAGATGGCATCCTGCGATCCGTCGCTTCGCCGGCGCCGCGGCTCGCTTTCTTTCTTCCGTCCGTTGCAGGCCCCCTCCCCCCTGGTTTAGAGCACACCATGACATGGCATGGATGGACGCAACTCTTCAAGCCGTTCTGCCGACGCCGCCCAACGGCCCATCTCGAGACAAGACGCCATGTGCGGACTGGCAGAACGTACGAATGCAAACGCAAGAAAAAGCCTCTCTGTCCGCCAACAATACCGGTCCATTGACGCCAAAGCGCCGTCGTCCGCCGCCTCCAGGCAGACGTATTCCCTCGACAGCAAGCTCCATCCATCCATCCATCGCGCGCGCCCCTCCAGAGCTCTCCACCGCACCTTCTCAAGTCCATCCATCCCCCCACCCCGCTTGCAGGGCGGTCGCGGGGCTTGCCTGTGTGTGTTGCTCCTGAGTTGGTGATGGGATGTGATGTTCGGGGGGGCGTCCACCAACATCTCCATCCGGAGACCCTCCCCCTTGGTAGTAATTGCGGCTGCCTGGCTCTCAACTGCCAGTTCAATCCCACTTTCTCTCCACCACAGCGAGAGAGGTGTGTGGGCGCACTGCTGCAGGGCGGGCGCCACACCGCTTGGCGCGCAGCCCGCCCACGCCGCTTCAGTGCCCTGACCTTTAGCAGCCGCCCAGGGTCGAAGGGGACCTCTCCTTAGGTAGGCCTAGGGCTGTTGATCACGGCGGCTTCTAGAAGGCGCTGCGGAAGCCCCAGAGCTTTGGATGTCCGCGGGCCTGGGGCCAAGACCAGGAGCAGGAGCTGGAGGCGTGGCGACGACGACGCCGTTCGACGCTCCACCGTGACATCGTCTTCCCAGCAGCCCGGCTTTCGTCGCGACGGCGCCCCAGAATTATCCTGCACGATGTGCGAACGATGTGCGGCGCCGGCGCATATTTGGTACATAGCGCCGGCGGCCGTTGTTTCCATGCTGTCATTTGGTTCTGTGAAGTGTTCTCTTTTGACGTCAATCCAATCCACGCAAAGCTTGACTCCCCTCCTCTGCGCCCCCATGCAGGTGCCTTATCGCTGCACGGCGTCGTCATGGATCCAGCACCGTCATGGACCAGGTCCAGGTTCCGTTGCTGGTCCAGTCTCCGTACGTATTTCTTTCCGGCTGACGTGACACTCGCGGCAGACTGCTTGCTTGTCGGCCTGCCTGCCTGCCCTGTGCGGTGCGGTGCGGTGCGGTGCCATGCCAGGCGTCATCGCGCTGCTCGCGGCCGGCTTGGCACCCGTTTGATGGCTGGCTGCGCTGGGTCGATGGTGGTTCAGCTCCGGCCGGCAGTGAGCCAGCGGCAGCGGCGACGGCGACGGCGAAGCGCATGCGCGGGAACGAAGGGCACACGTTCCATATGCGCTGGGCGTGCGCGTCTGGCCAGAGTCGTGACCCGACGGCCTCAATGTCCTGTCCCGCTGCCGGCGTCACCGGCAGACTGCACGCACATACATATCAACTACGTACTTCGTAACGTACGTACGAAGTAGTACGTGGCAGGTAGCATTGCATGTCGTACAAAGTACAACATGCATATCCCAGGGCGCGTCCCGACTCGCTGCGAGGCGGCGTCAGCACTCTGCACACCGAGCACGTCGCACAAAGTCAGCCTTGACAGGGAAAGCCTAGGAAACCTCCCGCGTGTACATTTCAGCAACGGGGGCGCGGCCACGCATACGGCTAGCGAGCAGTGTATTCGCTTCTAGTTATGCTTCATGTAATCCCGTCAGCTCCATGGCAAGAAGAGCTCTCAAAACGCCTGCGCAGAAGCGCCCCCTCCCACGGTGCACCAAAGCGATGTCCGGTCCCAAAACTAAAACTCCCCGTTCTCGCGTTAGTCGTCGTCCTCGTCGACGTCGGCCTCGACCCGGATCAGGTCCAGGAGAGAGGCGATGTAGGGGCTCTGCAAATTCCGTCAGTATCGTAGACCTCAGCATTGGCGGCGTAGAAGACAGCAACGTACCAGCGCCCTGTTCTCGGCCAGAATTTCAAACAGCCGCGGCTGCGCGGGTCGGAACAGCTTCTCGTTCCAGCCGCCGCGCTCGCCGCCGCGCTTCTGCGTCTTGACGAGCTCCTCCTCGGCGTCCGTCTTGACCACGTTGCGCGCAATGTTGCGCAGCACCAGCACCGCGCTGAGCGGGATGCCTGCCGCCTGCAGGGGCGCATTGGGGTTGCGCTCGTCGCGCGTTGTCACCGTCTCCTCGTACGTCACCGCCATGGTCTTCGCTGGAATTATCCACGACGGTCGGGCCGCCCCCCCGCGCGTCTGGTTCGGCAGCACCGACAGGATGTGCGTGTTGATGTGCCGCGCAAAGTCCTGCAGGTGCAGCCTGGTCGGCCGGCCGTACTTGGAGCACTCAGCCCATGTGCACTTGAAGTCCTTTTCCGAGTTGTCGAACTGGCCGTCCTCGTTCCGCTGCTCGCCGAGATGGGCCGTCAGGATATGAGACCACATCTGCTCGGGCTTGAGGAAGAACTGCCCGCACTTTTCGTTCTTCCTGTCCGGGTTCATCGCCCAGTAGCACCGCGCGTACTCGGCGCCGTCGGCGCTCAGGGGCCGTGGCCGCGCGCGGATGCCGTGAATGATGAACTTTTGCTGCGCCTCGCCGGGCTCGCGGAGCACCTGCGCGTTCGAGTTCTTATAAACGGACGTGCTGTTGCGGATAAAGTCGGCGGGGGTAATCATGGGCTTGCCTGCCAACTTGAGGGGGCCGACAAACGCCGACTGGTACGCCTGCCACGCTGCGAGCTGCGTCACAAATGAGTCGTTGTCTTCCTCGAAGAAGCACTTGACCCAGCGGTGCACGCGCTCCGGCTCGTCCAGCCGCACCATCTCCTGCAGCAGGTCCTCCGGCACGGGTGCAATCTCATCTCGCGACGGCAGCTTCTGCTCCGGGTGCAGGATGAGATCGCGCTGCATCTTGCGCGCCCCGTGGGAAAGCAGGCGCACCAGGTGGTCGACGAGGTTCTCAGGCACCGTCGTGCGGATGAGCCGGTCCACGTTGGGCGCAACGGCTGTGTACTGGTAGAGGAAGTCGAGGCACGCATCGATGAGCTCATCGTCATTGAGCAACAACCAGCCAGCGATCCGCCGCAACACGGCCGGCGTCACATCCGGGAGCTTGTTGGTCGCCTCGAGGTTAACAGAGATGCGGCCCAGCGCCCGCAGCGCCGTCAGGATAGTCCCGCGGTCGTCCGACGCCAGCTGCGCCAGCAGCGACCGGTAGAGCGGGTCGGCACCGTCGAGGACGACAAACGGCGTCAGCTGCTCGGCAATATCCAGCGCCATGTGCTTGAGCTCGGCCAGGAGGTCCCGTGGCGGCAGCTGCAAGATGATGCAGACGAGGTCCTTGAGCGGGTAAAAGTCGGACATGTTGTGGGCGTTCTCGGGCAGCGTCACCATGTTGCGCATCGTCAGCACCGCCTCGGTCACGAGCACAAGCCTGTCCGAGTATTCGGCCGTCTGCAGCGCCTCGGGCACGTCCCGCTCGACGAGGCTCTCGATCCGCTCCAAGATGTCCGGCGTGCCGTTGTTGCCGTCGAGGCAGCCAATGTCGCCCGTGTCGGCGGACGCATCCCACACAACCTTCCAGTCGACGTGGTAGTGGAGGTTGCCCACCTCGAGCGCCTTGTCGACGAGGCCCTCGGCGAGGCCCGGGAACGCGTCGAAGCGAAACTTGTCGCCCCGCTCAAAGGATATTTTGACTAGGTGGTTGAGGCCAAACGCCTGCTCGGCGGGGATTCCGGACCGCAACGCGTTTAGACAGCGCGTGTAGATGTTGGGGCCGTCGAAGCCAGCTGCGCGTCAATGTAAGCACAATGCCATCTTGCGATGCGCGCATGATCGATGAAAGGGGTTCACTTACTGCCTGGCAACATCGGCTGCCTGTTGGCCGGATCGATGGGCGCTGGCCGGTGCGGCAGCCGCTGCCTGGGAAACTCGCTCGGCGCGCTGCTAGGGGTCGCCACGGCGCGGAGTTGGATAGCCTTGGCCTGCTTGGGCTGGTACGACAGGACCATCTGCGAGGTGTTGTCGGCGTTGGGAGGGTGGTGCATGATGGACGGGCCGCGGCCGGGCCCGCCGCCGTGAGGCATCGGCTGCTGCATTCCCGGGTGGTGTTGTGGTGTTTGTGAGTGGTTGTTTGCAGGAGAGGCGTGCGACGGGTGCTGGCTTGAAGCCTGGCGCGTAGTCCTAGTCGGCCCCGTGTCTGGTTGAAAGATGACCCTCTGCGGTGGCGCCTCCCGCAGGCCCCTTGATGCCCGCGCGCTCGAGACGGGTATGTCGGCGGCCGACCGCTCGCGCGTGGGGGTCCCGTCGTCGCCCGACGCCGCCGAGTCGGTCGCGTTGACGTTGCTGTCGCGCTTCCCCCGGAAGTTGTCGCGCGTGCGCGTCAGCAGGTTGGCGCCCTTGGCCGTCACGTCCTCAAGGATGTCCTTGGGCGGCGGCTCCTTGCCGTGAACGGTGCTGATCTCAAACGCCGCCAGGTTCTTGTAGAACTTTTCCTTGAGCGAGAAGGCGGTCGAGGCCTCGTTGTTGGAGAAGAGGCCCAGCTCGGCCGCCATCCGCCGCCACGCCAGCTTCTCCTCCGAGACCTTGTCGTAGCCGCCGTTGGCCACAATGTGGTTGAACACCTTGTACAGGTCCAGGTGAATCATGCCCACCTTGGGCTCCGGGTCCAGCGTTGTACCGCGCTTCGCATGGTACTCGCGGAGCCGCGTCATGAAGTCCTCGTACTCGGGCGTCCGCTCGATGGTGTGCAGCTGCACCTCCTGCGGCGTCGACGTCATCTCGGCTGCCGCTGCGGTTTGTATTTTTCGACACTATACTGGCACTCTGGCCGTCTCGCGGTTCTCGTCCCGACTTGTCGCTTCGATGAGGGCGTCGCGACTCGCCTCGCTGCGCCGCTGCGCTCGTCTCCCTCCCTGCGCGTTGTCGCGCCCGCGCAGAGATCAGTCGCGTGGATGGCTCAATGTCCGATTGATCGGTGCAGCTGCCGCTCTTCGCAAGTTGAGGTGTCGTCCGGATGGGGATTGTTTCTCGATCCTCGCTGCGCTCGCTGTTCCTGTCGCACAAGCTTGGTTGAGCAGCGCGTCCGCCCTGGAAAATGGGCCAAGTCCTCGCATCTTATCTGCACGTGACCTCGCGCCGCCAATCGCCCCTTGGACACGCTGCCACCCTAGACCAAAGCCAATTATCGAGATGCCTATATGTTCGCTCATGAATAACCGACTCACATATTAACGTGCAAGTCACGGAGCAGCGACATGACACAGCCACTTACGCCAGTCTCCGACTGTCCGCTCAAGCGACTGGAAGTCCAGGGCGACGCGAAAGTTCGAGTCTACGGTGTGGGCACCACGGCCACGTCTCTGACTCTCACCATCAAGCACGACAGGACTGAGTCGAGTGACAAGCTCCTCCTTGTGGTCAATGCCGGTCTCCGGACGGTGGTAAGCGGCCATGACCATGGGGCTGACTGAGCTGACCGGCAGATGTCTATTACGCTTTCGGATCTCCTGTCCCCCGGTGTGGGCGCGATCACGGTCGCCCGCCACTTCCAAGCCATGACCGTCAGGATCTCGCAGCAAGGCTACGAGGTCAGGGCCTTTTTCGATGCCGGCCGAGACCTCGAACTCGCCGCGCATACTCTCAGCAGGCTCGGCTTCCCGGTCACAGAAGATGCAGAGAGCACTCAGAGCTTACTATCGGACCACTTCTCGGCCGGCTTCGTTCCGGGCCCTCGCTTGTCGTCTATTACGCTCATTCCCGGCGTAGACACGTTTGGCTCCGCGTCACACGACCTGGTCCCGTCTTCCCCGGTCAACCCCGCGTCCCCGGGTGTATCACAGGCCGGAACACTAGACGCGCGCATATTTGGACCGCAAAGTGCATACGCGGCTCCGCTAACGAACCATATGCAGTCTGAGACGGCGGTTCAGCGCTTCAGTCCATATAACCTGTTCGCCTCCAAGCAGAGCGAGCTGTATCGACCACCCGTGGGATCGCCGCTGCGAAACTCGTTCTCGCCAGACGATGCGGGCTCACAGCGGCGGCATCTCAGCCCCGTGCTGGACAACTGGGCGCAACCACCGCGGTCCATGTCAATGTCGATGGCCTCGCCGTCTTTCCCAGAGCCGTCGTCGTCGTTTGGGTCGCACGGCAGCTACGCCTCCAGTGAGGCGTCAGCTGGCGGCGAGATGCCCTCTGCGCCTAGCCTCGAGCCGCAGCGAAACGCTTCAGTCTCATCTCACGAGTCACAAGATACAATGCCGGAACGACGTGATCTCCCGTTTGTGCGAGCCGCAGCAACCAAGTCTGCAGTGAAGCCCCAACGCAAAAAGGCCTCGACGCAGCCTCTGCCCAAACCTACGGAAAGCGCAGAGCGAGTGCGCAAGCGCAAGCAGCCCGTAAACAAAAAGCAGAGCCAGGCAAGAGTGGCAAGTCGAAAGAACCCAGCAAGGGCAGCCAAAATGTTGAGCACACCGCCCTCGGTTGTGGCGGATCAGCCGGGCGGTGGTGACGGCGGATTCGACCCCAGCCCCCTTGAGCCGGCCACGACGGTGGTGGTCGCCGAGCCCAGTGTCGTTCGCCGCGTGTGTACAATGACTTTTGCTCTCCTCGACCAATACGAGGCGGACGTGTCCCGGGGATGCGACAAGGGCCTATGCGTGCGGTTCTACTTGGAGCGCCTGCAGGGCATGCGTAGAGACTTTTGGCTCCGTCAGCTCATGGGTGCCGCTGAGCACGGACGCGGACCTCTCGCGGAGCCTGCTATGCTGTGCCGCGCCACGGTGTTGCATTGACGGGTCTGGGATTCATTACGGGTGTTGTGAGAGTATAGGCCGCGACCAAAGCAACGCTTTCTTCGGCGTAGCGCCTCGATCGGTTACCATCTCAAACCGCTCTCAGCTCGCATAAAATCAGTTGAGGTTGGGGGACACGGCAGCCGGGAGGAGGAGCTTGGGCCCGCTGGAGGTCAAGGGAGCGGCAAGGGTCGACTCAGCCGTGTCTTTCGTTGTCGATGTTGCCAGGGACGGAGATGCGGACGACGAAATTGAACTGTCCGTCGGCAGTGTCAATGTTGTTGTCTCTGGCTGGGGGCCGATCGCATGGACGCGAGTGGTCAGAGGTCGTCACAGACAGTCTTGGGTTGCTCAATGCATTGTGTCCCCTCGCTTCGCCATGTTTACGTACGATGTGCTCGGCAGCTGGGGATCTTGTGGGGCGGCAGAGATCTCCTGCAGACCGATGCGGTGGTCCTGGCGCAACGGATCTTGATGACAGGCCAAGGCGTCCAACCGCGCGCCACGAGAGCCGCCATGTCAACGTCGATCTGCTCGTGGGCTTGCATGGAGGCGGCGCCGCTGGACTTTGGCCGTAATGAGCCCGTCGACGGGCGGCCGGGACGGGTTGTCGTGGGGTTGTTGATCCAGCCTAGAGGAAGCTATTGCTTCGGGCCCCTAGTTTTGCTTCGGGACGTCGCTCTTCGAGGAGACTAATCTGCCGTGTCGCTGGATAGGTAGACGCTGCGCAGGGAGCAAGATGAACGGGGCGGGTGGCGGCGGGACGGGGCGAGATGGTGTGGGGAGTTAGGGCGGCGCAGTGTGTACCTGAGAGGGAGCGATGGCTGAGCTGGTGGTGCTCGTACCTGCGTGCCCGTATGCAGGGTGCGCCGTGGACCGTGAGGGAGACGGACAGAGCCATCTGCGTTAAGTCGGGTGCCTGTCTGACTGCGGAGAGAGCACGCGCTGCACGTTGCAGGAAGGGCGATCGCGGCACCAGAACAGACCAGATGCTGATAGCTGCCGTTAGTCATGCAGTCGGTCTTGCAGCTATATCCATAACAAGGAGCATCTAGGCCGACCAGCAGCCACCGAGACACCTCGCGCTGGCTGAGTCCTGACTCCTGAGTGAGACAACTGCGAAAAAAACCCAACGTAAGGACAAGGGGACAATGCAAAACCCAGCACACTGTTGTATTGGCTGTCTCGGCTTTCCTTCTCGCGCCTTTCTTTTTCCCAACCCTCGCGGCTGCGCTTGACGTCGCCGCAGCCTCGCCGCTCAGACAGGCCTCATCTCCCCGACGCGGCTCGTCGCCTCCCTGCTTGTCCGCCGACGGGTCGTCGAGCACCGCGCTGCCCAGCATCCCAGCTAGGGCGCCCGTCTGCCGCCTGGGCTGTCTCAGCCCGACGACGTCCCGAGCACCGCCGCCCGGAGGCGACGCCCCGTGATTGGGGCCGGCGGAGGTCGTCGGTGGGCATCGTGGTGAGCGGCAGCTCAGAGACATGGCTGCGGCCCTGGGCAGGGCGACTCGTCCATCATCTCCTTTTGCGTGCAGCAGCAGGAGAGAAGTCGGCGATCTCTGTGTTTTGTTGACACCACCGAGTCGAAAAGAGTCCACTCGCAGGCAGCTCACCAGGTATATAAGGAAGGCTTCATCCTGCTCAACATCTCTCTCTCCTCATCACCAACAAGCCTCATCATCCACTACAAGCTTTCAGCTCAACTCCCAACCACCACTCTTTAATACCAACTTCTTCGGATTCTCCAATCCCCACCACCAACCTTCAAAATGCAGTACATCACCGCTATCCTTGCCCTTGCCGCCACTGCCTTCGCCCTCCCCGGCGGCCACGGTGGCCACCAGGAGAACGAGGCCGGCAACGTCTGCGCCTCCAAGCAGACCGTCGTCTGCTCTGGCCAGGGCAACGGTGGCCTCATCACCCTCGGCAACGTCCTGCCCGGTGCTCTGGGCGAGAACTGCGCCGCCGGCGACGTCTACTGCTGCTCGCACGACGATGTCCAGCAGGTAAGCAATACACTCTTCTCTCAGCATCCAGTAGCTAACACACTCTCCAGTCTGGCCTGGTCAACCTGGACGTCAACGCCCAGTGCTCGCTCAACCGCGTCCTCTAAGCGATGGGTCCTCAGCCTCCGTGTACAATTGGTGGATAATAGATCGGTGTGAGCTCGGGTCATCCTGAGCGGTATTCTTCTTGATACAACCTGTTGTATTTAGACTTAACTCATACAAAATGCATATACGCGGCACGATCGCGCGGTAACGCACTCAAAAGTTCCTGATGACTGCTCTGTGATACAACGATCGCCTTGAGAGGGATTGGTGCACGACTTCCCCTGGGGTTGGCTCGGATCAGGAATCATGCTCGCGAAACCTCATGCAAGTCATGATATCCTTCGCAGAGCTTGATCGTCTGCACACGTTCTCCGGTCAAATACAGCAGCTTGTTGGGCCTGCACCAGTCAGACCGCGTAACCTGCCGGCCGTGGGCACGAGCGAATCAGCTATGAAGAGTAGGATCTCTGCAGTGCGACGTGCCACCAACCGCCCAGACCACCGAGTTCAGGGCTCGAAGGGATGACGGCCATTGAGAGCCGACAAACTAGACGCCGGCAAGTGGTTGATTTTAAAATATACTTTTTAGAACTGACTGCATATGCGCCGCTGCGAATGCGTCACTTACTCTCACCGGAGTGTTGTCCAAATTGCAAGTCGATGAATCATTAACGTGTCGGCGTGAATATAAGAGAAGAGCTCATGCCACCGACGGAATATTCATCATGGATCTCTGCATTCGACTCAACATGCTTCGCAATCTGGTGATCGTGCTCCTCGCCACGTCTGTGGTAAGACGACGCTCAAACCCCTATCCATGGCATTGGCCGCTGACGTAGGTTAGGCTGGCGTTTACAAATGTCCCCAAGACTCTGGAGTCATCACCATCCGCGACGAGGATGCCACCGCGGCCATGATTGCGGGGGGCACCAGCGCAGGTCGCTCGGGGTACCTCCTACCTCCCTGGATATCTGCCGGAGACAGACACTCACGCTCACTGACGTGCCCAGGTGGCCAGCAACATTCCAGAACCAACCAATCGAGGACGAGGAACCCGTGATTTTCAGCAACGAAGCCGACCATCGCTGCTTCGACCGGCGGCTTACTCTGCTCCAGTACCCAGTCCACGAGAACGGCACGGTGTTCCCTAAGAACGGCGGCGAGACGGCCTGGTGGGCGAGGTACGGGACGCGCGCTGTGTACACGGAGGATGGGAAGTCGTTGTGCGGCGTCATGACGCACCTGCCGCGGCCAAAATGGCCCACAATTTGCCAGTGCGAGCGCTATCGCGGGTGCGACTATTTCGCGGGCTAGAAAGGCCGAGGAAAGTAAACGTCACTACTGTGTGTGAATGATCTCAGGGATTGTACGAGGTCAAATATGTTACCACTGCCATGAGCCGGTTCCTGTATCCCTCTGCTGTAGGTCTGCGTTGAAGAGTAGAGTGCTTCGTACATGTACTCTGTGAGTGTAAATGCGCGACAGGTGTAGCCTCCCCTTGTGCGACGTGACAGCAACCTGTCAGAGGTTGCCCGTGATTGTTGCCTACCAACCCACTTCGACGTTGTAATCTGGGCACGAAGTCAATATGTTTGCGTTGAGGGGTAAGTGGCCGTCTGTGATATGTGACGAACTGCTCTGGCTGTGCATAAAGACCATTGCTCGTCAGTCACTGTCCACGTACTCCTCAATATCCCTGTCAACTCGGTAGCCATGATGCGCTTGACAGCCGCTCTCATACTTTCGGTCTTAACCAAGACCGCGGCAAGCTCATGCTTCGAACTCGGTGCGATACTTAAAATATTCGAGGTAATGGCAGGAAGCCGGCATGCTATGAATGCCCGCGAATCCCGGGAACGCCCATCTGTGACGGCTACGCTGTGGCGGCCATGAAAGCAGGCGGTACCACTCCCGGACGCTCCGGGTATGCTGCGTTTCATGTTTTGAGTAGAGCACGCAGGTTATGCTGATGGTGCTAGTTACCCGCGAGCCAGCAGTGAGTTGATTTACTTCCAGGGCGCCGAACGTTGCAGCGCGACGACAGCCAGGCAGCTCTCCTTTCCGGTCAATCCAAGTGGGCGCAGTCTTCCCTAAGAATGGTCCGACCCCACGAACGAAAGGGACGTTTGTAGTGTATTTAGACGATGGGGAGACCCTATGCGGCGTTGTGGAACTCACGGGTCCGGTTGGTGAGGAGAGGGAGGTGTGCCAGCACAGTCTGTGCATTTGTGATTAGGAGGACTTCAAGTTGTCGCCAGCAGTGAAGCGGTAATCATGTACTCGTAATCATTAGCTATATGACATGGACTACTGCTTGATTATCCTCTTGAAGAGTTCGATGACATAGTTCTCGTCCACGCTCTTGATCCCCAGCAGCTCGTTGTCCGTCTTCTGGAAGCTAGGGCCGTAGGCCGGGTCGTTCAGCGCGCGGAAGAGGTACGGGATAAAGTTCTCGGGCGCATAGTCGCCCTTTGCCAGCTTCTCGTCGGCTTCCTTGACAATGGCGTCGATACTGACCTGCTGCGGGAGCCAGGGCTTGCCAGGGGCGACCTGCTGGGCCAGGGCGAGCAGGCGGTTCTGGGAGATCTTGATGTTCTCGATGTAGACGCGGCGGTTCTTCGTCTCCTCGGGGTGCTTGAGGATACTGACGACGGCGTCGCCAACAGAGTCGAGGGTGGTGGCGCTGAAGATTGTGTTACCGCCGTCGTACAGCGCGGGCTTGTAGTCGGCGGTGTTGAGCAGAAAGTGCCTCTCCAGGCCCCAGTCCAGGAAGGCGGCGTTGCTGACGAGGGTGTACGTGAGTGCCGTCTCGCGGGACTTTTCGGCGAGGTAGTCGGCAACCTGGACCTTGTGGGCGAATACGGGTAGCTTGCGGGCCAGCGGGTTGTCGAGGTCTGAACCGAAGTCGGAGGGGATGAAGCGCTTCACGCCAGCGGCGATGGCGGCGTCGATGACCTGCGTCTGGGCGGCCAGGCCGGGGACGCCGACGAGAGAAATGACGGCGTCCTGGCCGGCAAGGGCGGCCTTGAGGGCATCGGGGGACTCAAAGTCGACGTCGACGACGGTGATGCCTGCGGGGTACGTCGATTTGGAGCCCTCACGGCGGAGGACGGTGACGGTAAAGACGCCCGAGGCGACGACCTTGTTGAGGACGGTGGGGCCGAGGCCGCCAGCGGCACCGATGAGGGCGACGTTCTTGATGGCGGACATGTTGATGGATGCCCGGGTGGTGTATATGCGTCTAGATGGGTAGATGGACTATTGACCTGATTCTATCGCGGCGATGAGATGCCTGATGAGATGAATGCGCGGTGTGAGACAGAGCTGTGCTGCTGAGATGTCGTGTTGTGATCAATTGCAACGTGCCTAGACACGGGCGGCTTAAATACTTGCGTCTTGGGCGTATCTCGAACATCTGACGAGCCTCGATCACGCCTTTCTGGCGCAACCTGTCGATCTCCATGCCCTTGCATCGGCGACATCGCGGGGGACAATGGCGAGGGGTCGTGGTCCGCGGAACAGAGGTCGTCATCAGGTGCTTTCTAAGGACGGGTTAATGTTGACGCCGCCAGAAATGGTGACATGGCCCGCCTGACTAAAGAGCCGGGCCAAGTCCTTGGAGCCAGGAAGCGATGGGTATCTCCGACTCTTGTGAAACGACTGAATGGCGGGCGGCAGATACTGCTTGGTTCGGCCGGCCCCTGTCGCCATGCTCCAGACAGGGCAGAGGATGAAGACGGGAGGACAGCACGACTCCACCCAAATCAAAGCCACCGACTCGGACATCGGCTTTTGTGGGCTGGCACACGCGCTCGCGTTCCGACTGGCCAAGTGCTGGGGAGGTGTGGGACCCAACGTCGGCGTCGAGTGGGATCAGCAAAATGGGATGTGGGATCGGCCGAATTTTTAAGTGAGGCAAACCACCACGGTCGCTCCTTCCACAGCGGCGATTACCAAGCTCCCACGACGGCCGGCTCGAGGCATCGCCCTCAAACGTGTCAACTTATCATCCCACATCTTCTGCCGGCTCCATGGACTCCGACGACTTTGCCCATCATTTCTCCTCGAGCCGTGTCCTCGGACTCTGCTGCGTAATCTTGTTACGAGCGCCCGGGTGACGAGCCAGCTGCTGCAGCGAGCCGGGGTCGGCGTACGGAATTAATACGTGTAAGTGCAAGTATTTGGGGCGCCCGGTGGTGTCGTCGCATCCCACACGCCCGCGCCCGCGCCGCCCACCGGGCCGCCCACGCCGCCCGCGATGCCTGCACATCATATCCGGTGCAGCCGCAGCCGCGATCCGTTGGTAGTCGGCCTGCTAGCTCGTCTTCAGGCCGGCAGTCGTGCAGCGGTAGCGGTACCGGTTGTGGCAGCGGGCAGCCCCACGGCCGTCTGTTGTCGGCTCTCCCGCAGCTGTCTCAGTCACGCTCAATCTCGGGGACCAACCGCTTACACGCACGATGCAGGACGACACAGAGCACAAACCCGCGCGGCAACGTGATTCGCCGCCATGATGTCGCGCGCGCCGGCCGCGGCAGACCGGCACGTCTGCGACTGCGGCAAGAGCTTCCTCCGCAAGGAACATCTCCGCCGCCATCAAGCAACCCACAGCGGCCCGACCTTTAGCTGCATCGTGTGCGGTCGTTCCTTTAGCCGGAGGTGAGTGTGACACCCCAGCCGACGCCATCCCACTCGGGTTCTGTCCCGCGCGACCCCTTGTCCCTTCTAGAAGCATTCCAGAAGCGCTCACGCTGACGCCGTGCAGCGACCTCCTCCGTCGTCATGCCGCCATCCACGGCTCGGCCGCCGCCGTCCCGGACTCGCGCCGGGGGCGGGCTTGTGACACCTGCCATGCCAACAAGACGAGGTGCGACGGCGGCAAGCAGTGCTCCTTGTGCGCCAAGAGGGGCGTCGACTGCACCTACGGACGCAGGGAGACCGCCTCGGTGTCGACGCAGCCGTCACGCACCGGGTCCGGCTCACGGTCTCCAGTTGACCGGGCTGGACTCACGTCCGCCTCGGCATCGACGTCCGCGACCGTCTCCCCGCCGTCTACCGCGTCCGATCCCGTGGCCCCGCCGAGCGGCCCCTTCAGTCTCGCAGCCCCTGAAGCCGCCCACGGGAATGGCTCCCACCACGAGGGTTTTACCACGAGGTCCGCCCTGCAGGCCATCCTGCGAGCCGCGGCGGCGCGCTGCTCCGTCACGGCGCCCACGCAGTTGCCGTCGCCGCTGACCGTCCCCGAGTCCTGGCTCACCGCCTGCACCGAGTCGTACCTGAGCACCTTTCACAACCGTTGGCCGATTGTGCACGGCCCCTCGTTTGACCAGGCGACGGACCCGGTCCTGCTGGTTGCGTCCATCGTCATGATCAACTCGTGGCTCCACTACGACCGCGGCCTCAAGGAGCTGACAATGAGAATACACGACTTGCTTGTCGAGCAGTCTTTCAAGGAACTGGTGAGTGCGCCTGGCTCCGGCCTTGGACCCAGCTAACGACGCAGTCCAACGACACTTACGACCCGAGCAGTCCCTGGCCGTTGGAGACGTACCAGGTCGCTCTTCTTAACATCATCTTTGCCTTTGAGACTGGGGTTCGTGTCCTCGACACGTCACTGGAACGTCCGCTGACTTGTCGCAGCGAGAAGCATGCATCAAGCGGGCACGCCGCCTGCTCAGTCTCCTCGTCGCGGCGCTGCGGCAAAACAATTGCTTCTGCTCTGAGGCGCAGGACCGCGAGAGGAGCACGCATTTCCCAGGCCCATTTGTTCCCTGGGTGTTCACTACCATGGAGCGCTGGAAACGGTACGTCCTCCTGGCCCTCAGGCGAGCTGGCAGAGCTGACACGGCACAGGTTCGCCGTCGCCACGCTCCAAATCGACGTATTCCTCTCCCTTTTCTGCAACCAGCCGCCCCTGCTGCGGCGCGAGGAGCTCGACCTGGGCCTGACGTCGACGTTTGCTATGTGGAACTCGTACGGGCTGCACATTTTCTTCCCGCGGCACGAGAACGAGCCCTGGGACCGAGGCGCCTATAAGATGGCCTCGCTGGATGTTGCGTCTCCGCAGCACTCGCCACAGGGGGTCCTCATCGAGGACGTGCAGCTGTGTCTCCTGGGTACCTGGAGCGACATCTGGCTGCTTCAGCAGCAGCGCCGGAACCGCAGCGAGGCGGTCGCTGCAAAGGTGGCCGTCGTGTCGCGCCAGCTCGAGGCTTACGAGCGCCGACTTGATGGTATTGAGGACGCCGTGGAGCGGCCGGAGCTGCACGGACAGTATACCGAGTTCCTCTTCAGGGCCTACTCGGGCAAGGGTCTGCCGTCGGACCCCAAGTGGCGGGAGCGGGTCCTCGAGCGCATCCACTCGACCATGTCGAGGGTGAGGATGCTGCATCGGCTCCTCGGCATGCACCTGTACGCGGACCTGCCGGCAGTCCGCGAGATCGCGCGCATGTCGCCTTCCCTGATGTCGGAGCCCGACACGAGTGCCAGCACGCCGACGCCCATGTGGCAGCGAAAGGCCCTGCAAATCCAGGAATGGGCCATCTCCCCCGACAGCCGCGCCGCCGTCCTGCAGGCAATGTACGTTTCGCGGACGTATCGAGAGAGCAGCGCCGTCCTGCGATCACACCCGCAACAGCAGCCGCAGCTCGCCGACCCAGTCGCGTACATGGCCCTCTCGGCCGCGGCAGCCGTGTTCTGGGCGTGGAGCGTCCACACGGTCGACGTTTGCACTTGCGCGCCGGGGCTACCCTTGGATATCGGGGCCAGACGGCGGGCGGCCGAGGCGGGCCCCGAGGTGGATGAATGGGTCCGGCACGGGGTCGGCAGCATCGCGCTCCACGGCATGCCCGTGTGCAAGTGCAGCGCGGCGGCGTGGCTGACGCATTTTGCCGAGGCGCTGGCCAGGGGCGGCGAGCGGTGGGAGATGGGCAGCATCTGCGCCAACGTGTGCCTGTCCAAGCTTGCCTTCTCGTGAGATGGAGGGATTTTTCTGGCCATCTCCTGGTCACACGCGCTGCGGGCGGCAAGCCGTTTCAGGGATGCGGCCCATGCACGCCCATATGATAGACATGTCGTTACGCATTTTATGTACACTCAAGCGAGGATATTTGTACGATGTCGAGTTGTATCTGCCCGCCTCGAGCGCGAGCGCATTCTGCCGCGAGCGCCCTGGGATATCGTCTAGGCAACGTTCTGAACCAAACCTGCTCCGTTTGCAACATAAACCTCATCATCATGACAGGTACCCAAAGAAAAAGACATTGGTGGTGCATGGCAGCATGCCCTGCCCAGAGGTCGCCCTCGTGCCGCCGCTCTCACTCCTTCATCTTGACGTAGTTGCTGGGGAATATGCCGTGCCGCGTACCAATCATGCCGGTCCTGCGAATGAAGTTAGCATTGGGCAGTTTCGCGGCACCTCGAGCAGGCGGAGGGAGACTCACCACCAGTCGTTGTCGCTGTCCGTCTTCTTCAGCACAGTTATGACCTCGCCCTTCTTGAAGCCCAGGTCGCCGGGCTGGTCGGCGTCAAAGTTGAAGAGTGCCACAGCCTCGTTCTTGTTGAGGGCCTGCTTGGCGGCAAAGTTGGGCTTCGGCGCGGCGGGTCGCCCGGGCCCGACCTTCTTCTCGGTCGTGGGCGCGTTGTCGCGGTAGACGTAGCCGTCATTGTCGCGGGTCGAGCTGAAGGTGTTGGAGCGGGAGGGGGCGCCGAAGCCGCCGCCGCCGGCGGGGCGGTCGTAGACGTCGTCCTGCCAGGTGTTTGAGCGGCTGGGGCGGCCGAAGGAGCCGGAGCCGGAGCCGGAGCGGTCGCGCTGGACGCCCTCGCCGTAGGCGCTGCCGCGGCGACCCTCCCAGACGACGTCGTCGTGCTCGCTCGCGTAGACAGGGATGTCATTGTACATGGAGTCGTCAGTCATGGAGCCGGCGCGCATGCCGCTGAAGGCGCGGGAGTTGAGGACGGCCATGAGGGATTGGGCCTCGGGCGGGGAGTGGACGGAGCCGGTGAGGATTTGTTGGGCAGTATAGCGAGTGCCGTAGAGCTGCTCGTTGGCGTCGCGGCGCTCGATGATAGCGGAGCCCTCGAGGGAGACGCCGGCGAAGAGGCCACGCGTCTTGGAGTAGCTGAAGATGCCAGCGACGCTCTTGAGGGAGGCGGCGCCGGCGGCCTCGGCGTTGCGGCCGACGGGACCGGCGGCGAGGGAGACGTTGCCGCCGAGCGTCAGGGAGCCGGCCTGGGCAAACGTCTTGACGGCGTTGGTATCGTTGAGGACGAAGACGAAATCGGCGAGCTCGAAGCCGATCTGTCCGCCGAAGCCGGCGCCGCCGAGGGCGATGGCGCTCGGGGCGCTCCAAGAGCCATCGGGGAGGCGGGCGACGACGACGCCGCTACCGATGCGACCGGAGCCGAGGAAGCCGGCCTTGAGGATGGTGATGACCGCGAGGCCCTTTGCGTTGGAGAGCACCGAGGGCGGGATGACCTTGTCGGGGCCGAAAGCCTGGCGGGGGTTGACGAACGAGGCGAGGATCTTGCCGCACTTTTTGCATTCCGCTAAGGAGTATACGAGTTAGCATTGTAGAGTTGTGGCTTTCTGCAAGCTGGCCGTGAGCCGGGAGGGCGTGGATGATGCGGGCGAGCAGACGTACACTTGACGGACGACGGGAGAGGATTGTGGAGGCCCATGGCTGCGGATCGGTCGGGCGGAGGGCAGATGCGCGAAGCGAGACCTGCTCTTGATGCGCTGCGGAAGGTGAGGGGGGAAGAAGGAGGAGAAGCAAGACCGGAAGAGGGAGGAAGAGGAGGCAGCGAGTGACGACGCGGTTGACGATGCGCTACGGGGCGGACGGCGGTGGCATTGGCCGGGGCACAAGTGTCAACGGCCCAAAGGGAGGAGGACGTGAGGTGGATGGCGCCGCCGATGGGATGCGGTGGATTGGATGTCAGCGCGGGGTGGCGGGGGGGTCATGGAAGACAAAGTCCACCGGAGGGAGGGATGACATGGATGGACGGACGGGCGCTTGCTCCGCCTGGAACGGCTTGACGGGGTCCATCACAGTGGCGGGCGACTCTCCAGGCCTCCGGGCAGGGCAGCAGCTGCTAAAGCGCTGGGTGCGCTGGACCCGCTGTAGCTTTGGGCTCCGGCGGGCCTTGGCGGAGGCATCCATGGATGTTTCGGTGACGTCCCACTGAACAAGCTGCCGTTCTTGCGAACAGTGCTGTGCCGTGCAGCTGCTCGGTCCGACCTCTGCTGACAAGAACCTCCATGGAAGCGAGCACTGCCTGATTTGACATCGTGCGAGGCCGTCCGACTCGAAGCCATGAAGACATTCATTGCACGGGCGCCGGTGACTCTGTACACCTCTCTACAAACCGTTGCATTGATGGCCTTCCGTCCAACCCACTGCCCAAGATCGACCGACTGACGACGACACGCAATAAGCGCCTCCGCGTCGAATACAGGTCTGGCCACCTGTATGCCGAAGCAGGCGAGGAGGGTGCCCGGCCGCGTGGCTCGTGTGGCGGTGCTCAGCCTCCATCGAACTTCCAGGACCGTAGCGTCCGCCACGGCACCTGGCAAGCCTGGGTTGCGCGCGCCCACCACAGTGATGGGTGTTCCCGATTCGGCGCTGAGACAGTACCTACCAGCGGCCCCCACCAATCGACCTGGGCATCGTCTCGCACGGGGCTCCGTCTCCCCAAGTTTCGCCGCCGCCGCCGCCGATAGCAAAGACGACGACCACGACGACTGCGCACCACCGTCACCACCACCAGCGCCCCTGAACCGCCTTCACATCGACACCCAGCGTCGCGAATCCCGCCACGGCTCAAGCTCACACGCCACCACTCTCCGCGCGCACTCTACCCCGGAGTTGAGCCGCCGACGACAATCGACCCCCTAGCACTCGCAACTTCCCCCTGGGCCGACCACCCATCCCCCCGGGGCGCTGCCAAGAGTATCGCATCCCGCGGCTCAACCGTCGCCGACGACACCAACAGAGACGACGCCGCCTGCCCGCCTGCCTACTAGCCGCCATGTCGGAAGCGTACGAGCGCGAGCGCCAGAACAACGCCCGCCTGGACGAGCTCTCGGCCAAGGTCTCCGCGCTGCGCGGCGTCACCATCGACATCTACGACAATGCGCGCGCCCAGGACGTCATTGACAACACGGTGCGTTCCTCCTCCTCCTTCTTCCCCTCCACCCCATTCCCACGTCTGCCCATCCTCGTCTACATGTCCTGCACCCAAGGGACGACGCCACGGATGAACATGCAGGAACGTCGCTAACGGCTCACCCAGTCCGAGACCTTCTCGTCCATGACCTCGCAGATGAAGGGCTCCGCCAGCAGGCTCACCCGCATGGCCGCCTCGGGCAACAAGGTTGCCATCCTGAAGCTCGCCGGCATCATCATCGCCGTCTTCATCGTGCTGTACTACGGGCTGAAGCTCTTCTTTTGAGTCGAGTTGCCATCGAAAGGACCGGATACAGATATCACATCTTGGGCGGTACTTGGAATTGGATACAGCGAAGCGGCGACAAAGGAGCGCGGCATGGGTCGCGGATGCCCGTGGCGATGGTGTACCATACATATCATACCAGGGGGGCACGGGGACAGATACATGGTGTTTGACGGGTGGCGCGGCGTACATACCCTCGGCATAGTTTTGGCGTTAACAAGGCTCTTTCACGTTCGCACTCGGCACACTGCTTCATGCCAGATGAAACCAGCATCTTTTGACGGAACGATTCTACCCTACGTTGCTGTCTAGACTCCAAACATGCAAAACGCCCATGGCATGCCGCCCCCCTGTGATTATCATCATTCTTGGCTCCTACTGCCAGACGTTGGAGAAGAGGTCCTCGTCCCCGCCGAACCCTGACTGCTTGGGCGCCGCTGCGTTGGTGTTGGCGGGCGCTGCACTGCTCGCCCAGCCGCCAAACTCCTCGTCGGCCGCCACCTTAGGCGCAGGGTTGAAGCCGCCGCCGGACCCTGGCACGATGGGCGTGCTGGCAAAGGCGCCACCGCTTCCCCAGCCCAGGCTGCTTGACGTCGTCTTGGTCAGCTCCGGGCTAGCCTTTGCGGGTGCCGCCGGGGCCGGGGCCGGGGCCGGAGCCGGCGTGGCCCACTCGTTGCCGCCCCACGGATCCGCCATGCCCATACCACCGAATGCGCTCGCAGACGTTGCAGCCGCCGGGGGAGACGTGGCGGGCTTGTTTTGAGGGGATGAGAGATTGAAGACGGAGCTGGTGGATGCGGGAGCCGTGGTCTGGGGCGGCGGGGATGTCGTGGTCTGGCTCACCGGTGATGACAGGTCAAAGAGGTCACCCATGGCCGAGGACTGGGCGGGCTTCGGAGCGGCGGGCTGAGCTGGAGGAGATGAAAACGAGCCGAGCCCGCCGAACCCCGAGTTAGAGGGCCTCTGTTGGTGTAGGGGGGCCACGGGTCCCGACGGCTTGGCGTCGAAGAAGCTTCCTCCGCTCAAGCCGCCGAAAGCGTTCGAGCTGGACGTCTGCGAGTTGGATCGCCCGCTCGAGCCGCCTCCCAATCCGGCAAAGGGGTCAGCAGCAGGGGCTCGGGGCGCGTTGTTACCGATGCTCAGGCTGCTAAAGGCATCGTTGAAGCCGCCCTGTTGGGCCATGGGCGGGGACGGCATGCCGCCGAACTGGCCGTGCTGTTGTTGCGAGGCGTGGTGATGGTGCTGTGGTTGATGCTGAGGCTGGGGCTTCGGCGCGGTGGCATAGAGCGACAGAATGGACTGCTTCAGGTCTGGCCGCGACTGTCCGCCGGGCGAGGTGACGCCGGGCGTGCTGGATGGTCGGGGCGGGGCCGTCGAGCCGCCGAGAAAGTCGAGGCCCAGCAGCGAGTCCTTGGTGTTTGTCGCCTTGGGCGCGGCAGGCTCGGCCTTGGGCGCGACCCTGTTGGCGGCGGGGCTGACAGTGCTTGCCCTGGCCGGGATGGGGTCGTCGCCGCCGATCAGGTCGGCCTCGGGGGCGGCGCGCCGCGGGGCCTGCGACTGGCCGATGGACGACTTGCGGATCGACTCTTTCCTCTCTATGGCCTGCTTCTCCTTGACGAGGCTGAGGGGCACGTCGTCGTCGCCGTCGACGTCGAGGGTCGCGGGGTCGGGCATGGGCCCGTCCATGACCCATCGCTTGAGCTCGTACTTTGTGCGGATAAAGTTCTCGATCTTGGCTTCGGAGGGGGCGTGACCGGCAGCCAGCTTGGCTTCCCAATACTTGTTGGCGCGGGCGTTGCCCCAGCTGAGGATGCTCTGGAGCTGCTCATCGGTCCACGAGTCGAGGTCGACGGACTTGACGCGGCTGATGTGGGTGCCCATGCCGCGGTGGATGCCCGAGCAGCGGATGCAGACGAAGACGCCGAGATTCCAGCTGGCCCATCGGGGGTCTGCGCGGCGAGACGTCAGCAGTCCATCATTCAATGCGACGGTGGCGTGGGAGGGACAACGCACGCTTGTTCCTCTTGCAATCGGCGCAGACCTTGTTGGGCTCGAGCTTCAGGAGGCTCTTGATGGTGGCCTGGTTCTGCGCCGCCCGCTCGGCGGCGGGGTTCGGGGCGCGTCGGGACATGATGGGCGTCTTTGCCGCGGCGGATTCGAGGGCTGCCAGCGGGGAGTTCGCGAGATGCTGAGCGGTGCGTCGAGAACAGGCGTCGCGGGGCCGAACCGGGGGGATGGGGGAGAGATGAATGGGATCGTGTGTCGTGTCGAGTTGGTCTGTGGTGGCGGCATCCCCCAGTCACCACGGCGCCGTCTTATTTGGGGGTAAATGCACCACAGGCTGCCGCGCACAGCCACCAGCCCCTGGCGGGCAGTGGGAGCCTAAGCCTCAGGCACCAACATGAATGTCGCAGCAGGTGTGGCGCGTGCGGCTCGGACGCTGGGCTGCTGTGGCGCGGGCCTGCTCACCCGCGCGCAGGTATGTCACTGCTCGCGCTCACGTCAGGCTCCAGCATTTACACCGTTTAATTCTGCCGTGCCGCCTGCAGGCTGCAATATCGCCTCTCCAGGCATCACCTCGCCGCCAGAGGACGTTTGCGATTGAATTCTGCCGAGAGTTTGACGCTGCCACCGCGCGCATTCCAGTCGGCCGCCACGCGCCCCCATGCCGGCGGCAGCGGTCCGCTAAAAAGGACCCCTCCGAAATGAATGATGCAACAGATTCCAAACTTGCTTGCCCGCCCGGATTTGTCACCAGCAGGACCCTGAGCTTCACTTAAGCCGCTGCAACGCACGACTGCGCACCTTTATATCAAGCCAGGCTTCTCGCTCAGGAAGCTGTGAAACCCTCCATGCGATTTTCTCCGCTGCTGTCCAAGGTCCTGTTCACCTTTTCCAACTTCACCCGCCTCCGGACCCCGCATCAGATCCAGGCCCATCTTGCCCAATTGCGCCCCGTGCCCTTGAGGTCCATGTCCGGCATCCCCTTCCTAGGCGCACTTTTCGGATCCTCGTCTTCGAGCTCGTCCAAGATGTCTTACCCCGACCAGCGCTCCGACGACGAGTGGCGGGCGGTGCTCAACAAAGGTACGTGTGTCCAAAGCGGCCGACCGCGTTACGGGGTGCCGGCACGAGGCGGCAAGTTGGCAACCCAGGCTCACAAGCGCAGAGCAATTCCGCATCCTCCGTGAAAAAGGCACCGAGCCGCCCGGGTCAGGCAAGTTCGACAAGCACTACCCGGAGGAGGGCGTCTACACGTGCGCGGCGTGCCACGCGCCGCTGTACAAGGCCAAGCAAAAGTTCAAGTCGGGCTGCGGCTGGCCGGCCTACTTTGACAGCATCCCTGGGGCGGTAACGCGCCACGAGGACAAGGCGTTTGGCATGACGCGGACTGAGATTGTTTGCTCCAACTGCGGCGGTCACCTAGGCCATGTGTTCAAGGGCGAGGGCTTCCCTACGCCGACGGACGAGCGGCACTGCGTCAACAGCGTGAGCCTGAGCTTCTCGCCCGACGACAAGGCCAAGGAGAGCAAGGCTTAAGGCTGACATGACGGGTGGACGATGTGATGAGTGGAATGAGCTGGATGCAGATGAGTGCAGGTTGTGGCTCGAGCCGGGCGCTAGGTGTGTCTTGTGCCCGGGCGATCAACGGGTAGCCGTGATGAAAGAGTTGGGAGCAGAGGCGGTGTTAGTCAGTCAACCGAGTCCAAGATGAATGCATTCTGTACAAACTGCCAGCGCCGTCGCGACGCCGCGGTGATGTCGTACGCTCAGGTGACGGGTCCGGCCGCCGGCTCACCTTCCGCTTCGGTGGAAGTCCGGGGTGTTGAGGACCGTTGGCCTCTCTCCGCCCCCGGTCGGCATAACCATGCCGGGCAAGCCAGGCCGGTGAGATCCGCACTCACACAGTCGTTGACTCGTAGGGGTGAAGAGAGTTTAAACAGACACAAGCGCTGGGCAGCACGTGCAGGCAGTGGAAGCCCACACAGCAAGCAGCACAAGAGCAGGCACGCACGGGATTCGCACAAGCGTCGAGAATAATCACGACCCCAGGCTGGGGGGGCTTCGGCACATTCCACCCCCCGGGGCCCCTCGTGATTCGGCGCCACCAGCATGACAATGCCGGGGCGGTCGCTCATGCACAGCAGCCAGCAGCCCGCCCAGGCCAAAAAAAAAGTCCGGGGCGCCGCTCACCGCGCAGACCTGGCATGTGAAAGCGCAGAGGGGCGACGCATGGGGACTGGAGGGGCGGCGCGGACGCTAGAGGACGGACGGTCGGGGCTAAAGCCCAGGCGCTTCATGTGCCTCGGTCGACCATCGCAGCTGATGTCAGCGGGTCGCTGGCAACGCTGCCAGAGGCGCTGCTTTCGCCGAGGTCTACCGGCCCTGGGCGGGTGGCAGCTATATATCCTCGTCGCCACGGACTTGTCCTGGCCCTCCAACCCCCGTGCTTCATCTCCATACCAAACCTCTCTCCCTCCGTCATCCCCCCTCGATCCAGTCCTCTTCAGTCACAATGGGTGGTGAGTAGCAGAATGCCTGGTAGCTCACTCCTTGCAGCGTCACCAGCTGACAGTCTCAAGCCCTCGACAGAATCTCCCAGATCGGCGGCCAGATCTCTGGCAACCCGACCGCCGGCGGTCGCGACCGGATCCTCGAGAAGCGCCCCGACGATGTATGTCCCTCGTCTTACAAGTAACGGCTGCCAAAGGGTGCACTTCCGCTGACCTCGTATCCGCTGTAGATCGTCGTCACGGCCGCCACGCGCACTGCCTTCACCAAGGGCGGCAAGGGTGGCTTCAAGGACACAGCGGCGCAGGACCTCCTGGCCGGCGTGCTCAAGTCGGTCATCGACCGCTCCAAGATCAACCCGGCGCTCGTTGAGGACATCTGCGTCGGTACGGTGCTGGCCCCCGGCGGCGGCGCCACCGAGGCGCGCGGCGCCTCGCTCGTCGCCGGCTTCCCCGAGACGACGGCCGTCCGCACTCTCAACCGCCAGTGCTCGTCGGGCCTGCAGGCCTGCGTCGATGTCGCCAACCAGATCCGCGCTGGCATGATCGACGTCGGTATCGGCGCTGGCGTCGAGAGCATGTCCACCCAGTACGGCCCCGCCGCCGTCACCGAGTTCTCCGAGCTGCTCGAGTCCCACCCCGAGGCCGCCAACTGCAAGGTGCCCATGGGCGTCCTGTCCGAGGACATGGCCAAGGATCTCAAGATCTCCCGCGCCGACCAGGACGCCTTCGCCGCCGCCTCCTACCAGAAGGCCGTCAAGGCCCAGAAGGCCGGCCTCTTCGACGAGGAGATCACCCCCCTCAAGGTCAAGTTCGAGGACCCCAAGTCGGGCGAGACCAAGGACATCACCGTTGCCCGCGACGACGGCGTCCGTGACGGCATCACCGTCGAGTCCCTGGCCAAGATCCGCCCGGCCTTTGCCGCCGACGGCTCCATCCACGCTGGTAACGCCAGCCAGATCTCCGACGGCGCCGCCGCCGTCCTGCTGATGCGCCGCGACACCGCCGAGAAGCTCGGCCAGAAGATCATCGGCAAGTACGTCTGCGCCTCCATCGTCGGCGTCAAGCCCCTCCTCATGGGCCAGGGCCCCTGGAAGGCCATCCCCAAGGCCCTCGACCTCGCTGGCATCTCCCGCGACGATGTCGACATCTACGAGATCAACGAGGCCTTTGCCAGCCAGTGCCTGTGGTCCGCCAACGAGCTCGGCATCCCCCATGAGAAGATCAACCCCAAGGGCGGCGCCATCGCCTTTGGCCACCCCCTGGGCTGCACTGGTGCCCGCCAGGTCTCCACCCTGCTCTACGAGCTGAAGCGCACCGGCAAGAAGGTCGGCAACACATCCATGTGCGTCGGCACCGGCATGGGCATGAGCGCCGTCTGGGTGGCCGAGTAAAAGAGTATGAGAGTGTTCATGGTGGTGGATAGATCATGCTGCATATCCCTGTATGATAGAGACATGTTTTCCTTTGTGGCATAATGCCGGCCACGTCGCCGGCCGGTCATGAATTGATACCTTACGACCAACTGAATAACTACCGTCCCACATATTGCGAGATCGACGCCGCAACTAGAAGCCCTCGATCTGTGTGCCGACCTTCTTTTCGCTTGCAACCTGAACGAGGTGCATGCCCACCACCAGGTCCATGAGACCCAGTCCCACGCTCTTGTACACAACCGTCCCATCCCGCAGCCAGCGAGCCAGCGAGTCTTCCTTCTTCTTCTCCGTCGTGTCGGACGAGCTGCCCGAGTGCGATCTAAAGGGCAGGGGAAAGCTCGGCTTGCGCGAGTGCCCTGGGGACCGGGATCCCGAGGGGCTCTCAGCCCGTCGCGACTTGTCGCTGTACACGGTGGACATGGACGGTGTCCTGTCGCCTATTTCTAGGGAGTCGGCATCAGCCGAGATGGGCGTCTGCGAGCCCGTCGTGTCGGACCCGGACTCTTCGACGGCAAGGCGGTGCAGCATCACGAGCTCACCGAGCCTACTTGTGTCAGAACGGCTCTAATGGAGAAGGGAGAAGGGGTGAGGGGGGAACGTACTCGACCAGTTGGTGCGGCCCAATCTTGGCTGCCATAATTTCACCGGCCTCCTTGAGTACGCCGTCTAGCGTGTCGACGACAATGACGCCCGCTTCTTCGGCGTGTTTGTGGAAATGCCGCGCGTTCTTGTCATGGTGCTTGGTCGCCTGGAGGAGCAGCGCCTCGGGCAGCTCCCTCATCTCCGGGGTGTAGCTGCCGACGGCAACGATGAGGCGGCCCTTCATGCGGCCCTCACGAGACGTCAGTATGGAGGCGTCAAAGAGGTCCTCGCGCGAGGGCGTGCAGCAGTAGATGACGTCGGAGCTGCGGACCTGCTCCCAGAGCAGGCGCTCGTACTCATGAAAGGTTGGTGTCAGGATGCCAAACTTGGTGTGGGACCAACCCTCGCGCTCCTTGACGGCCTGAGGGATAACGGTGAAGCGCTTGAGAATGGCGGCGGCGCTCTCAGAGAAGCGGCGGTTGATGACGTTAACATGCTTGATGGTGCTGCCGCGCATCATGAGGGCGAGGCGGACGTGCCAGTACGCCTGGTTGCCGCTGCCGAAGACGGTGATGGTCTTGACGTGGTTGCGCCGACTTAGGAGGCAGGCCGAGCTGAGCGCGGTACGAAAGGCCGTGAGCGTGCTGGCGTGGACGAGGCCGAGGGGCTTGCCATCGGGTGAGAAGAGGTTAACGACGCCCGTCGGGCTGATGGGCTTGACCGAGGGGTCGCGAGTGGCAGCCGACGAAGTCAGCGACACGACTGCGCATCACGGTCAGCGACGGATGATTGCAGGAGAAAGAACTCTGCCGACGTACCTTTGCAGCCCATGCCCTCGGGCCCGCACGACGGCATGTACAGCGTCGTAGCCCGGGTGCCTGGGTGATACGTTGTGACGCGGTGCGGCTGCTGATAGACGCCATCGTTGTCGGCCTGCGTGTTGGTCGAGAACTCATGTAGCGCCGAGGCAAGGACATGGCGGAATTCGTCAAGCTCGTTGAGGTCGAGACCCTCCAGGACGGAGTTAACCTGCTCGTCTGTGAGGACGGTAAAGGTCATGATAGCGCGGGGTCGCCTGCGGGGCAGGCGGCGGCGTCGTTGTCGGCGTCGATGGAGGTAGCGTTCGCAGGCACAAGGCAATGACTGTGTCTTGCTCGCTGTCCGGGTATTTCGAGTTGTGATGCGGATGTTGACTCGAGGGAGGGCTGGGCCGACGATGGTGCCGTGAGGTAGGAGGCGTTCCAGATCCGGGCGAGGAGCTGGAAGTTAACGGCAGCCGTGGCGTGCCCCCCCGCCGGAGAATCCCAGCCATCGGCCGACAAAGGCCGACGGGCTGCCGGACGGGGTTCAACGTCAGCTCCGGCCTCGGCACCTAGCCGGCGACCCGACCAACGCGGTCGACGCTGCAAAAGGGCTGTCTGTCCGTCTGTCTGCGCCGGCCCTGATCAATGTGCAAATGTGTCGGCGACTCGGCTCCAGGGTCCCGGGCTTTTCTTCACGATGCAGCGCCTCAGACACGTGCCGACAGCCGCCGGGCCGGTGGCCCTAGCCTGGCGCCATGGCGGTCTACGCTCTGCGGTCTGCATTCTGCAGTTCCGTCTGCGGCGCCCTGGAGCTGAGCTGCGCGACAGCAACGACCAGAGAGCCGCTGGCTGTCGCGCGCTAAGAGCAGCCGCGAACCCGAACACGACGGCAGTTCTCGCATCCGTAAAGTGGCAGCATGCTGGGTCGTCGCGGTCGACGGAGTTGCGACCTGCCAGCGCCTAGAGGCTGGAGCCTGAGCATGGCTTAGGGGCCACGTACCACCGCTACGTCACGCCAGAGAGCAAACACCCGTGGACAGGTGCACTGCACTGGACATGACACGGCCGACGTCACCAGACATTGGTGATTGAGGCTGGAGACGTGCTCCATCTGGTGCATACGCGGGAACTGGAAGGCAGCAGCGATAGATAATAACGAGATGATGCCCCGGCCCCGAGGGAGCGCATATTTGAACCGGGCCTTGTCCAGCCCCCCGTCCTGCCTCCCGGTCAACCGGCCAGCGACGTGGAACTGTTGAACCTGGAAACATCTCAGCGATCTGAGCCCCCGAAGAGAACCCTGCCCGCCACCCGCTAGAGCGCCGCGCCAGCCCGCCTGCTGTCATTGTCTCACCCCTGCCCGCTTGCCGCCCACAGCGACGACCTTCTCCAACCCGCTAGCGCCACCCGCTCACCTCACCTCACTGCCCCAGCTTGCCCGGGTGCCCACCAGCCTCGTGCTCGGCCCAGGAGGCGCCCCTGGCCCCGCCAAGCACGTCGCCGCTGCTGCGCCAGCCTGTGGCTCCACGCTCAGCAACTGGACCCTCTGAGCCTTGCGCTGGTTGCCCGCCACTGTTTGTGTCTGGTGGCCACTGCACCACAAAGAGGCTACGTGCATCACTTCGACGACCGCTGACATTCCCGTCCCGTCCATCCTCCCTGCCACCCCGACGTCCCGACCATCACGACCGCCGCTCCGCATCGTATTACTCTCCCGATCATACGAATACCGCGAGCCGTCCGTGTCCGTCGCACGACTGCCCGCGACTGCCATCGTCTCCGAGCGCTGAGCGCCGCCGCGACAACACAAGCCCAACGCTGAGCCGTCGCGCCTCGAGCTCGACAAAGCCCTCAACATGACGCTCAAAGAGGAGTTCCAAACGAGAAACTTCAGTGAGTCTACGGGCGTCTAGAAGTGTGCTGTGACTGTAGTGCTGACTTCCGCAGGCATCTACGGACAATGGTGAGCTCGACCGCGCGGCTCGGAATAATGTCCTCGGCGATGCAGACAATCTGCCATCATCGCCGAGTCCTCTCGCATGACTACGGGGGCTGACAATCGCAGGCTGGGCATCTTGTCCATGATCATCTGCCTGGCAACGGGCATCTCGACCATCTTTACCTTTCACATCGGCCTCATCATCTTCTGCGCTTTTGCCATGTGGGTGCCCTGAACTGTGCCGTATGGTCTTGACGCTGACCCTGCCAGCGCATTCGCCTTCTTGATCCTCTTCATCGAAGTGCCTCTGCTCCTCCGCATCTGCCCGACCTCGGCCAAGTTTGACGAGTTCGTCCGCAAGATCTCGACCAACTACATGCGCGCGGCCGCCTACGGCATCATGTGCGCCGTCATGTTCGTCAGCATCGCCCTCGGCCGCAGCGCCCTCATCGCCGCGGGTGTCTTCCTCGCGCTCACCGCCATCTGCTACCTGCTGGCTGGCATCAAGGGCCAGGCCTTTGTCGGCAGCAAGACGCTCGGCGGCCAGGGTGTCGCGCAAATGATTGTCTAAGCGCGGCTTCGACGCGGCAGGCAGCCGGTCCCGTAATACGGCGCTGCCGCCATCATCACCGCCAGCCGGTGCAAAAAGTTGAACGCGACGAGAACGAGAATGCCCGAGGAGGAGCGTATGGACCGAGGCAGTCGATCTGCCGTTTGGGCTGGACGAGGTGATGAGTAGTGGGCTACATATCCGCACGGGATTCGGCGTCTGGAACGAGAAATGTCTGCACTTCGCGGTCGCCGTCGGGCTGGTTTGCCCGCGGAATAGCTGTTATGGCCCGGTGGCTTGAAGGGTGACGAGGTGTCGCGATGATACCACCCCTGTTTCTGCAACTCACATAGCTTGCCAATTATTTGATTCAGGAATGATAGACGAGGTTAAGCTTCAAGCTCTTCGACGGTGCGGGATGTGACGTCTTGGCAGCGCTTGCGCCGCGCATCTCGCGGAAACCGGACGGGGTACGTGGCCATGGTTGCCGTGGGAAAGATTCGAGCCTGTTGTCGAGCGTACTGCAGTCTCAGCTACACAGAAGCGCAGGCAATCGAGGTAAACAGGACGCAATGGTCACGCACGGCAGTAGACGACTAGCATCCGCCGCCGACAAATCAACAGCCGGGTAGCTGTTCACTCGACTGCAGATCAAGGCGGGCGTGCCTGGGCGATGGTGCACCAAGCTCCATCAGCATCGTCACATGTCGTCATGGACCAACGAGCAGCCGCCGAGACGCAGGCAAGCAGGCCGCCCGGGAGAGCACCTCCGCGCGGGCGAGAAGCAACCTTGGAAGCGAAAACCTGCGCTGGCAGGTCGACGGACAGGCAGGCCCAGAGGGATTTATCCGCCGCAGCAGTCCGAGCACGGGCAGGAGGCGTCAGAGCACAGCCCAAGCGAGATACAACGTTAGTATTGCAATGCATGATGTGATCGGGGATGCGTCTGATCGAAGCTGGGTTCGCGCCGTCGACTCGCGGCGGCGAGCTTCGATGGCTGCTAGGCCGCTACCCCAGGAGGCCCCAGCGAGGGGCTCGCACGGTGCGGCGTAATCGCGATTTGCTCGCCTGCAAGTGGCGGGACGAGCGCTGAGCCTGCACTCGATTGGCACGCGCAGCCAGGGGCCCGCAATGGCGGTGGCGGTAGCGGGTTAACAGGCTACCAGTCAAGCTTTTCGATCCAGCACCGCGGCGTCGCGCGGCGGCCGCCGTTGAGCTCCGGAAAATGGCTCATCTCGCCCCCTTTGAAGTCGCCGCGGCCGCTCATCACGGCAATGAGCCCGTCCGGGACATTATTCCCTTCAATTCGAGATTCTGGAGCTCCGTTGAGCTCGCTCGGGCTAGCGATGCAGCGCTGGTCACATGAGGTGCAGATGGCGGAAGACTTTGAAGATCAGTTGACGTCCGCTTGCAGCCACGGCAGCGCTGGGAGTGGGCTGGTGGGGGGGACTGCGGGGGAGACGCACTGTGAGCCAGGGACCGAGGCGCCTGGAATCCATGACGGGGGGTGGGTGGCAGCCCAGGCGCGCGAGGAGGGCTCCCAGAATAGCACAGCAAGCAAGCCGCCGCAGCTCGCGACATTGTCAATGGCAGCTACGGCTCCCTTGGAGTGTCAGGTAGACTGGCCGCGTGTCCCGCGACGCTCGCCGTGGCCGCGGTCGCCGCAGGCTTTTGGCTCTGAAACCGTCCGAGTCTGCGAGGCCGTTGGGGAGGGCTGCGATGGCTGCTGCCGGGTGCCTGTGGGACCTGACTTGCCTGAACCTGGCCCTGTGGCTTGCCCGGCTCACCCATGCTATGCCACGCATGATGGGGCCATGACTTGTCCAGCAGGGTACGGTGCGCCGGGGCGTGCGGCGCACAGTGGGTGGAGCGGTCTCTGGGCCCAGTGACGATGCGGACCCAACACAGCCGGCCTGGCCAGCTCTCTTACAAGAACGCCGTTGCTGCCACGACGCCACGACGGCCTCAATCCCGCACTGAACGTCGTCTTGCTCGCCCTGCGTGAACGCATTGCAGTCTCGAAAACCAGCTTCATGTTGTGGCAGTAGCGCTCTCCCCGCCAGGTATCGCATGCCAGCAACGCATACGCCCTCCCGTCTTGTAAGTGAGCCCGTTGTGTGTGCCCTCCCTGCCCGCCTCCCTTGCCAGCAGGCGACCCAACAACGGCTGCAATCGGCAGTCTTATCAGCGCTCTCGGCTCGCTTGTCTTTACCGTGCTTATCTCGCTCGGTGAGCGACTTGCGGTCAACGGCAGAGATAAATACGGTGCCATCCATGCCTGCTGTGGCTCCGGCTCTGCGTTTCAGGAGCTGAGCCTGCGTCGTCGTGGAACGGGCCGCTTATCATGCGTTACCGTCCCTCGCCGCGCCTGCAATCGAGTCACCGCCCGACCTCGCTTCGTGCCAATTGCTGACATTCGCCCTCTCTTTGTCAGTTTTATTCTGTATAAACACTATCCAGCATTGATTTAATCCATCCCCTCGTCCCTTTCCCCAACAATAGAGCGATTCGACCCAGCGAGACCGATCGAGCATGTCAGCAGCCGCCATGCAGCAAACACCAGTCGTGCCGCCCCGTCCGTCCAGGGCGACGGACAAGGACGCCTCCCCGGCAATGCCCAAGATCCCTCCGCGCCCTGTCAACAAGCGGCTCGACCGCTCCGTCTCGCCCAACCCCGACCGCTTCGCGCCCTCGCCCCTGAACAGCGGCATCGCCCCGCGGGACCCCAAGGCCGCACGCCTCAGCGCCCACTACGCCCACAAGGAGCATGCCGAGGACCCTATCGAGCGCTCCGGCAGTGTGCCGATGCCCTCGGTCGGCGAGGAGGGCGTCGAGTACAGCGCCGTGGCCAATGAGCTGGAACACGAGCGGGCGACATCCCCCGAGCAGACGCGCACCATCGGCGAGGACCTCAAGCTCCACGCCCCGAAGCCCTCGCTCCCTGCCGTCAGCGCCAAGCAGCAGGTTATGGCCGTGACCCGGACCGACTCGGACAGGGCTGCGTCCTTTGGCATCGGTCGCCCCACGAGCGACGCTGGCGAACGGTCCGGCTCGCGCAACAGCTTCAGCCAGAAGAAGCGCCCGAGTAGCACTCTGTCCACCTACAGCGACCACCAGACCGAAGACGAGCACGGCATCCCCGAGATCGGCCAGCGCGTGCCCATGAACCCTCACCTGGGCGACGTCCAGGCCCCTTCTCCCGGCCCCGGCGCCGAGAGCAACGGCAACAAGAAGCATCACAGCCGCAAGCACAGTGCCACCCGTCTCCCACCCGGGAGCTACGGCCTTCACGGCCACGGAATGACGCCCCAGGACAAGCTCGACAAGGCCTACTACCAGAAGCACCCGGAGGCTCTCGAGAGGGAAAAGCACACCCCGCTACACGATCGCCAAAACGACTATGCCATGAGCAGCTCTGATCTGAACAAGCTCGTGCGAGACACGGCCAACCGCCAGGCTGCCTTAAGTAGGTATAATGATGGTTTTTCAAGGCCATCTGCTAATCATGGATTAGGCATCGCCGATATGCGCGGCACGCCCACGGATGAGGTCGCCTTCCAGGCTAGTGAAGAGTACGCGACGCGCATGTCCTCGCGCCCCACGTCCATCATCGCCAAGGATGCCACCGATAAGGCTAAGTCTGATGCTGAGGCGGGCGACAAGCCCATCCACGTGGACGATGCTAGGCATCCCGAGTTCTATCAGTACGGAGACGAGGACAACGCTGAGGGCGGCGAGGAGGAAGAGTACACCGCCCCCATCCTGGCCCAGGATGAGGTGCTCAAGGAGAAGGAGCGCAACCACCACCACCCCGCTGTGCGCCCTCACCTCGAGCGCCGCCGCAGCTCGCAGAGCTACGAGGAGGCGCCCAGTCGCCCCACGAGCCGCCCCAGCAGCATCCGCGTCACCATCTCTCAGCCCGAGTATAGCGCGACGACGCTGGAGGACGTGGAGGAGTACGAGCCGCTCTTCAACGACGAGGGCAAGGAGACCAAGCGGGCCGAGAAGCCCAAGCACGAGCCTGCCGACGAGAACGAGTGCCGCCACCACTTTCCCAGCAAGGATATTTGGGAAGACGCCCCCAGCAGCGTTCACTACACGGCGACCGTGTCGACGCCCGATGTGCCTGACCAGAACCGGAGACGGTCTTCGGCCTACCACGAGGACCGCCCAATTACCCCGGCGCAGGCCTTTGCCCAGTACCAGGAGCAGCTGGCCGAGAAGGAGGCCAGCGGGCGCGTCAACAACTTCCTGCCTCTGTCCGAGGACAAACCCACGTGGATCAGCCACCAGCCGCACCTGCGGACCGAGCGCGAGCGGCCGTCTTCTGCCCGGCGGTTCCCCAGCCGCGATGTGTGGGAGGATGCGCCAGAGAGCCTCTGCTACGAGGCGACCATCTCCGGATCGCCGACGGAGGACAAGAAGCCGGACATTCCTGCCCGGCCCGCGAAGAAGCCGTCTCAGACGTCGGAGCCGCCTAGCATCCCCGAGCGTCCGCAGGCTCGGCAGGGGAGCGGCGACGACTCCGCCAAGGTGCGGCCGCCCGTGTCCGACAAGCCGAAGCCTCAGATCCCTCCCCGGCCCACTAAGAGCTCATCGGGAGATTCGAAGGACGGCTCCTTCTCGAAGCCGAAACCGCCGGTGCCTAGCCGGCCAGCGGGCAGCAAGATTGCGGCGCTGCAGGCGGGCTTCATGAGCGACCTGAACAAGCGGCTCCAGCTCGGACCGCAGGCGCACAAGAAAGAAGAGGTCGCGAAGGAGGAGGAACCCGTCGAGGAAAAGGAGAAGGCACCCCTGTCGGATGCGCGAAAGGGTCGTGCTCGCGGTCCCCAGCGGAGAGCCCCAGCCAAGAGCCCGGCTGCAGCTCCTGCTGCAGCCGCGCCGACATTATCCTTCTCGCTGCCGCAGGTGTCGTGGTCAATTGACCCCGAGGGCGGCGACATTGATATCGGTGGCGAGGCGGAGGCCGAGCCTGGGGTGCCAAAGGTCGAGTCCCTCGTGTCAAGTCCGGAAAAGACGGTACCTGAGGAGCTCCCTGAGGCCCCTCTGGTCGAAGAGCCCCCGGCCGTGAGCATTGCCGCGGAGCCAAAGGAGCCTGAAGAGACGGCCAAGGTGGCTGAGCATGTGCCTGAGCCGGAACTCAAGCAGTCCGAGCCGAAGATGCCTGTCGAGACTGCAAACCCGGATGGGCCGCTCAAGGAGGAGACCTTGGCGGCCAACATGGCGGGCGAGAGCATTTTGGAAGCAACGGTCAAGGAGGAAGACGGCGGTAATGAGGTTGAGCCGGTCGAGGTACACGATGACGTGAAGCCGTAGCGGAGGGATCGCGTGGGTGTTGGTTTTGCGTCTTGAGTACTGTGTTTGGCCGACTTGAAATAGATCCAATTGGACCGCATCGGCTTGTCTTCATTGCCCGATACTGCTTTTGAGCCGTGATGCATAGTATTGTACATGGACTAGCCTATCTTATAATAACACGCTTTATCTCCTTCTTCCCCACGAGGACCCTTGCTCCTGGTCCGTCCCACGCCGTTCCCGCTCGAGCAGTTGGTCAAACTCCCTCTGCGCCTGGCCCTTGGCCACGGCCCGTTCCTCGTCGGCATTAGAAAAGGAGTAACTGTCTCTGGGGCCGCGTTGCGGGCTGGCGTCATCTTCGCTGGCCCAGCCGCCGGTGGCCTGCGGCGCCTGCCACGACTGCTGGGGTTGCTGCTGCTGCTGCTGAGAGCCGCGCCTCGGCTGGTACTGGGCCTGCTGCCGGACGCGGTCCCATGCCGAGCCGCCGCCGTATTGGGCCGAGGCGTCCTGCTGGCCCTGGGTGGAGGGAGCCACGGGAGAGGCGTCATCGACATCGGAGAAGGAGTCCCAGGAGTCTTGCTGCGGGGATGACTGTTGCGCTTGTTGCGACCCCGGCGAGCGATACTGTGTCCATGCGGATTGTGCTTGGGCCGGTATGCTTCCCGCCGGACGCTGCGGCTGCGACTCGGACCTCCACTGGTCGCCGTATTGTTCGCCTGAGCCGCCGTACTGGTCGCCGCTGTTGCCATACTGATCGCCAGAGCTGCCGTATCGGTCGCCCGGGGTTGCCACCTGGCCGTGCGAGCCTTGGTCGTAGATCTCCTGCGCGCGCGCCTTGCCGTCCCGCAGCATCGATGCCAGGCGCGGATCCTGCTCCATGGCGGCGCGATAGCGCATAAAGTTGGCGCCCTGGAAGATGGGCTCGCCGAGGAGCCATATGACGCCGTAGTAGGCGACGAAGCGCGCCGAATGCCACATGACCTTGACGTGGGGACCGCCGGTGACGGGGTTCATGCGGCCGTCCATCTTGGGCCTCAGGAAGGGAAAGCGCCAGGTGTTGCGGCCGCGGTACGTCATGTAGGCAGCGAGGCCCGTCATGGCCCACTTCCAGATGAGCATGGTGTGGATGCTGTCGACAAAGTGCTCGGTGAGGGCCTGCGTCTCCGTGTCGCTGAAGGCGCGGCTGTTGGCGGCGGCAAGGGACGATACGGTCGACTCGGCGAGGGCGAGGGTCTGGTCGCGGCCGAAGCCGCGCAGCCGCGCGTACAGCGGCGGCTCGTAGTCGCTGAACAGGCGCTGTAGCTGCTCGTGGACAATGGGTTCGAAGCGCTGCCGGTTGTGGAGCGCCTGCTGCCGCTTCTCTTCGATGGCGGCGCGCACATTGCGCGAGTACTCGGCGCGACTCATGGTGTGCTGCGGGTCGCTGCCGCGGCCGCCGGCGTTTGGATTCGGGTTCGGGTTATCCATGGCGAGGCGTTGGGGGGTTGGCGTTGCGCAATGGGCTGACGCAGTTGCCGGAGGTTCATGGGCGAGGTGGGATGAAGCCGGGAGACGGTTTTGGCAACGGTGACGCAAGAGTCGCCCGGCTACAGACAGGCGGATCGGTCGGGGGACAAGCTTTATCGATAAGACCCACGTGATGGGCGCAGTTGCTGGGCAAGTCCCTTCCTGTAAGTCTTAGTGTGGCAGCGCGTCCTGGTGGGGGTTTGGCGCTGGACGCGACACCCAAGAGCTAAACGCGTCTCCCTGTCCAGCCATCCCTTGTTGCCGTGCGGAATTCCAACCACATTCGCCTTCACGCTCATTGCCCATTGTTCGTAACTCCACAGATGCGGGCCGCAACTTCGATGCCCGGTCATGATCACTACGCACCATGCCGCTTCAGAAGTCGTACTCTGAGCGTGTCGGGCTGAGCAAGGTGAGCCGCCTGCCTGTCGCGCCGAGACTCAGAACTGACCGACAACAACAGAACCGACAGCCGTGGCAGCGATCCCACAGCCATCCCGTCAACCTGCAAACACCAAAGGCGAAACTGCCGCCCGTGTCCGAGACGACCAAGAATAAACTGAGCAAGTTTCAGTACCAGCCCACCGATGGCGAGTCCGGAGAGGACCAGCCCGCCGCCAAAGACGGCGAGGCCTCAACGACCACGCCCCTGACGAGACTCAACTGGCGGGATCTCGTGGAGCCGAGTGCGGCGCCCGAGGAGCGGACCGACACGTCGCCCAATGACAAGATCCTCTGGAACAACCGCGAGGACCCTGCCTACAGGGGCATTCTGTCACCCGTCATGGCTCGGAAGCGCAAGCGTGCGCGTAGCTCGTCGCCAACGTCGTCGCCGTTGGGAAATCCCAATACGCCCGCCGTCAACGTCGAGAAGCTCACCAAAGCTCTAAAGTCACCGCACGCGGACCCGACGCTCGAGCTGTGGGACCGGTACTCGCTCAAGCCCGAGCTCAAGCATGGCGCTGGCTCCCCGAGTGGCGCCGTGAACCCGGCTCTCGCGCAGCTGATGATCTCATCTTCACCAAAGCCGTCAAGAGAAACGCCTGTGCCACGCCAGGACAGCAACCTGAGGCGAGCCGTCAGCTGCGGCGTGGCCGGGACGAAGAGACGCAAGGTCGAAAAGTCGAAACTGGGGAGTCAGGGCAGCAGCCAGCAGAGAGAGCTCGAGGCGGCTTCTAAGTCTTCACTCGTCACTGCGCTGCTCGATACCGTCAACGGCAACTGCCAAAGCCCCGCGCAGGAGCACCAGACGCCGGCTGCATCTCCATCGCCAAGACGAAGGCCGCGACCAGCTGTCGAGTCCCCATGTCGGGCAGCCGGCGCACCAGATCCCGCCTCGTCCGACTACGGTGACGATGACTTTGATGACGACACCTTTATCGAGCTCGAGGCTGTGATGAAAAGCACCCAAGCAGCCGCATCAACAGCAGCTCCGGCCATGGATACCCTCGTGGCGCCAAAGGGGTCAGTGGAGGCGCCAGCAGACCAGTTTGACGACTCGGACGATGGCATCTTTGACGACGGGCCACCCCCCTTGGCCAGGCGAGGACTAACGACGCCGAGGTTCGCCAGGACAAGACCACCAGCAAGTCCGGGAGACGACTTTGGGGACGACTTTGACGGCGACATCGACTTTGACGCCGTCGAGCTCGCCGCGACGCAAACCGTGCAGCAACACCAGCAGCCCTCAGTAGGTCCAGACCTGGCGAGGCTCTCCCAGTGCTCCATTCACTAAGACAAGGTAGACTAGCCAAAAGGCCAAAACTATTCAGCGATACTTAGTGACGAGCGTTTTAGAGGGCGAATACGTCGACCAGTACGGCAATGCGCGTCCTGAGAAGGTACGTCAGCTGGTCGTTTCTCGTTTTTCTGCTGACCCTATTTAGATCCTTATCATCCAAGCCGACACGTCCAAAGTAGTCAAGACGGTGCACCTGCGAGGGTCGTGGTTCGACACGCCAGCGCACGCCGAGTCGTACGTGCATGTCATCGGCGACTTCTCTCTCAAGGGCCAGTGCATCATCGACGATGCCCAGAATCTCCTCATCTTGCACCCAGATCAGCTGATTTCGGCCACGGTCGTGGCAGATTCGTTTGGTTGCATGCGTCGTGCCGTGCTGCAAGACCGCGTCAAGGCGACGAGCGAAGCCTCTCCGCCTCTTGTGTACGGGACAATCCTGCACGAGATCTTCCAAGAAGCCTTACTCGCGAACCAGTGGGACCTCCCGTTCCTGGCGAAACTCATCGATCGAATCACCGAGAAGCATGTCGAGGATCTCTACACGATCAAGGTTGGCATGCCGTCGGCGCGAGAGCATCTCCAGTCCAAGATGACGGAGCTCAGCTACTGGGCAAAGGCATTTGTGTCGTCACAGCCGCAGGTAAGCCGTTTCCGACATCTGTAGCCAGGCTCAAGCTAACTCTTCAGGCCGACGCCATGGTCGAGGACCGCAATGGCAAAAAGGCCAACATGGCCGTCACCAAGCTGCTCGACGTCGAAGAGCACGTGTGGTCGCCCATGTACGGGCTCAAGGGCAATATCGACGCCACCGTCGAGGTCACCATGGTGGATGGAAAGCAGAAGAGGACGCTCACGGTCCCGTTCGAGGTCAAGACGGGTAAGCACGCCAACAGCAACCACATGGCGCAGACGGCGCTGTACACCCTGCTCCTGTCGGACCGGTACGACATCGAGATCGCTTGCGGTATCCTGTACTACATGGAGACGTCCAAGACCATGCGGATCCCGGCGGTGCGACACGAGCTGCGGCACATGATTATGCAGCGGAACCAGCTGGCCTGCTACATCCGAGAGCGAAGTGTCCAGCTGCCGCCCATGCTCAAGAGCAAGCACATGTGCGGCAGGTGTTACGCCAAGACGTCGTGCTTCACCTACCACCGACTGGCCGACGACGGAGACGGCGAGTCGAGCGGCATGGGCGAAAAGTTTGACGAGCTCGTCAAGCACCTCACGCCGACGCACCAGGAGTTCTTCATCAAGTGGGAGAACCTCTTGACCAAGGAAGAGAAGGAGTCTCAAAAGACCAAGCGAGAGCTCTGGACCATGACGAGCGTAGAGCGCGAGAAGAAGTCGCGATGCTTTGCCGACGTCATCATTGAGGAGGGGTCTGCATCTGTCGACACGGACAATCCCCGTATCAACCGCTTCCACTACACCTTTGTCAAGCGCGAGCATCAGGCCGGCTTTTCGTTCCTCGAGTCGGAGCTAGCAGTTGGCGAGCCCATCGTGGTGTCCGATGAGGACGGGCATTTTGCTCTCGCCATCGGCTACGTGACGGCCGTACGCAGGCAGCGGATAAGCGTGGCCGTCGACAGGCGACTGCACAACGCTCGCATTCGGCAGCCTGGCTTCGACGAGGCGGACAACCAGGTCTTTGCTAGCATCATGGACGTAGCAGCCGAGGGAGCGCCGGCGGACCAGACCCAGGGCAAGATCAAGGAGCCGCCGATCCGGTACCGGCTGGACCAGGACGAGTTTAGCAACGGCATGGCAACGGTCAGGAACAATCTCGTGCAGATGATGGCGAACGACGTGCCTGCCGCGCCGCGCATACGGAGCCTGATTGTCGACCTGGCCGCTCCGCGATTCAAGACGGCGCCGACGCAGTACACGATATCGGACCAGGGCAGCCTCAACGTCGACCAGAAGAGGGCCATCGAAAAGGTCATGAGCGCGCAAGACTACGCGCTCGTGCTAGGCATGCCTGGCACAGGCAAGACCACCACCATTGCGCACATTATCCGCGCCCTCGTGTCTCAGGGCAAGACGGTGCTGCTCACGTCCCACACGCACACTGCCGTCGACAACATCCTGCTCAAGCTAAAGACGGACAAGATCCCCGTTCTTCGCTTGGGTGCCCCCGCCAAGGTACACCCGGAAGTGCAGGACTTTGCACATCTCGCGGGCCAGCCGAAGAAGACATTTGAGGAGATCAAGGAGGCCTGGCACGGGACGCCCGTGGTAGCGACGACGTGCCTGGGCATCAACCACCCCGTGTTCCTCGAGCGGTCGTTTGACTACTGCATCGTCGACGAGGCGTCGCAGATCACGCTGCCCATCTGTGCGGGCCCGATCCGGATGGCCAACGCCTTCGTGCTCGTCGGTGACCACAACCAGCTGCCGCCTGTGGTGCGCAACGAGGAGGCGCGGGAGGGCGGCCTCGACGTGAGCCTCTTCAAGCTCCTGTCGGACGCGCACCCGCAGTCGGTGGTCAACCTCGAGCACCAGTACCGCATGTGCGAGGACATCATGACGCTGAGCAACACGCTCATCTACGGAGGCCGGCTGCGGTGCGGCTACGACGCCCTGCGCCGGCGCAAGCTCGAGGTGCCTCGCATCAGCGCCCTCAGCCACATGCACTACGACGCCGCGTCCGCCTCTCTCCCCGGCACGCCGCGATCCTTTTGCACCGGCCCGGCGCCGACGCGGTGCTGGCTGTACGACCTTGTGGATAGCGAGGCGCGTGTACGCTTCGTCAATACGGACACAATCCGGCCGCTGGTGCGCGAGGAGGCGCAGGGCAAGCGCATCGTCAACCCGGCCGAGGTGCGCGTCGTGTCGCAGCTCGTCGAGAGCCTCCTCGCCGCGGGCGTCCCCGCCAGCGAGGTGGGCGTCATGACGCACTACCGCGCGCAGCTCTCGCGCCTGCGCGACCGGCTCAGGGGGCACGCCGGCGTCGAGATGCACACGACGGACCGCTTCCAGGGCCGTGACAAGGAGGTGGTGGTGCTCAGCCTCGTGCGCAGCAACGAGGCCTGCAACATCGGCGACCTGCTCAAGGACTGGCGCAGGATCAACGTCGCCTTCACCCGCGCAAAGACAAAGCTCCTCGTCGTCGGCAGCCTCGGCACTCTCAAGAACAGCGGCAAGGAGAACATGCTCAGCCAGTTCGTTACGCTCATGGAGGACCGCGATTGGATATACGACCTGCCGCCCGACGCCCTCGACAGCCACCGCTTCGAGGAGCTGAGCACACCCGCGACAGCGCCGGCCGGTCCGTCGCAGAGGGCAGCGAGGTCTCCAGCGAAGAGGCCGTCGCCGGCCAAGAGGACCACGGCTACGCACGTCGGTTCGCAGGACAAGGAGAACCGCCGCCCGTCGCCCAAGAAGGCGCGCATCGGGGACAGGGCGCTTCTCAGGGGGAAGCTGATTACAAGGGACATACTCAACGAAATGACAAACGGCGCATATTAGGTATACGGGCGGCGCGGGCATCGGACTACTATTACTCGAGGGGCGCAACAGGAGTACTAAACATTACAACATTGGCGTATCTACTAGTTAGGGTATCAAATGGGTAGCCATCGTTGGTCATTACAGGCCGTCATGATTCTTCGTGTCCATCGTCCGAATCCTGCTCCTCGTCCTTGAACTCATCATCAAAGCTACGACTGTCAGTGAAACTCTCGCAGCTGGGATGTCGCGCGACTCACCTCTGCTCGCCTACAATGAGCTTCGTGTACCGCTCCAACTCCTCCAGCTGCGCGACGCAGCCCGTGAGGCTCTCGTTGTACGAGAAGCTGTAGATGTTGCTCCACTTCTTGTGCCACTGCACGTCGCTCTCCTCGGCGTTTCGCGACATTTCCTCCTCGACCTGGGCCGACTTGAGGAGCAGTCTCTTCCTGGCGGCGGCGGCGCTGGGAAGGTATCGCTGCGATAGTCAGCAATGTCACAATATGCCAGCAGGTGAGTGCGTACAGGAACCTTGCGCTGCGACCGCAGGGCGCCGGCGAGTGTGTACAAATTGGCCAGGATCGATGCCACAGCATCGCGTCTGTAGCTAAGAAGCTGCTGCGCCGCCACGGGATTGTCGCGTATGTGGCCCGGGTTATAGAACAGGGCAGATTGGCGGACGGCAATGAGGTACTCAAAGAAGCGTTCGCAGGTGTCGGCGAGGGCGGAGTACGGCCTCGCGTCGAAAGGCGCCCTGAGGCGCATCTCCTTTCTGGTGAGGATCTGGAGGTGTTAGCCATGCTCAGGGGTATACGAGGGCTGCATACCAGTAGCTGTCTAATCCGAACGAAACCTTCTCTCAGGCGCCCCTCGAGTAGCTCAGATCGCTGGACGTCTTCAGGCGTGGGGTCCTCGCCCTCTTCAAAATATACATATTTGGCCACGACACCTGTCCTTGTCAGTTTGGTGCTGTGGGTGATTGACTAGCCCACGTACCGCGATAGATGACGCTCATGAAAAAGAGCATAGACGACAATGCATACCGGAGCTCGTGCCGCGCCACAAACGGCCACAGGACCCAGTTTACAGGTATAGGGGCGATCGTGCCGACAACGAACACGGTGCCCTTGAGCACGGCAAGCAAGGCCGGGGACGTATCGCTGTCTGCGCCATTGACCTGAAGCCCGAGAGAGATGACGGTAAATGACAGGCATCCAACGAGCCCGGAGCGCTGAACAGTAAGCTTTGATCGTGTGCAGGGTCAAGACACATACCGGATGCGTGCTCTGCGTATAGCGATAGAGCATGGGAATCATATAGATGGCGGCAAACACCGCCATGACATATGGGTTTCCGTTGCCGGCGGCATACGCGGCCCCGCTCCAGGCAGCTCCCAGAATTGCCAGAGATGCTCTAATGACGAGGTCCTGTAAGTTTCCACCAATCCTCGGATGCATCGCGATCCAGCTCATGGTGACAGCCCACCACACCTCGTACTTGTCCCACCAGGAACTATTCACTTCCATGTAACCCGGGACTGAGAGCAAGGTCGTCACCAGACAGACCTTAAAGGCATACCGGCTCTCGAAGCCCTGGAGGCGGTGGAGGGTGTGCCAGAGCTTGTGGCGAAACGTCTCCTTAGGCGGGGAGAAGCCGTCGACCTTGGCATCCATTGTGGCGTGCGAGACTTCAGCCCTCAAGCCCATGCCCTCGTCTCCAGGGTCATTTTGGTTGAGCGGGTGGTGCTCACGGGACTTGAGCTTGTCGAGCAGCCGCACGATGCCTATGAAAGTCATGTCGTAGGACGTGGCCGCGGCACCTCCACGGTCGTGTCTCACTTGGGCGTTCGAGCGATGCAATGCCTTCCTGAGGGGATACGATGGCAGGTACAGCCTCGGCCACTCCGAAAGATGCTGCATCGACTCGATCTTTGCCATGAGATTCTCGATGGTGGCGGCAGTTTCGCGGACGTGCCTAGCGAATACGAAAAGCTGCACGACCTGCGAGTCGCGTAATGTCGAAGGCGGCAGGTCACCAGACTCGAGAAGCCGAGACTCGACCATGTCGAACGCGGCCTTTGCCTGCCTCAATCGAATCTGGATAGGCCCAATATCCGACGACACTTGAGCTGCGGGCCCCAGGTACCTGCGATATCCCGACAAGTCCATCAACACGGCTTGGCACCGCAATAGGCCTTCAGTCATGGAGGAAATGACCTCTCTAGTTGGTGCAGCCATCTCGCTGACAACTTTGGTAGTGATGTCCGCTTCGCTGGCCATGGAAGACGTGTCGTCAAACGGCACGGACGATGGGCCGTGGACGGTGATGACAACGTCATCCTCCTGGTCAGAGTCGACGAATAAGAAGGTTTCAGTCTCGAGCGAGAGTAGGGCGCGGATAACGGCCTGCATCAGGTTACGAAGGTCCGAAACATCATCCGGACGGAATCGAGTGATAGATATGTCCAGTTTCAGATCACGAGCCGCTGTCGACAAGTCGACGAATATCTTGGCAAGACGCCTCCGCAACCTGTTGTCGCGAGGTCGTGGGATGACCAAAGCCTCCTGAATCGACGTTAGCGACTCTCTGAAGAGACCATATATCAACTCACCTGCATCGCTTCGAACGCTTTGTGCAGGGTAGTGGCGAGCGCTCTGGCACCCGCATCCGGAAAGACGACGCAGTTGACGACAAGGGCAATCGCCTGGCCGAGCAGCCAGGGGATGCCGTAGCTGAGCAGCTTGGACCACGCAATATCGTGGCTGCTCGTCTCGGCCAACGTGGTGAAGGTAATAGCAATGCCGGCGCACAGCGCTGCCTGGTAGAATCTGTTCCAGAAGGAACGCAGGAGCGCGGCGGCCGTCATGAAGAGCGCGAGGAACAGGGCCAGGATGCCTCCGTATCCGGCCTGGGCGGCGAGGGTCGACGTGGACAACAGGAGCCCGACGACTCCCCATCCCAGGCCCGCTGCGGTGCCAATGATTGTGAGAATGGCGCCGTCAAGCTGCGCTCCGAGGGCGCGCGCCGGGTGGTTGATGATGACGGAAACGACCATGATGGACGGATACCGTCCCAGCCAGTCACGCACGGCCGGAACGAGACACAAGACGTAGGCGATGAAGAAAGCAGTAAAGGACTTGAGCAGGCGGATTCCTGCCCGCGTCTTCGTGACGCGCCTAGACAGCGACTTGAGTTCGTGCCACTGCCGTGGCAAAAAGTACTTCGGGGCGAGAGGCGAACCCTTGTCAAAGGCGGCGGGCAGGGTCTCCTCGGCGTGCTCCAGCAGCTCTTGCTCATGCAGGAGCGAAGGCTTCAGGAACATGCCATCGAAGAAGCCATCACGCAGCTCCGACACGCCGTACGTGTCCGTGTCCATCTTGTCGTCAGGAACCATCTCGTCGATGTGCGCCATGTCGACGACGGAACTGCGTCTGCTGGCGGGGACGGACCCCGGGTCGCCAAGGTAGGCCCTGCCGAGGGACCGCGGGAACATGGCATCGTGGTCGCCGTCTTGGTGTTGCTTCCGACGACGGACGTAGCTGGAGCGCGGGCTCTCGGACGCGCCGGACGGTCGGGGGCTCGCCGGGTCGGCCATGGTCAAGCCCGGCGGCCGTGGCCCACCAACAGCGGGAGGACTGTGGGAGCCAAAGTGCTGCGGCTTTGATGCATCAGGGCGCAGGGTGCGAGCTCCAATACACAGTCTGGCCCGTGGATCGCCAACGACTTTGTTCAAGGATGGCTTGTTGAAGATGCTACGACGTCCAGCCGGAAGCCGGTGGGACTGGGAATGACAAAGGGAAGCATAAACCGGATCGCGCCTGCCCTGCCCCGCTAGCCCCTCTTGAGTCTTGAGCCTGAAAAGAGCTCGACCCGGCCATGTACAAACTCATATAGCACTCACTGTGCTGTCGAGCATCGTGATCCTCTGCGTGCTGCTGCAAAGCTCGTAAGCGATGGCGGCCGTCGCTGATCCGCGCGCTGATCCCTCAAGTGACACGGCTGCATCAGAGCTGCCTCGGGCGATTGGACAATGTGACGTGAGTGGACGCGCGCGTGCTTGCAGCCCGCATCGAGCATTGCCTCAGGCTGCCTCGTTACCCCACAGATGTCATCGGTAGATGCAGATGACCCCTCAACCGGCCACAAGATGGATGCATGAACTTGGCCGCGCCATGGCATCTGGGCGCAGCGCGCCGACCAGGCATGTGTCGCCTTGGCCGGATCCCGCAAGTTCAGGCGCAATTGGCGGGCTCACGGTGCGCCCAGCCTGTGCGACGGCCGCGATGTACCTTTGCAATGCGACCGCCCAGGGGTCGCCCTGCTTTATCTCGCGCGTAGCCAGATCAAGTGCAGACGCAGCGATGGACCAAGCAGCACCATCAGTCGTGCAACGCGATTGTCAATTGCTGCCTTATGGGCCTCAGCTCGGCTTCAGCATTGACATTGCGATATCGCTCTGACGTGCATCCAGCCAATCGCGCCGCCGAAACTGCCGCGCCATGTCACGTGACCCCAGCCAAACTCCCGGGGCCCCATTTCGCAACGTTCCTCGCACTTCTCACCACCGACAGCCACGACGGACCACGAACCCGCCACGGCCACAACTCACCGCACCCCGAACTCGCCTCCGAACATCGTCGAGGCCCCCAACGACCGCCCGTCCGCGAACCCCTTGCCACGGACGTCCCCCAATGGCCCTCCTCCGACACGCCGCGCGCGCCGCGCGCTGCACCCGCCAGCCCATCGCTTCCTCGCGCACCTTCTCCGTGTCCGCCCGACGACAAGGCGGCGGCCACGGCAGCGAGTCGCAGTTCGACCCGCCCACCGGCTGGCTCTGGGGCATCAAGCCCGGCGAGAAGGCCGAGACCGAGGGCTGGGAGTGGCCCATGTACCTGTTCTGCGGCAGCCTGCTTGCCACCGGCATTGCTCTTGCCTTCAAGCCTGACACCACGTACGTCCCCGGAGATCGAGATGCGTTTCAGGCAGGAAGAGCCATCGCGAGCCCGTCAATTCCGCGGCTTGTGCTCGTCGAATGGCCGCCTCGCCTGAAAGCCGCATCGCAGCCGAGATATTCAATGCTAACTCGTGACAGCGTTTCTACTTGGGCCCTCGAAGAGGCACGACGGCGGTTAGAAGCTGAGGGTATCCTGCCCGACCCCTCACCGGAGAAGAAGAACTAGGGACGAACGGTACCTGGACGATAGACGGGGGAAGCCGGCAGCGACGGACATGCCGGTCCGTGAGCCGCCACCTGTACATGTTTGGCCTTTGCTTTGTTGCGCGGGGACAGTCCTCACGGCATGACTATTAGACTTCAATGCAAGGATTATTGCATACTTGAATTGTGATTGCGTGCTGCTGTCAACGTGTGCCGTCGAACTGCGTATCGTTCAAAGCGGAACTTCATCTTCGTGCAGCAAGAAAATGTTCAGAAGACCCAAGTCTTGGACGACAAGGGCTCAAAAAGTGTAGCATACGAGTCTAGGCTTGATAACTAACGCAATGACGCTCTGATCTATGTACCGCCGCCCCTCAGTCCAACTTGTAGCTCCACTCGTGCTCCTCGTCGCCGTACTGGATCGCCTCCATCCACTCCTTGATCTTGAGCGCAATCTCGCCCGACTCCTCGTGCTCCTTGAGGCCGCAGTCGACGTGCTCGCCCTTCCAGGCAATGGTGCGCACGGGGCTGACAATGGCGGCGGTTCCGGCGCCAAAGGCCTCAATGAGGCGGCCGTCCTTGGAGGCCTCATAAATCTCCCTCATGGTGTACTTGCGCTCCGTGACCTTCCAGCCCTCGGGGACGAGGCGCTCGCGGGCGAGGGCGAGTACCGAATCGCGGGTGACACCCTCGAGGATGGTGCCGTCGAGGGGCGCCGTGATGAGCTCCTTCTGGCCCGTCTCCTTGTCCTTGATGGCGACAAACATGTTCATGGTGCCGACCTCGGTCACGTACTCCTCCTCGCCGAAGAGCCACAGGTTCTGCTGATAGCCGCGGCTGGCGGCCTGCAGCTGAGGCACGATGCAGGGCGCGTAGTTGGCGCCCAGCTTCTTGTCACCGACACCGCCAGGCCAGGCGCGCACGGCGTAGTCGGTGGCCTCGAGTGAGACAGCCTTGAAGCCTGTGGGGTAGTAAGGGCCGACGGGCGAGGCGATGACATAGAGCAACGCGGAGCCGGGCGGGCCGACGCCAAGCGTCTTCTGCGTGCCGATCATGGTGGGACGGAGATAGAGCGAGTAGCCGCGCTGGTCGGGGATGAAGCGCGAGTCGAGTTGAGCGAGCTTGCTGATGAGCTGGATGAAGCTGGAGGGCTCAAAGGTGGGCAAGGCGATGCGCGCGGCCGACTTGTTGAGGCGAGCCATGTTCTTGTCGGGCCGGAAGAGGCGGACCTTGCCGCTCTTGTCCTTGTACGCCTTCATGCCCTCGAAGCACTCGAAGGCATAGTGGAAGACGCACGTCGCCGGGTCCAGCGAGAGGTTCTGGTAGGGGGTGATCTTGGGCTCGAGCCAGCCCTCGTCCTGGTTCCACTCGATGGCGAGCATGTGGTCTGGAGAGCTATTAGCCACGGGTGTTGCGACAAGGAAGGCAGAGCGAAGGAAGTACGCACCGGTGAACTCGCGCCCGAAGACGAGGTCCTCGGGCTTGCTCAGCGCCTTGGGGCTCTTGGTCTTGGTGACGCTGAGCTTGGAGGCGTCGAGCGGCTGGTGCTTGGCAGAGGAGGCAGCCTCGGCCTTGATGCTCATGAATCGCGCCGCGCGGTAGGCGGGCAGCCGCGCCGACGACGACCGGCACGCGGCCCGGAGGGCGCTCCGGGCAAAGCTGGCGGACTGCATGGCTGGCGACGGAGAAGCGGCGGGAACTCGACGTGGTGTTGGTAGCTGCTGGTTGCGACTGGGGGGGCGGGCAGGACCCGGACGGCGCGGGCGGCAGACAATGCGGGATGCGCCGAGAGCAATTGACGCAGGCGCAAGACCAGAGGAGAGGCCCGATCGAGTCCGTCGAACAGACAGTGCAGCAAATGAAGGGATCGCGAGGCCGGGGGGCGTGGGCTGACGCAGACGGAGCGTTGAGCGCCGGGGCCAGAATTAAAAAGATGGCCCCCCGGAGCGGTACCGGAGCTGCGGGCTGCGTGTGGTTGGCGGACCGCCGCCGTTCCAGCGCCCTTTGAGCCGCTGCCATGTTGGGTCGCGCCCTTGCCCGGGCCGATTATAAGCGCCAGAGCCGCCGGCTTTAGAGCCGTCGACAGCGGCTGCAGGGTAGCCCGATGTCACGCTGTCGTCTACTTGCTCAGTTGTATCGCATTCGGCCCAAGTTCATCATCGCTGAGAACATGTCCAAGAGTCCAGGAGATGCTCTTCTGCGTACATTGACAGGTTCATGCAAGGCATCAATCGCTCATATCAGGCACGAGTGTTGATCGGGTGGTCAATTAATCAGCGTTGCTTGCACACGCTCACACTTTCATGACCTTGGCCAGGTATGGTGGAGGTGTGCGCATAATGTTAGGCGACAGCTGATATCTACCAATTTTGTTTCATCGAAATGTGCCATCTGTAGTCCCCGAGTAGAGCATTAGAGTTTGCGGGTTAGATTGTTTTATGCGCATAGGCGGCTCCGAGCAGGGAAGACGGCATGGAGTAATAGCGGTTCGCCCACTCCTGTACGTGGAGGACGGCGGCCGAGTAATGCTAAAGATGACACGAGCTTGATGAGCCTCATCCACAACCTGGCCACCGCTTTATGCACCCTCCATAGCAAATTGAACCCTTTGTAGAGAGCAGTGCGCGCGTATATACTTGGGCAATGTGAATGAAACGAAAGCCAACATCAGTGGCCCAGCTGGACGAGTTCCGGATCCCTGCGCCGCCTCCATATATCAGCAACATGTTGATGAATAAGAGGACACTCGTAGACGTAGAGCTGAAAATGAACAGCTGATGCCTTGAGAGCTACGAGTCAGACAACAGTTGGGAGGCATCGCCTTGTTTCGTGTACAGCAAGTCGAGGCGAGCCTACCACGAGGTATAAAGTCGATGGAAACCCGGTAGTGTTTGGTACCAAGAACAGAAGACCATTCGACCAGATTATTACTTTCGTTAAGCATCACTCAGAATTCACTGCTGGGACTGGCGAAGTAGCCCCTTTACAGTACACCACTCTCAATCCCTGTCAACAATTCACCATGAGAACTGCTGTCCTCATCGCCGTTCTCGTCGCATCGACAGCTGCCATCCCTGCAGATAGTCAGGGCGGGACAGCTACAGGAACGGATGTCAAGTCCGCAAGGCACCTGACCAACACGGGTGGGAACAGCCTTGGCCGCACCGCAACCCTTCAGAAGCGTGACAACATTGCCGAGAGCTGCCAAGGCCACACGGAATTCATTCAAGCTGCCCTTCAGGGTTGTGCGGAGAGAGCGGCCGCATCAGCAAAAGAAGCATTAAATGGGTCGTCCAGGCTGATGCAGGATATCTTTCACACGAACGACGCGGGAGCCCGTCGCTTCGTCTCTGGGGTATTCAACACAATAGCCAGCGAGTGCCGCAAAAACGGAAGTGGCTCTATGCACATCCGGTGCCACGACACCCAAAATCAATGCGAAGGCATGAAATGGGCTGGCTGGACCAAGGGCTTGGATATGTTACTATGCCCCGCATATTGGAACAGCCCTCTCCGCGACAAGGGCGCCTGGTGCCAGGGGCTCGACGCAGAGAGTTTGATGATACATGAGATGTCCCACGGGCTCAACGCAACGCATGATTACGCATATGGATTGAACGGCGTCCGTGGGCTCCCCGCCCAGCAGAGTCTCGAGAACGCCGAATCGTATGGCATGTTCGCAAGTTTCCTCGCGCTCAAGTGCTCGAGCGATGGAATGCCGGGCCAGTCGTCACAAGGCACGCCAGGCACATCTCCTAAGGGTTCGTCAGGCGGACAATCACAGGGATCCCCGGGACAATCGTCGCAAGGAGGGCCAGAGAGTCTGCCGAGTGATTCACCAAGTCAAGGGCCAGAAACGCCAAATGAAGGCCCGTCGAGCGGAAACGGTGAGCTGGGTGACCAGTCGGGAGGGTCGGGGAGCGGTCCTGAAGAGTCATCAACTGAAGCTTCGAGTGGCTCGTCACCAAGCGACGCCGGAGAGCTGGGCGGTCTGCAGGAAGGATCGGAGAGTGTCCCGGGAGGACTGCCGCAGGGAGGCTCCAATGAACAACCAGGCTGCAAGCACAAAACGCCAGCAGGGGGGCCCTCGAACGGACCACAGCAAGGCTCGCCAGGCCAGTCTGAAGTCCCTGATGAGCTTTTGAAGCTTTTGGAAGAAAACGGTATAGAGCTTGACAAATGAGCCGGAGGGCCGTTTGGTGCGGGCAGTAGCTGGGAGACTTGATTGCAAGAACTGTCGGCGTTGGCCCGCCAAGGGGAAGGGGACGTGATCATGGAGAATTGGAGGAGCAGTAGAGTTGTTCAACATCGCCTTGACGGCGAGAAGGGGCTTCGTTCATCAACGCGCTTGGGTCGCCACCTGTTGAGCGATGAGCCTGTCGTATAAATACATGTACACGACTGAGAGTCATGGCTATGTTCCTCTGAAGATGTGTTACATCAGTTCCATCCGACTCACACGCAAAGCGCAGTGTGAGGTAGTGATGTGGCCAAGTCTAAGTTATGGTCGGCGCTGCCTCAATTATATGCGGTTGCAGCCATTAGTCAGCGCAATTGACGTGGTCACGGCCCGACTCAAGTCGAACAAAGCTCACCAGACAAGCAGCCAGCCAAACCAGCGATTTATCGAAACCAAGGTTGACCACGTCTCTCCCAGTCGCCATTGGGCAGCGGAGCGAATTAGCACGAGGCGACGCTCTGCCATTGCGACATCGCGTTCATCACTGCTGCGACACGCCCATCTGGGTCACCGACCGAAGAGCTCGAGCATCGCCACGTCGCCTCGGCCCGACACACCCAGCTCGCGCGCGACGACGACATGATAGCAGCGGCCCTCCCGCCTCGGCCCCCAGCGTAATCGTCGCAGCATGTTCTCCTCGGCGCTCAAGTCCATCTCCGCCACCAACATCACCGCAAACTACTCCGTCTCACCGAACCCCACCTCGACGGCCGGCCCGTGGAAGATCTACGACGCGAAGAAGAAGTCGACGGGCAAGGCGTATAGCGTCTTCGTCTTCGACAAGAAGGCGCTAGACAGCCATGGCAGCTCCCTAGGGCGCTCCGGCGCCTCGTCGTACAAGCGCAGCGTCGAGGAGGTCGTCGAGCGCCTGAAGAAGGAGGCCTCGAGTCTCGCCAAGCTCCGCCACCCCAGCATCCTCGAGCTGGTCGAGCCCGTCGAGGAGACGAGAGGCGGCGGCCTGCAGTTCGTGACGGAGGCCGTTACCGCGTCGCTGGCGAGCGTGCTGCAGGAAAAGGATGATCAGGAGCGCGCGGGCGGGCCCGGTGGCCGCTCGAGCCGCTACGTCACCGAGGATGCGGACGGCGTGCGGAGGAGGAGGGAGCTCGAGATTGACGAGCTGGAGATTCAAAAGGGGCTGCTGCAGCTGAGCAAGGCGCTCGAGTTTCTGCACGAGAACGCGGGGCTGGTCCACGGCAACCTGACCCCTGATGCAGTCCTCATCAACGCCAAGGTAAGCAACTACATCTACGCGCCGTAAGATAGGCATGTGCATTGGCTGACGCATCGCAGTCTGACTGGAAGATAAGCGGTTTTGCCTTTTGTAGTCCCGCTGAGGGCTCCAACAAGCCCACCTCCATACAGGGCATCAACCTGTACGAGGTGCTCAACATGGACCCGCGGCTACCCAGGCTCGTGCAGCTCAACCTCGACTACACCTCGCCCGACTTCGTCATGGACAACAATCTGACGCCGTCTGCCGACATGTTCTCGCTTGGGCTCCTGTCCGTGGCGCTTTACAACTCGCCGCATCAGTCACCGCTCGAGAGCCACGGCAGCCTCTCGTCGTACAAGCGGCTCTTCTCATCGTCCTCATCCGTACCTTCCTCAACCAACAACTTCCTCTCTTCCCGCCCGCTCCCCAAAGACCTCTCTCAACATGTCCTGCCGAGGCTCATCACGAGACGGCCGGCCCAGCGAATGACGGCCCGTGAGTTCCAGCAGAGCGAGTACTTTGACAACATCCTCGTCTCTACCATCCGCTTCTTGGACTCCTTCCCGGCCAAGACGCCAAACGAAAAGTCGCAGTTCCTCAAGGGCCTCGTCAAGGTTCTGCCGTCGTTCCCCAAGTCGGTAATGGAAAAGAAGATTCTGCCGGGGTTGTTGGACGAGCTCAAGGACAGAGAGCTTTTGGCGCCAATCCTGCAGAACGTGTTCAAGATTATCGAGCTGCTGCCTTCCGCTCGACGAGCGTTTGGTGAAAAGGTGCGGCCCGCGTTGAAGGAGATTTTCGTCGTCAATGCGAAGCAGACGCAGGAGAAGGACCCAGCACGAGACGCAGGCCTCATGGTCTTTCTTGAGCACCTGCAGGCTGCGGCAGACAACAGCTCCGGCAAGGAGTTTAAGGACGGTAAGAGCGAGACCCAGTGTTATGAGGAGATGGTGACAAGACTGACAGATTACAGATATATTGCCTGTCATCCTGGCAGCCATAGAATGCCCGACGCATGCCATCGTCGACGCCGCGTTGAGGACTCTGCCATCTGTGCTTCCTGTGCTTGACTTTAGTACCATCAAGAACGAGCTCTTTCCTGTGGTGGCAGCCGTCTTTAGCAGGACGAACAGCCTCGCCATCAAGGTGCGTGGTCTTCAGGCGTTTGTCATCCTCTGCGGAGGGTCGGCCGACGCGGCAGCCGACGACGGCCTGAACGGCCTGGTAGAGGACAAGAGGAAGACATCATCATCCAGTGCTTTGGACAAGTACACGATGCAGGAGAAGATTGTTCCCCTGATCAGATCCATCAAGACCAAGGAACCGGCGGTAATGATTGCAGCGCTCAACGTGCTGCGCATCGTTGGCCAGACGGCCGACGCCGAGTTTGTGGCAATGGACATCCTTCCCGTCCTGTGGAGCATGTCCCTAGGGCCCTTGCTGGATCTGAAGCAGTTCCAGACCTTCATGGAGCTCATCAAGAACCTGTCGCGGCGAGTGGAGGAGGAGCAGTCCAAGAAGCTCCAGGAGACGTCGGGCAACTCCAACAGCGCAGCGGCCGGCCCCAATGAGGACTTCCTTGCGTTCGGAGGCGTGACTGGCACGGCATTTGACGCGAGCGGCGGCGGCAACGAGGATGACTTTGAGTCTCTGGTCAAGGGGCGACCCGGGGCGGGCAGCGCGTCGGCGAGCAACGGGACCGGCCTCGCGAGCTGGGACGAGACGCCCTCGGTCATGTCCGCACCAAAGTCGACAACGAGCACGCCGCAAACGCCTTCATTTTCGTGGTCCACGCAGACCCCTGCCAGTCCCACGGGTGTCGCTGCGCCGCCGAGCCAGGGGTCTGGCTTCCGGACAGTCACGCCGGACCTCGCGCGGTTCGGGTCCATGACGCCGTCGTCGACGCAGTTCAGCCAGCCGCTGCAGCCTACGCAGCCCTCGCACTCTGGCTTCCAGGCGCCGCCTACCCAGCCCAGCGCAACGTCGTTCAACTGGTCGTCGAGCACGGCGTCGGCCGCAACAGCCAATCCCTGGGCGTCGACCTCGTCCACGCCCAACTACGCACCCAACTACTCGTCCGCGAATCCGACGTCTCCCTCATCCACGCTTTCTGGCTTCGGCGGCATGACGTCTTCCATGAGTGGAATGTCCCTCGGGGCGCAGCGGCCGAGTATCAGCGGGCAGCGCAGCTCGTCGTCATCGTTCTCGTTGCCCCCGCCACCCGGTGGCTCTGCGGGCGCCGGCTCCTTTGGCATCAGGCCCCCTCCTAACCCGGCGCAGCAGCAAACAGGGTGGTCACCCGTTGGCGGCATGGGACAAATGGCAAACAAACCCATGGGGTCGATGGGGTCGATGGGTGGCGCCAACAATACCAGCGGGGCGCAGCAGCAGCAGCCGCAGAAGTCGGGGCTGGACAAGTACGAGAGTCTTATTTAGGCATGGCGTTGCGTTTTCATTTCTTTTACTCTCCTGGTTCTTCTCTCTTGGGGTTACTAACGCATAGATGATGGGGGGCGGTTTGTTGTACGTTAGTCTCACGCGGCAGGACAGGCGGATACCACTTTGACGAGGACGAGTAGCATGTACGGAACAAGAGACATGAACGACAGGGGCGAGGCGGCATTAAGGTTGTATTCCATCCATGCTGTCTTTCTTCATCTATCTAGACAAAACGCGTCGACCGTGTGTATACGTGCGAATTACGTACGTCTTCTTTTGTGGGAAGATAAGTGCCATCTAGGCGCGAAGCTTCCTTTTCCCATCTACCGCCACCCATGTGTGTTTCCGTCCATAACGTCGCGATCAAACCAGCAGCCCATGGAGAGAAAGAGAGGGCAGGCAAAACAACGGGGAAAGACATGGGCCAAACAAAAAACAAGGAGACCGAGCAAGCGGGCTAATGAGGCCCGGGGGACACGAAGGAGAACGCGGCCGACCGGCTGGTCGGGTGTGCGTATGTGCCCCCTTTGGGGCCTCAGCCATCCCGTCGAAACGCCAGACACCACGATTTGAAACAACAGAAACCGTTACTCCTTGCAAGAAAAGGACAGATGACCAGGCAAGGACGTGCGCGGGCTCAAGTATTAAAACAGGTAAGTGACTCGCAGGATGGTGTAGCGCAAAGGGCGAAGGGATGTGCCAATGTGTGTGTGTGTGTGTGTGCATGGCGCTGAAGCAGTGGTCCGTCACGAGCTTGCAACAGGCTTCTTGGCGGCAGAGCCATTTTTGACATCGCCATTCGTGGGGGCGGCGGTCCCGTTCTTGGCCGTGTCTGTTGCGCCGTTCTCAGCCGACGGCACGCGCACCTCGAAGACGTGTCTGCTGCGGTAGCCAGGCTCGGTGACGACGTCGATGGGCTGGCCCTCGGGGACGGCCATCTCGTGGCGCATGGGCCAGTCCAGGCGGCGGCAGAGCTCGGCGACGACGACGTCGCAGTCGCCGAGCAGGTCAATGTCAAAGTTGATGTGGCTGACGGGCTGGCGCGAGACGTAGATCTGGGGGATCTGGGGCGGCAGCCAGCTGACGATCTCGGAGACGGGGGTGACCTTGAGGGAGGTGCCGATGACGATGACGAGGTCGACCTTTTCGCGGTCGTGCGTGGTCAGGCGCTTGGAGAACTCGTCGGGCAGGGCCTCGCCGAAGAAGGTGATGTCGGGCTTCATGACGCCGGCCTCGGGGAGGTCGTAGTCGGAGTTGTCGTCGTCGTCGGTCGAGTCGCCACTCGCGGAGCGGCGGACCTTGCGGCGGGACGAGGCGTTGGCGCCGGCGGAGCGCTTGCGCTTGCGGCGGCGACCGTTGCCGTTGCCGGCGAGCAGGGCCTGGACGCAGCGCGGGCAGCGGGGGATGTTGCCGGCTTTGATGTCCGGGAAGATGGCCTCGCCGTCCATCTGGAAGCCGCACTGGACGCACGAGGCGGTGCCGAAGGAGCCGTGGCACTGGACGAGCTTGTCCTTGGGCAGGCCGGCCTTGACCTCGAGGTTGTCGATGTTCTGGGAGTAGTTTGTGAGCAGCTTGCCACGCTGGTGCAGCATGGCGAGGAACTTGTGCGTCGGGGTGAAGCGGTCCGTGGCGGGGACGATGTCGCGGGCGACCGAGTAGAAGATGGTGGGATCATCCTTGAAGACGTCAATGTCGAAGACCTCCTGGGGGTCGCCGAGGCCGAGGTGCTCGAGCTTGGAGTAGAGGCCGGTGCCCTTGGAGCGGAAGTCGGGGATGCCGAGCGAGGTGGAGATGCCGGCGCCGGTGATGACGATGATGTTGGAGGAGCGGCGGACCAGGTCAACGGCGTCGTCGACCGAGTTGTAGCGCGACAGCTTGGCGCGCTTGGACAGCTCGCGCGACATGGCGAGCGAGAGGAGGCTGAAGTAGGCCTCGTCGGGCTGGCCGTCGAGGAAGGCCGGCGCGCGGATGTTGAAGGCCGTGAGGAGCTTCTTGGCCGTGTAGCGGCCGGCGTCTACGGTGCGCTGGCAGAAGACGGCCGGGCCGTACTCGCGCAGTTCCCTGCGGAGGCGGCTGGCCTCTTCGGGCGAGCACGCGTCTGATTCTGGGGCGATTGTCAGTCGGAGGATTCTTCATCAAGTTTGTGGGATAAGGGGTGAGAGTAGGAGGGCGATGAATAAACGAATGAATGCATGTAGACTCACTCTTCTCGCCGTCGGCATCCGACGACGACGACAGCTCGAGAAAGGCATCCTCAAACAACGAGTCCGTGTCCCACGACTCGCGGACGTCGTTGACGCGGTCCTCGAGCTCGGCCAGCGAGACGTTGGCCTCGGCGCGCTTGATGTCCTCGAGCGTCGGGTTGGCGGGCAGGCTGTCGAGCGCGTCCGGGTTGCCCCTTCGCGGCGGCAGGGCCACGGCGGCGGCCTTGCCTGCGGGAGCGCGTTTCATGGTCATTGTAGGAGAGGGAGAAAGCAGAAGAGATAGGCTGGGGGCGAGCCAGCAGTTGATGACGACGACGGTCGCGTTGGGAGCGAGACAGATAAGTCAGTTGCCCGAGTGGCGAGTTTCCTCACCAGGGGGGAAGGGCAACGAAGCGCGTCGAGACAACTCGAACCACTCACTGCGCGGGCAGTTTGGCGGTCTGGCGGGCGATGGCGGATCAGTCGGGCGGGCGGGCTCTCAAAGAGAATGAGACGAGGTCATTCAACAACGGAGAGAGGTAAAAAAGAAATGATTATGTATCGTACGGCCTTATCGGGCCGGCGCCGCGACGAATGGCGTGGGCAGCGGGCGGGAATAAACCAGGACAACAACAGCCGACCGACCGACGGGCGAACAAAAAGGGCGGCCACGGGCTGGCCGTTGTTGAAGGCGAACAGAATACCAGACCGGGCTATACACCAAACCCTCCTGTCGACAGTTTTGCGTGAGCGCGGCGAGCCCCGGGGGGAAACCACAGTGCAAAAAGGAGGAAAAGAAGGCCGACGGACAAAAGCGCGTTGCCAATGCGTTGCGGTCGATGGCGACGGGCGAAGATGACGGGCGGCGGCGGGTTGAATGGTTGTGGGAGAGAGAGAAAGAAAGAGAGAGAGTAGGAAGGCGAGGAAAAGCCAAAAAAAGGTTGGGAAAATGTGACTCGGGCAAGGGATGAAATGAGATACAAGAAAGGGCCAGCCAGCCAGCCAGCCAAGGCGACAGAAAAAAAAATGTCGCTCGAGTCGGGCGATACCTCAGACCTCTCACACACAGGCGGCGGCGGCGGCGACAAATGGGAAGCCAGCAAAGTCAAGCTGGGTGTGCAAATGGGCGTATAGCAATGGGCATTGGCAATCAATCAATGGGCAATGGCATGGAAATGGCACGTTGGCATGACGAGGCCAGCAGCGTCCAAAAAGGTACCTACCTACCTTCCCTAGGTCAGGCAGGTAAGGTAGGTAGGTAGTTGAGAGCGCGCCGCACCTCGCAGCCCGAGTACCGGTACTCCGTGGCCTTTTCAGAACGCAAAATGCAAACGCAAACGCACAAGAGGCAGTTTCGTACTTTCGTACATGAAGCGCGGAGCCTCCGAGTGGGACACGAAACAGATGGACGATGGAAGGCTGGAAGGCTGGAAAGGGTGGGAATCTCGGGAGTACTGGGTACTGTGCTTCAGAGAAACGTAGCCAGCACTCACCTGGATAAGCAGCAGCAGCAGCAGCAGCCGTAGCAGCAGGAGCAGTAGCAGGGGCGCGCGGGGAGAGATGGGTGATGCTTCGTGGTAACAACAGCAGCAGGCGCCCCTCGTATTGATCGAAATCGAGCCCGACGAGGCAGGCGGGCGATTTGAGTTTCGAGGCGCAGCGTTCTCGCCGCGGAAGACGAGGGAAGCAGGTAGGCAGGCAAACAAGCCAGCAAGCGACTGACGTGAGAAGTCCGACTTCAGCGTGAGTGCTGGAAACCAATTGGGGGGTGGAAAGTTGAGGGGGGCCGTGGTCTGGTCTGGTCCGGTCCTGTCCGTCCTTTTTCGTTTCATTATTTATTTCATTATTGCAGCTAACCAAAAAACGTGATTAATCAATCACCTTTCACTCAACACGCTCCGTCAGTCAATCAATCAATCAATCAGGTCCGAACCTCTCAGCACGCGGGGGCACGGGGGGCGGCTGAAAGGAGGAGGCACAGACAGCCCCAAATTCCAATCCAGGGTTCGGCACTGCAGCTCTGGCCCAAGGTACGGGCTGTTGCCGTAGCCATACCTTACATACGTATGTATTGCCGTTGATGCTGTAGTAAACGGTTTTCGCCTATCTAGGGCATTGCCCAAATCTCTTTCACGGCCCTCGGGAAGAACATCTTCACCCCCGTCCCGACCGGGACAATGAACGCAACGCAAACTGGTGCTGCTTCCGACGATGTGTCTGACCGACATGACTAGGTATTAGGTGACCGCCACCCTCATCAGCCAACCAGCCGAGCCCTCCCTTTCCCCCCTCGCGGCCAGACACACACGCCCTGAAACTCTGTCCGTACCGCACCAGGCTTCCCCCCCTTCCCGAAACCCGACACTTGATGGTCGCGGTTGATTCATGTCTGTGACCGGTGGGTGCGCGGACACCCGGCATCTAGCAGCAGCAACTCCTCCTCCTCATCCTTAATTGTCAAGTCATGAAATGAACTCGACTTTGCTCATTCACGTCGCTGTAATATCCGGGGTTCGCCACCTTAGTTAGCTCCAGTCAAGTCAATGATGACTTGAAACCCGTCCTATGGCCTAGACCAGGACACTATCCGTCCTCAGCTGCCATCGTGTACATGTGCAGGAAACCATCGTGGCCAGCGTGGGCAATAGACCGCCGCTTCAGCGACGCCATGCAGCAGCTCGCGCCGCCCCAACGGCAGTGCCTTGTGCATGCCGATGCTCTGCTCCCCCAACATATTCGCACGTAGACAAGTAGACAAGCAGACAGCAAATACCAAAAAGAGTCGAAAATCAGCAGAGACCAGTGCGCTCAAAGTGTACAAATTGGATATAGTCTAGCAGCCGCCGCGGCGGCCGCAACTCTAATGGACAGGTGTGGGCGGTTGAGTCCGCCTATGTATGGTATGGTATATACAGTTTCCGCGCATGCAGGCGCCTTCCTCCTCTCTACTCTTTCCGCGTCTCGCCGCTGCTCTCTGCTCCTTGCTGAGAAGTGCCGGCCGCCGCTGTCTCGTCCGCGCTCGGCCGACCTGACGGCGCCCACCCGGCCGCCACGCCCGCCGCCACGATGCCCGCCATGACTGTTGGCGCCCCGAGCGCCGAGTTGGACCGCGACCGGTTGGACCGCGACCGGGTCCGCGACCGCGACTCGGGCGTCGGAGCCCGTGACCCGAAGCTGTCCTCGCGCTCCGGCGTCGCCGGCGCGTTCATCGACTCGGATCGCGAGTGCGACGGGCTGCGCGACCGCCGCATCAGAGTCTCCTTGGGATGCTGCACCGCAAACTTGAGGTTGTTGAGACGCCCACCCTTCATCCGCCGCAAGAAGTTGAGCTCGTCCCGCACGTCCGCCAGCGGCTCCGGGTACATGTCCATCTCCTCGTCCGACACCGTCAGGCCGGGCACCTTGTGCGCCCGCTGCTTCAGGAAGTCGGGGACCAGCGCCAGGAGCGCCGAGTCCGGGATCAGCCGGATCACCACGCCAACCGGGATCGAGATGGCGCCCAGGATGATGGCGATGCCCCAGAGTGCCGCATCCCTGCTCGCGCTCGAGGCGATCTGGAACGCCGCGCCGCCGACAAAGATGATGAGCACCTGTCCGCCGCACATGATGATGCTGATGCCGATGAAGAACCAGTTGCTCATGAGACCCTCAAAGATGTTGAACTTGTTGTCCAAGCGGCGGTTGCTGCGCTTCGTTAGCAAAGCCATCCTAATCAAACGCATGACGATTATCACTTACTTCCACTGGTTAAAGATTTGCATCCACACAAACGTGTTGAATACCAGCGTATTGACCACGTTCGCCGGCAGCGGCTCGTTGGTGATGATGCCGTCGATGAGGCCCTTGGGCACGCCATAGTACAGCAGGAACGTAATCACCAGCTGGTACACGGCCTGGCCCAGAATCATCTTCCACATGGTCGGCGAGATGATGGACGAGCCCTTGGGCTCCGGCTTGCGGTCCAGCACGCTGTCCTGCGGCGGGTCCGTGGCCAGCGCCAGCGCCGCCAGCGTGTCCATGATGAGGTTGACCCACAGCAGCTGGACGGCCGTCAGCACCGACTCCTCCTTGCCGCTCGACACGGCAGTGACGAAGGTGAGCACCACGGCCGTGATGTTGACCGTCAGCTGGAACTGCAGGAACCGCTTGACGGCGTCGTTGACGGCACGGCCCCACTTGAGGGCCTTGACGATGCTCGAGAAGTTGTCGTCCATGAGGATGATGGCCGATGCTTCCTTGGCCACCTCGGTACCGGCGATGCCCATGGAGAAGCCCACATCTGCCATCTTGAGCGCGGGCGCGTCGTTGGTACCGTCGCCCGTCACGGCTACCGTCTCACCCTTGTCCTTGAGTCGCTTCACGAGAATGCGCTTGTCTTCGGGGCTAGAACGGGCCAGGACGTGCAGCCGCGGGATAATCTCTTCCTGCTGCAGCTTGCTCAGGTTTCGGAAGTCGGGGCCCTCCATGACGATGCTGTTGGGCTGCAGGATGCCGCACTCCTTGGCGATGGCCTGCGCCGTGAGCTTGTTGTCACCCGTGACCATGCGGACCACGACGCCCGCCTTCTGACAAGCCCGGACCGAGTCGTAGACACCGTCGCGGAGCGGGTCCTGGATGCCGACCATGCCGACAAAGTTCATCTCGCGGAAGATGTCCTCGAACTCGACCTGGTCCTTGCCGCCCTCGCTGCGCTTGGCCGCCTTGGGAGGCCACGCGTCGAAGTCGCGGTAGCAGAGGCCAATGGTTCGCAGCGATCGCATGGCGTAGCTCTCGATGAGGCGCGTAATGGTGCGGCTGTCGTCCCTGGTAAGCGGGACGAGCGAGTCGTCCACCGAAGGGTCGCGCAGCGTCTGCGTGCACTTGGCCAGGAGAATCTCGGAGGCACCCTTGACGTAGAGGCGCGCCCTGCCCTTGGGCAGCTGCACGACGATGCCCATGCACTTGCGGCCAGAGTCGAAGGGGATGATCTGCAGGGTCGTGGCGCTCTCGCGCTCCTCGCTGACGGGGCCCATGGCGAGGTGCGCCCGCGCGAACAGCAGCAGGGCCGTCTCAGTCTTGGATCCGATAAACGTCTTTTCGCCGTCGACCTCGCCCTCGAAAGCGGTCGAGTTGAGCGCGACCGACTTGAGCAACAGCTCCTTGACGGGGGCGCTGAGCATGGCCGTGAAGTCCGCCGCAGAGATGTCGGCGCTCGTGTCGAAGTCGGGCTCCGCATCCTCGTCGTCGCTGTCAGCCGACTTGGGCCGGGCACCCCCGAAGCGGTTGCTCGTGCCGATGGTGCCCGAAACAACCTGCATCTTGTTTTGCGTCAAGGTTCCCGTCTTGTCCGAGCAGATAGTCGTCGCGTTGCCCATGACCTCGCAGGCCTTGAGGTGGCGCACCAGGTTGGCGTCCTTGAGCATGCGGGTCGTGGCAAAGGCCAGCGCGAGCGTCACGGCTAGTGGCAGGCCTTCGGGGACGGCGACGACGATGATCGTGACGACAACGATGAAGATGTTCAGGAACATCTGACCCTTGGCAGCCGGCGTGACGCTGTCGTCCAGGCGCGGAAGACGAACCAGGAACTCGATGAAGAGAACGATAAACAGAAGCAGACCGGCGGCACCGCCGAGCTTGGCGATATATGTAGCGATGACGTTGAGCTTGGCCTGGAGGGGCGTCATCTCCGGGTCCTCGTTGAGCGCCATGAGCGTCTTGCCGTACGACGAGTAGATACCGGTGGACGTGGCCATGTACGTGCCGACGCCCTCCATGATTCGCGCGCCGGACTGAATGAACGGGTCCATCTTCTTAAGATTCTCGTGGTTCTGGATAGCGTCGAACACCTCATCGGACGGCCGCTTGCGAATAATGTCGGACTCGCCCGTGGTCTGAGACTCGTCGCACTTGACGTTGAAGCCCTCGATGAGCACGCCGTCGGCGGGGACCAGGTCGCCGGGCTCCAGGTGGATGACGTCGCCGACCATGAGGTCAAACACCGATACCTCGACCGTCTTTCCCGAGCGGACCACCTTTACGTTGCGGTCCTGTTTCTTCTTGTTGAGGCGGGCAAACTGGCGTTCCTTGGAGTAGTCGTTGAGAGAGCCGACGATGACGACAATGGCAATGGCGGCGATAATGGCAACACCCTCGACCCATTCCACCTTGGGCTCGCCGGGCTTGTGCTCGCCGCCAAACGTCTGGTAGAGGCCGACGCCCAGGCTGATAACGGCGGCGATGGACAGCAGAATCAGGACCTTGTCGTTGTAAGTAATCCACATGAGCTGAAGAAGACTCTTGCCCTTCTTGACAGGCAGTCTGTTGTCTCTGAAGACGCGGTATCTGTCGGAAAAGGAGTCGTCTTTGGCGCGCAAAGACTTGTTAGTGGGTTGCCGGGTAACCGGGCTGACGACACCCTCAGTCTCCAGCTTACTGTTCTTGACCGTCGCGGCCGTCGCCTCTTCAAACGAGACGTCGCCGTCGAGGCGCGACTCGTCGGTGCTGAGGCCAGACTTGCGGTCCGAGCGCAGGCCCTTCTCCAGCCCGCGGAGCCCACCGAGCGCGTAAAAGGCCGGGAGACTCTTGGGGTTGAACATCTTGTTGAGCTGGCCGGGGGTGAAGGCGAAGGGGTTGTTGTCGACCTTGAAGTCCTCCTCGGTGCCGGCGTCGGGGGCCAGCGCCGAGTCGTCCTTCATGACCTTGTCGTTGCCGGCGGCCTTGAACTTGTCCGTCTGCGTGTAGCTCGAGGCGACGACGGTGGTCTCGCCGTGGGAGCTGACGGAGCGCACGGCATCCTGCGAGTCGACCGAGTTCTGCCTCGAGCGCAGGGGGTTCGGCGGGACGGAGAGGAAGCCGGCGCCGCCCTCGGCGGCGGCCCGCGACATGACGGGGCTCGAGACGTTGTGCGGGCTCGTGGGCCGGCTGTCCTTGCTGTCGAAGGAGGTGTCGGCGCGCAGCTCGGGGCGCTGGTTGGGAGTGAATCCGGCGACGGGGGGCTCGACAATGGTGGACGGGCTGACGGGGTCGTCGGGGGGTGATATGGGCGACACGGAGGGGCTCGCCCGGGGGGCATCTTGAGCCATGTCGCCGGAGCTGTTGTTTGCGCTGACGGCGGTGGTGTCAATGGTGATGGTTGGCCTGGCGAGGAAGGGTCAGTCTGGAATGCCGAGGCAGGGGGGGTGGAAGGTTGTTTATGTTCCCTCCACCAAGGGAGGGCAAGACAACTCACGCTCTCCTCCGGCCGACGGGGGGCCCAGGCGGCGGCTCGGGGTCGCTGGCGTCCTTCATGTCGACACACAGCCCACCTCGCGAGGCAGGCGGTTGGCAGATGAGGCAGACAAGATGCTAGGGCAGCTGGAGGTCGCGGGCCGTCGTGGCGCTGCCGAGCTGGAGGCGAATTAGGCAACGCCCGTCGGTCAATGGGCGAAGGGCGGTAAGGAGGGCGAAGCAGAACGGTGATGAAGCAGCGCGCATTAAGAAGAGTGTAGTAAAAGGAAGGGCAATGGGGCGGTCAAAGCGCTCTCTGAGGAGACAGCCGGCGTGTTGGCCTGCGCTGGGGTATAGTTAAGAAGAGGCACGACGGCAACGACACATGGTGGCGGAGAATTGTGATGTGAAGAGGCAACGACACGGCCGGGCCTGGGGCATCTGCAGCGCCGCGAGAGAAAGGACATGATCCATCCATCCATGCCCGGAACTTCGACCTCCCCAGTTGGTGCAAACGAACTCTTTGGGCAGTGAGGCAGTGCAGGCGGACACCCCGGTCGCCTCAGGTGGGGACGCCGCCGGTGGTTGGCTGGGCCGCCGGGCTAGCGCCACCCGGGGGCCTCAGTCTTATTTGGCGGGCTTGCTTGCCATTGCCAGGGGGCCGGGGGCGTTCTCGGGGGAGTGGCCCATTGCCAGTGGAGGAGCCCAGGCGCTGTGTGCCTTTTTGCAGGCTTGGTTTCGGGTTGGGGCGCGCCGCCTCGAATTGAAATCAAGGTGAGCCATGCCCAGCGGCACGGGGCACATACAGACAGACGGGACCACAACCGACCAGGACGAGCCCGACGGCGCGCCGCCGCCGCCGCCGCCTCCAGCTGCACTGGGGAGGAGACGGTCGGAGGGTTCCACTGAGACCGAGTCGAGTCTGACGCTGCTGTCGTGCAACGAACGCTCTTGGCTCAGGCAGGGCCTGGGAACCAACAGCAGCGTGCGAGTAGATCCTGATGGAACAGTATGCCCGCTTAGTACGAGGCACAGTCGCAAACGCAGGTGACGGTCGCACATGCCGCGTCTGGCGTCTGGCTTGTCGCTGGCAGCGTTGCAGTCCGCACTCCTACTCCTCCTCCTTGGCGGCCACCGCTCATCTCACACGGCGATCGCTGTCGATGGTGCCGGGCCGGGCTCGCCCACCGCCGTGTCACTGAGACAGACGGACGGACGGACGGACAGACAGACAAACACCCAAACGCCTTCCTCGACTCTGGCAAAAATGCAAGCAAGCCCCCGTGGGTCCAGCCCCCTGCCCCCCCAGGCGTCGGCAGAGTGCAAAGGTATCTTTTGAGTCGACGCGCGCGGAGACTGTACCCGAGTCGAGAGTTTCCATCCCCCATCGATCGCGCCATCGGGAGTCGGGGCTCCTTTGCTGTGCCGCAGAAGGACATTGACTGACGTGCCTGATGGGTTAGGTTGTCGGGTGCCTTTCTCGAAGCCCCTGCGAGCGACATGCTGAAGCTTTCCAAGCGTTCCGCTGCGGGCACCTGAGCTGCGGGCACCACCCGCCGGGCTCCAGGCCCTCTGGTGCGCCACGCTCGCTGGGCGCTAGTACCTATAAGGTTCAGCAGTGGTGCTCTGTCCAGGCAGGCTTTTGCCCCTTGGCTGCCTCCATTCAAGCCCTCCGGCCGCCGAGTCAATGCCCCGCGTACGTTCCATTCCTTCGTCGACGCTGCCTGCCAGCAGCACCTCTGCCCGGGCGGCCTCTCGGTGGCGCTGGGCCCCGTCACGGCGACGCACCGCCGAGGGGGCGGAGCTGTCTGAGCAGCCGCCGGAGGGCCCCGTTACCCGCCAACACCGACTCCGTTTACCCTGGCTCCCGTCGTCGGGGCCCCTTGTCGTCCTGTCGTGTGTCCTCCCCGAGGAAGGTTTGGTTTCCCAGCGCCGCGGCACAGGGAGGCGTGTTTCGCCACCGTGCGCTGTCGGGACGCGCCACGAGTGTGGCTGGAGGACGGGAGGCGAACACGACAGGGCCCGAGGGCGACGTGGACGCGTTGCTTGCGAGATTCAGCAAGATTCGTCGCAGCATTCATCGTCATGTGCCGTGGGGGGTGTCATTCGATCGCCGGCGTCTCTCCGCGTCATGGTCCCGGCGTTTTCGTTGCGCGCCCGCCACCAACGCCGCCGACACACGTGTTTTGGGCGAGAGGCAGCCCAGCCCGCAGAGCCGTAGGCAGCTTCAACGATGCCTTGCCCAAGTAGACCGTCCTGCCTGCCTGGCCTCTACGCGCGGGTGCCTCGTCTGACGTAGTCGAATCGTCAAGTGTGCCATCGCGACGACCAAGGGGCCGCCAGCGCCAGCTCCTTGTCGAGGCGTCAGCGGCTGGACCCTCGCAGCCGGTGGCTGAATTAAGGCCGTTGCGCCACCAGACACCAGACAAATGCGGACGCTGAATCAGGATTCGGTGCGCGCGGTGACTGTGTGGTTTTCCCGTCGATGCATGACGGGTCCGTGCTGTCGGTAACAGGGATGGTCCAGGGATCGGATGTGATTCACCTGGGGATGACAACGGTGTTTGTCAGAGAGCGTGGACTGACCGTGGGCAATGTTTGTACACTTTGCACTTTGCGACCGGGTTTGTTGTTCAGCCCCCGTGTGTCGCCAGCCGCGGGAGGAGCCCTGCAAGGGACAGGAGTTGCAGTTGAGCTGCGCGACTTATTTTTTGCCGAGGCGGTTGGAAATTACAGATCCACGACTGGTTGTACGGAGGCGGCAAGCTGCCCGAGCATGTTGACGATGTCCCAGACGATGCGTGACGACTTCTGTTTTGTCGGATGCCAATCGTCGGGCCGACGTACATGATGACGAGCTGCCTGCAGTGGACCAACTGACATGCACATTCTACTCTGTACTGCACATGGCACAGTACAAGACTCGCACAAGCTGCGCCACCTCGATGCATCTCAGAAGCGCAGATTGATTGACTGATTGATTGATGCTACAGTACTCCTCCTGGGCGAGTCCTCCAAGTACTGGGTACGCGCTGGCATCTGCCGGAGATGAGCTGTCGATGGCAGCGAAACCTGCGGCGCCGCCCGCCCTGCCCAAGCGGCGACTCGATCCCTGCGGGGGGAAACGCAGGGCCCCGCCGCGACGCCCAACCAGGACGCCGGAGGGGGCCCCCCCAGCACACCTTAACAGTGATAAGCTACGGCCGAGGGCGCCAAAGCGAGACTGGCGGTTTCGTTGGGCCCACGTGCCCACCTTGTTGTGCGCGGTACTCTGTACTTTGGGCCTCCGTATCCCGTACTCTCGAATTGAAAGTCTGCCTGCCTGCCTGCCTGCCTGCCTGTCTGCGTGTGCCCCTCGGTTGCGCTTGAGACGATGATGGAACGGCTCAGCAGGTTTCCGTAGATTTCACAATCTTGCTTGAGTGCCACTCATCAACCTTCCATTACATCACTCGCAGGGCTCCGGATGGCTCGCAGTCTCCTGCCAAGCCCCGCCCTCGCCTGCTGCTGCTGCTGCATTGACAGGAATTTGCGATGCCGGGCCTTGGGTGCTTGGGGTCCCTGGATGCCTGGCTCCAGGTCCCGTCGTGTGCCGTGTCGATGTCGTGTCATGTCGTGCTGGGTGTTGTGGTTCGACGTGGCACACGCCGCCGCACGACTGGTTTGTCGTCGTTCGTCCTGTTTTCCTCTACTGTACTGTTTCGCTGTGCGCTCTCCTATACGAAGCACGCTCGTAACTTGCATTGCATTACAGCCGCGGTACGACACTGGCCGTCGTTGCTCGGGCCGCACCCATCGCCCCGCGCCGTCGATTCGTCGCGTGTTGCGCTGTGCTGCGACCGGCTCCGCACCCGGCTCGGCCGCCAAGTCTCTCTTGAGTGGTCTCGCCGAGTCGAGCCTTTGCCGTCCTCTTTTTGACACGAGCTACATACGTGCTCCTCCGGTACAGTACTGCATGTACTATCGATCTTGCCGTTAGCTCTTGATCTCGCGCTCACGCCCGGGCGACGATCCCTTGCCACTAACAGCAGGCGGTTGAACGCGGAGCGGGCGGGCGGCGCTCGTTCGATCCGTCATCCGACGACGCCTGTCCCTGCTGCAGCTAATACTTGCACAGCCACGTCCTGGCAAAAAAGACCTCTGCGGAAAAGTGCAGCTATGTACCGTATGACTGGCCTGCCTTTTTGTCGCAAGATCGCTAGTTGTCAATAATGTGCAGGTCTGCTTCGTGCTTCGTACCGAAGTGTGCACACAGATTCACGGATTACCCGAAACTGCAATCTTCCTGACGCTGTGTTCTACCGGGAGGAGGGAGGCGCATAGGGAAGCGCCCGAACACGAGTGCTTATTTGCCGAGTACAGCATTGAATTGCATTCGTTGGGGGATCTTGCTCGCATCCGCCATGTAAGAGGCCATGCGACAGCCGGTTCGGCAATACTCTACATACAGGATGCTCCATCTACATACAGTACTTCGGCGGCATTGCGCTTTTCGCACCAGAGACGGGGCTGTCAACGGACCGCCAAACGGTGCACCCCGTCCGTCTCGTCTGTTCCCAACCTCGGTCCTGTTGCCGACGCCCCCTCTCGGCAGCTTCAACACGCCCGCGTCGTCTTCGTTCGAGACGACGCTGTTGGTTCTTTCTCTCGTCTGCCAAAACCTTAATCGCCCGCCCTACAGGTCACACCTACGTACTTACTTGGGCCGTGCCGTTACAGTGCCATTACAGCGACAGACATGCCACGAGGGCCTGGCCCGGCGCGGCGCGCGACCCGTGCTGGGTTCGAGGTCCTTGGCAACTGAGGTGCCGGCTGGCGTGCCCTCTCCCGTCGTCGGCGGTGGCGCCGAACTCAGCGGCAGCATTTGGTTTGCTGCCCGCGCATGGCTTGTCCCGGGCCAATCCGTGTGAACCGAGAGCCAAGTGTCATGCCAGGGTCGATGGCGGCGTGTCGGGCATTGGCTCTTGAGTCTTTTGCGATTGTTGTTTGGTCGACGACGCATGTGTTCACCTTCTGCATCCGTGGCTTGTTGGCCACCACCAAGCCCACTATCACTCAATCGCCTATGCCTGCTTCACCGTCCGTCCGTCTCGCGACTCCTCCGCCTCTGCGTGTCTCTAATCCCCTCTTGCCCGCTTCGGGCAGCGCCCACTTGTGCTCAGCCTCGTCTCCTTCTGTCTGGTGCTCCGCGAGGCAAAACTCTGTCTGCAAAAGGTACAGTCAGGACGAGGTACTATACATGCGGCGCATCCTCGAATCGCCACAACACTCATCGCACAGCACACAACAACTGAAACCGTGTCCTTGCTTCACGCATGTACGGAGTACTATACATACACAGGAGAGACGAATACGTTGTAGCCCTGTCGCGAGCGACCGTGCCATCCTGTGCCGTGTAACTCTCCCTCCGAAACTCCACCGCGACAACCACCTACCGTCGACGACACCGCAGGCGCGTGCGCGCCCCCTCGTCGCGAGGCTGTGCAGTCTTGGCGACGACGCCCGCGTCAATGGGCAGTCAATGGGCCGACACCCACCGCCAGGTGAGCGTATTCATCGCTCCTCAGCGTGGCGCTCATGCCGCTTGCCCGTTTGCCTTCCATTGTACTGTACCTGATCACGGCTCGCATTGCTTCATCTCATCTCTGCCGAGCCCGTGATCCCGTCGCCCTGCGCGGCCTCAACGGCCATCACCCCACGCACAAACACCAATCTCGCGCTCGTTCTCCGCCGCTCGCACAGCCTCCCTGCCATCTTACTCGCACAAGGACACACTTGCGTTGCAGTACGTACACAATAAGAGAGAGAGAGGGGAGGGGGCGCGCTTTTGACAGCCGCACCCCCGGGCTTGCCCGGAAAGCGACTGACGCTCGCATCTAAGCCACCGCCAACATGCTCCTCTCGCCTCTTTCTCATACGCCCATCGCGACGCACAAAAGTCTCTCCACCATGCCTTGATGCTCGCGACACGTAATGGCAGGTGCCGGTCAGCTTCCCCCGGTCACTCGCCGCCCGGCCAGCCAGCCACCTGGCGCATGAGATGAAGTGAACCCCCCGTTTGCGTGGCTGCGCCCGCGGCACAGCAAACTCCTCATCATCATCATCAAGGAGTTTGCTTCTCGCCGTGCACCGATCTCGCGATCGTCGTGTCCCAGTTTGCTCTCGCGACTCAGCCGAAGCTCTTTGGATACGTAGCCGGTCGCCGCAGCAGGGTCTTGTAGTAGCGGCGCGGGAGGAACCCGTCGAGGCAGTGAGCTTGGCAAACAGCTTCGTGTACGAGACGGCGTGGATCTTTCTCCCTTGCCGCTTCTCTAGACACGCCCTCTGATGCCCACCGGCCGGCACATTCTTCCCGGCAGGCTGTGTCCTGGCCACCTGATGGAGGTGATTCATGCGGTGACGACAAGCCGACGCGGGGGTCTTGGGCAGTGCTAAGCCATATCGTTCCAAGACTTTGCAGTGAGGATGAGGGGAGGGGGGATGAATCGGCCATGGGGATCGAACCACGGCGCATTGTGCTGCTGGGCATATCACGGGAGGCCCCTTGCGTAGACTGACCTTACCTCGCTAGAGCATGGCAGCAGATGCCGTGGTCAACGGCCCACGACGACTGGAACTCTTCCATCTGGCCGGAGGGAATCTCCTCGATGAACTTGTTGCGAAGCGGCATCTAAGTTATATCGTCGACCACATCGCACTAATGCCCTTTGTATCATGGATGGCAGCTCTAGCCCAAATCTATTCAACCATGAAGTTCCCTAAACTCCTGGCCGATATGCAACAGTTTTCTCCATTTTCCAAACGCTTCGACAGGCGCATCTTCAGACCACGCAGATAGACCTCGTGACAAGGCCGGAGTTAAACGTAGATCGCCGTGTATCTTCGCCGTGTATCCTGGTCGTGTCACTGCATCATCACATCCTCCCCTACCGCCTCCCCAGATCAACGTCCTTCACCAACACCATATCCGCCCTCTCACCATCCCCCGCCTCCGCCGCAACAGACCCCTCAACGCCAAAGAACGGCGCAACCGCCTCCCTCGCCACTCCCCTCCAGAACCCCTCCACCAGGCTGCTCAGGTCACCGCCCGTCTGCTTAAAGTCCGGAAACGCATTCACCTCGAGCAGCCATGCGTGGCCCGCGGCGTCAACAAGGAAGTCCAGCCCAAACACCTCAAAGGCGTTGGGCAGCGTCTGGAAGTGCACCGGCATGGCCCGCGCCGCCGCTTCGAACAGCTCCCCCGTCGAGGCGCAGATCTGCGTGAAGATGTCGTCGAGCGTGGCGCGCTCCAGCGGCAGGGACCAGAACCGCTGGACCGTGTTGCGGAGCGTCAACGAGGTGCCGTTGGCGTCTATCGGGGGGGAGGAGGGTGATGCCCCCGACTGCTGCTGCTGCTGCTGCTCTTGCAGGCACGTGTTGGTGAGGTACGAGTCTATGTCCGTGGGCGAGTGCTCCCACGGCGCGCGGTACGGCTTCGCGGCGAAGAGGGCTAGCATGTGCCGGTAAACGTGTACGCGCAGGCTGCCAGTAGCGAGCACGTACGTGCGGATGTGAAACTTGCGCGGCTCCGGCTCCGAGGGCAGCAGCAGCGGCGGGTGCACGTACGGCTGCGCAACAAAGTGCCGCAGGTGCGATGTCGTGATGTAGTCGCCGTCGCCTCTCCCAGCTCCCTCATTCTCCTCGCCATCGCCATCAGCATCGTCGTCGTCGTCGTCGCCCTCGTCGTCGCTGTCCGGCCGCTCCGCCTCCCACCCGTCAAAGATGCCCTGCAGCTCCTCCATGGTGCTAAACAGCCGGACTCCCTGCCCGCGGTCGCTCATGCCCGGCTTGAGGATCCACCACTCGCGCGCCGCAGGGTTGTCGTCGGCCGGGGCCTCGTCGTTGCGGGCCATGCTCTCGCGCAGGTCGAACGCCTCGACGAGCACGTCGTCGAGGAACTCGGCGTAGTCGACCTCGAAAGCCTCGCTGCGCTGAACGTGCCGCCGCAGGACCGACGACGGGTTCTTGGCCGCCCAGTGGTCCACGGTCGATGACAGGTAGTGTTTCCGGATGAGCGCCTTGCGAATCATGTAGCTGTTGACGAGGCACGTCTGCGGGTGGGACGCCGCGAACTCAAAGTCGATGGCTTCATAGGGCGTGATCTGTAGCGTTCTGGTGTCTGATGCTGGGAGAAGGCTGGCGAGGGACACGCCGTCGTCGCCGGTCGAGGGCAGCTCCGTGACGAGGTCGAGCTTGTCTCCCAGCCCGAGGCTCCTCAGCGCGGACAGGATGAGGGGTTGGACATAGGGGTCTTCGTAGGCCACAATGGCGCGTATCAAGGGTGGCGATGACCCGTCAACGGCCGGGTTCTTGGTCCGCACGGGAAGGTCCTGCTGCGACGTCGCCGCTGCCAAGGGAGGCCTGCGACCGCCGTGTAAGAATGAGATCTATATTGGCCGAGCTGAACAGAGGCAGAAGTGTACATGCGGTCCACCGTGACGATGCTCCCCGCTCAATGCCCAAGTCCACGCGCTCTCCATGCAAATATGCGGCTAATAGGGCGACTCACAGCACAAACTCCTTTCTACTGAACGCACCCTCGGCCATGGCGAAGTTGGCCTTTAACGGCGTGATGCTATCAAGACCAGAGTCAGCGGTTGTTAGCTGTATGACAAAAAGGAGCACGCAACGTACCAAGTCTTGCCCTCCTTAACGGTCCGCCCGTCGTTGCCGGGCCCTGACTCGTCCACGCTCTTGTGCAGCTGCGTCAGACGCGGCGCCCACTTGAAATGCTTGTGCTTGTGGCCTCTCTTCGCGTTGGCAGACGCGTCCGTGCCGTCCTTGACGTCGGCCTCGCCGCCTGGCCCCTCTCGGATGGACGCCTCCTCGTCGGCCGCGTCGCCGGCGCCGTCCGCGTCCACCTCTTCGAAGCAGCTACCCGCGCTCCAGTAGTTCTGCAGCATGTCGGCCCACATGGTGGCATTGCGCTCGACGTCTTCGACGAGCGGTACGTTGACACTGTACAGGTCGACGCTGTCGTCGGTGGGCCAGCGCTGGTACAGAGCCTCGATGACGCGCACACTGTGGCGGCATGCTGACTCGATGATGACGGGGTCGTGGTTGCGTGTGAAGAAAGCGAAGCTCAGGGCAATGGCCTTTTGGCGGCAGACGGCGGCCTCGAGGGCGGCGCCGAGGGTGCCCGAGCTGAGAGCGAAGACGGACGTCGAGTTGCGGCCATAGTTAGGCCCGCTGACGACGAGATCGATGGGCCCGCGGTCCTGGAAGAAGTGGTACAGGCCGATCTGGACGCACGATGCGGGCGTGCCGTCGACAAGAACCCATTCCTCGACATCGCCGCTCGGCGCCGGGCGGTGGTGCGTCGTGCCCACGGCGTCGGCCTCGTCGGCGTGGACGTTCTTGCCGGGACGGTAGTAGGTTGGCGTGAGTGTTTGGCCGATCATGTGCGCCTTGCCGATCCACGAGCGCTGCGTGTGCGGCAGGCACACGGATACGACATGACCGGCCTCTTGCAGGTGTTTCACGAGGCAGTGGACGTAAGGTGACGACTCGGGGGACGGCGGGCCGTCGTCGTTGGTGACGAGGATGTGCATCGCGGCAGTTAGGTTGGCGGGCGGCGGCGGCGCAAGAGCGAGGTGCTCTCGGCGTGTCAAGATCAGGGTCCTCGAGGGAGCAGGGGCGTCCAGGCGCTGTCCTTGACGCTTGGAACGGTCAATTGGCTGCTCGGTGACCTTTGCCGGGGCGTTGTAGTACAGAGGTGGACGCAGGCACGAGGAAAAGGAAACCGAGGCGGGCAGGACTCGCTCGGGTCCCTCTCCAGCGTGTGAGGGAGGGGCAGCGCCGAAGGTGGGGCGACCCCGAGCCCAACGGCAGCGGCTTCTTGCGCCGAAAGGCCGTCTTCGGTCGTAACACTGTATTTAGGCTCACATCACGTCACGCACCCGTTCGTTGGGCAATGCCCCAGGTCTTGTCAAACACACAACGCATGGCGTGCTCACTTGCCGCGGCAATCTATGGTGTCCTACTTCGTATCTGCACTCAATCTGCCCAATGTCTCTAATACAGACCCGTCCCACCAAACGCCATGATCGAACCATCGCATGCCAGGAGTGAAGGTGAACAATGAAAGGTAGAAAGTGAAAAAAGTGACATCCAGCAGTCCCAAGGTCGGCTATCGCAGCCGACACAGCACACCAAAGTACGCGGTGCCGTGGTCGTGCACAGCTCCGCCGATGAGGCCATTATGAAAGTGATACCGTACCGTCCAGCACTCACAGCCAGACATCCACCTCCGTTCCGAGCACGTCCTAAGCGCGCGTCCGCTTCGTGGCTCCTCCCGCCAGGCTTTCGCCCTGTCGCTTCGGGGCCGACGACGACGATGCCGCCTCCTTGGTGCGCGGCCAGGCGTCGAACGGGCTCCTCCGCCCAGACTTCTTCTTCATCGGGGTCTCGGGAGCAAGCTTGTTGGTCGAGCGTGTCGTCCGTCGGGTGTCGGGCGGCGACACGGGCGCATACTTGGGCGCCTCCGGGGTCTTGGCAGGGACCGCACTCGACTTCTGCGGCGTCTGGGGCACCGCCGGTTCGTCCGACATGAACATGTCCTCGACATCTGTCACGGCCTCTTCGTCCTCCACATCGTTCTCGTCCGTCTTCTTGGATGGGAACAACAGGCGAGGCTTGACGGAAGAGCGAGTGAGAGGGCGCGTGAGCTCGAGCTCGACGTCGGCCCCGGATGCCTCGCCCTCCTCCTCCTCTGCCTCTGCAGACTCGTTCTCGGCAAACTTGCGGAAAAACTTCCTGCCACGGCTGGGAAGAGGTCAGCATCAATCGTCCGAAAGGATCATGATGAAAGGGTACTCACAATACATAGATCATTCCGTCCTCGCGTTGGGATGCCTCGTCGACAGACTGAGCGCCCTCACCTGGGATCTGGACCATGCGGCGCTTGCTCTTGCGCTTGGGTGGCTCAGCAGGGGCCGTCTCGGCGCCGTAAAAGGGATTCGCTGCGCTGTCATCCTTTTGCGGGATGCGGTCTTGGGAGTCGGTAAAGATCTGGATGGGATCCTCGGCGTCTTCGGCCGTGAAGCTCTCCATTGTAACGCCCGTGTACCGCTTGGCTCGGCGTTTGCGGGGGCTGGGCATGGGCTCCTCGTCCGCAGCGAAGAGGTTGCGGGCAAAAGACTTGATGGATGCGGCCGTCTTCTCGTTGGGCGGCTTCTGCGGGGTTTTGGAGGGAGTGGGCAGCATGCCCGTGGCGCGAGAGATGGACGTGGTCGGCGCCCGTGATGCTTCCTTTGCGTGGCTCAGGCCGAGCGCGGCGGCTGCGTTGGCGGTGCTCTCAGCTGTCAGAGTCCCCGACACTCGACGCGACGATTCGGCGGCGGGATGGGGCTTCTTGCGCGGCGACGGCACGGGCGAGACCATGGCGGCGTCGCTGCTGCGAGTGTTGATAGCCTTCTTGGTCGTGCGCGGCGACGCGGGTTGCTGGCGGGAGCGAGAAGTGTGCGGGGAAGGTGTTCGGTTTGCGGTGCGCTGGGAAGAAATCCGTGCAGACTTGCGCGGTGAATAGGGCTCCCAGCTGTCTTGGAAACCGTGTCGAGGGGCGGGAGGTGTCTGAATGCGTGACGAGGGCGGCGGCGGCGTCACGGAGCCGACGGCGTTCGTGGCCATCTTGGGTAGGAGCGAGTCGCAGCAGTGCTGCGCGACCAGGGCGCGAAGCGAAAATATATCACCCCGGGTAACTCGCTGCCAATCTCGTCGTCTCTTGATCGTGTCGATGGTCGAGAAGTGGTGTCTCCTAGTCTGCCAACTCGTGCAGGCTTGCTCTCCGGCGATCCGTCGGGCGCTGACGGTGGAATCGGGCCGCAAGCGAAACACCACCGAGCCCAAGGCGAGAATCGGCGACGATGCAAGTAGTGGGACGATGGAGCGAATCGATAAGCCAACGGGCGATGCGATTGATGGTGCTTGAAGATACTTGTTGCGATGATGAAATGGGAGCTAAAGGGTAGAGACTTTGGGGCGGTGGACGATGATGTGAGTTGGGAGGCTGGGGCGCAGGAATGGGCGCAGGACTGGCGCCCAGCCCCCCTGCAGCCTTTGTGCCCTGGAGCCCGGCCTTACCCCTACCGCCTCGCTAATGGCGCGGCGCGTCGAGTGACTGCCGGACGCGTCGATTTCGCGCCACGCCTGGCCAATCAGCGCCCTTGGCGAGGCAGCCCCGCTGAACGCCCCTCCCCTGGCGCCGCGTCGTTGGAGGCTGCCCGTCCAGCAGAGTGCAGGCGGCCCTGAGACTGCGGGCCGAGTGGCTTGGGCATGGATGGCCACGGTCAACAGCATTGGAAGTTTGGAACCGCCCAGAGAATCGACCCTGACAGCGGATCAGGGACGGTGCTACGCGATTTGGCAACCAACAGCGATCAGGCCAATCAATTGAGCATTTGTCTGGCTTCTGTTCTGACACCCCAACGGCTGCAAACGTCATCCACTTTGTTCCATGTTGCGGCCACACTCTGCCACATCGTTTAACTCTCACTTGACCCTCTATTCAACGAATCCCTTTTCCCGTCTCCCGTCGCGTTAGCCATGGCCGACGATACAGAACACACAGAGTCCGACCTCTGGGCGTCGCCAAACCATGACGCCCCCGAGCCGCGCCCCAAGACGCCCAAAACTCCCAAAACTCCCAAAACTCCAAAGACTCCGACGGCGCAAGACCGGCAGGTCGACCGTGAGGCCGCCCTGCAAAAGGAGCTAGAGGGCGTGCGCAAGATCAATGAGTCCATCGAGGGCATACTGGCCACCCTCGGTCGCACAGACGGCAACATGGAAGTGCGTTGAGCAGAAACCCAATATCCGTCGTGGCCCTAACCAGCGTGCAGGTCGTCTCAAACACCGTTTCCAACGCCTCGACCCTCCTCAACACCTGGACGCGCATTCTGTCGCAGACTGAACACAACCAACGCCTCGTCCTCCACCCCGGCTGGAAAGGCGCGACGGAAGACCTTGCCGAGCAGGAGGCGGAGGCGCTTGAGAGGCAGCGGGCTGCCGAGCGCAGGGCTGCCGAAGAGGAGCAGAGGCGAGAGGACCTGCGCCGGCGTCGGGAGGAGGAAGAGGAGAAGCGCAGGCTCGGCGCCCCAACACCATCCCGGGGCATGCGAGGTGCGTCGAGAACGCGGACGACGAGTCGCGGGCGAGTGAGCTCCCGAGGCGGCACCGCATCCCACCTGTCAGATAACAGTAGGCCGGGAACGGCGTCGAGCACTCGCGGTACCTCAGGCATCGGTAGAGGAGTCGGCACAACTAGAGGGCGCTCTAGAGCCGCGAGATGACGGCCTGACGGCCCGTCGCCTCTGTTTCGCCGCTTTGTCCACAAAGATACCCAATCATAACAAGAGCCTTTATTTCGCCTTGAAAAAGTGGCTCAGCTTCTTCATCCCGCTCGTGTTGACCTTTTTGAGGTCCCTGACGCCCCGGCTTTCGTTGGCCTTGCGCTTCTTCTCCTCCTCCAGCTTCCGCTTCTTCTCCTGCCGTGCTTCCTCCTCTTCTTCGTCGTAGGCGCGTTTGCGGGAAAAATCCGTCGTGGCCCGCGAGGCAAATGCCTCGGCTCGGAGCTCGGCGACCTTGGCAAGGTACTTGTCCAGAGGTGCAAAGTCAATGGACTCGCTCGTCAGCAGCTGCTGGCGTAGCTGCTCAGCCGTTACTGGAGCGACGTAGCTGGAGCAGATGAAGTCAAAGGCCACTCGGAGGCTCTGCAGCTTGACGACCTCCGCGGACGCCTCGACTGTATTCATGACGGTATCGGTGGCCAGTCCATCCTCTGTGAAAGACGTGGCGGCGGTTGAGGCTTGCGAAGTGAATGAGGTGGCCGAGTCGGTTGTGGTAACTGTGGACTGTGAGGCTGCCGAGTCTGTCTGCGGTGTCGATACCTGGGAGTCAACAGCCTCGCTTTGGCTGCCATTGACTGGCGGAATACGCTTCTGCAGGATGACCGGCGCTTCGAGGGGTCGCTTGACAAACTTGTCCGCCATGCTGTTAGGCAGACCAGCGGCACTCATCCTCTGAGCCTTGCCGAGCACGGTCGCCAACAGCTTGCTCTCGTTAATTCGGAACATGCTCTCATCCCCGGCCTCGACTGTGTCGCATATGGCAGTCATCCGGCGCTCGATGAGTGCCCTTGTCTTCTCCCATCTCAGTATCTCGGACAGGTGAGACGACTCCTCCGGAAGCTTGTCGAAGTGGTCGTCACTGGACAAGAACAGGCGCTTCTTCTCGTTCGAGCCCTTCGATACTTGAGAGTCGATGAGGGCCGGTAATACGAGGAATACTGGGTCAATGCTCGTGGCAATGTACAGCTCGGCCCCCATCAGGACCTGGGCGTTGATATCATTTGCGTTTCCCGTCTTGGTCTCTGGGGAGCCTCCATGGGTCTCGACGAGCCAGCTTCGAGGCGTGGTGCTGGGGGCGGCAATCTTGGTGAACTCATAGATGCCAGTATCGGGGCAGACGAGGTATCGGGCTGGCTGGCCGTGTCTGGGGTTCGGGAGCGTAACGATGCGGGCTTCCGGCGTTGCCCTCTTCGGGAGGATGAAGAGTTTCGGAGGCGGTCCTGCGGCGGGCGTGAGTGCGAACTTGGATGACGAGACTGGCGTGGCAGGTTCGGCCGAGTCCGCCGCCCCGGCCTTGGTCGATCGTGTTCGCGGCATCGTGTGCGTCGGAGGCTGGTGGCTGAGGGATGGTAGTGGAAGCGAGCTTCCAGAGCTTTGTGCTAAGCGGGCGTCTGAATTATCCAAAAAGTGAACGAGAACCAATGAGCACAAATTAGATGAGCAAGTTGGCCAAGGTCAAAGCATTGTCCTCCGTTGCGGTGTTGGTGAGCAAGCTGATGCTGCTGTCCCCTTGGTCCTTGTCGTGTGGCCGGAGACCTGGACGGGAGCTACCAGGTACCTCGACCTCGAGACGCGCCGGACCTTGCTCAGGTGGGGCCAGGGTCTTTGACGCGTAAAGCGCGTCGCGGTCCCACCGAGTTTTCCCTAATTCCACACCTTGCTTCACCGCACCCAACCAGCAAACCGGTCCCTCTGCCCTTGCGACCAACGGCCAGCCAGCTGCGCCAGGACCTAGCCACCTGCGAAGCGTCCGCCTGCTTTGAAAGCGCCACAGGCCGCCGCCGTAACCTCTATCTGCGCCGTCGTCAACACCAACATCAAGCACCCGCGCTTGCAGTCCGCCAACTTCCTAACCTCCTCCCTGCGCCTCACCCCCCTCGCAACTGCAGGCTTTGCGGCTATGCGCCGTCAATCACCGCTGTTTGCCTGGGCTCGGTTCCTGGTCGATACAAGCTAAACGAGCCTGCAGCCATGGCTCCAGGTAAAGCTCTCCGCTCCCGCCGAGCTTCTGCTCGCCGGACTAACGCTCGACTACCCGACTCAGATGCCGAGCCCCAATGGCCACCTCGATCACCCCACGAAGCTCTCCTCAGCACGCCCGGCGGACGACAGCGCTATAGAGAGCTGCTGAACCAGACGTCGCCCTCGCCCTCGCCCTCGAGGCGCCGACGCCTCATGGCCGCCGCGAGCATGTCACCAGGAAGTGGGCTGGGGGGGCACTTTGACGAAGACGACGACGAAGACGAGGAGACGTTGCAGCTGAAGCTGCAGGAGATTCAGGCTCGACTCAGACTCAAGAAGTTGCAGAACGCAAAGAACAAAGAAAACTCTTTGGCCAAGACGTTCGACGAGGATCAGCAGGCGCAACCACCCGCCTCTGGCGCCGAGTTGCGGAGAAACGCCCGGGCTAGCACCCCAGGCACCGAAGACTCCACGCGACTCGCAGTACGAAGCCAGGTACAGGTTCCTGCATCCCCGATCCGGCGGGCTCAGGCGCCCATGCAGCAAACGTCCCCCAGCAGAGTCTTACTCGGAATAGACAAGGGCCTCAAGGCAAAAGACATTTCGCTGAAGCGAGCACCGAGCGCGCCCGGCGCCCGCACCTCGCGAGGAGGGGGTTACCTGGAAAAGTCGAGGTCTTCGAACTCTGTCTCCGCCACGCAGGAAGCTCCGAGACCCCTCAGCTTCAACGAGCGACTAGCCTCCGCCCGAACGGAGGAGGCCTTCCGGGCTACGAGGGAAGAAAAGATTCGGCAAGTCAGGACAAATGCATTCGGCATTGACAAGCAGGAAATGGAAGAGTACAAGAAGCGCGCCGTCGACATCTCGGACGAGCCCATCGCGGCGCCATCGTTTACCCGAGACCAGATCATGTCCAAGGGCAAGGCATCAGGTTCTCTGCCACGCAGCAGGACAGTGCCAAACGTGGCATCTCACGCGGATATTGCGGAGTCCAGCTCCTTTACTGAAAAGTCGTCACAGGACGTGGCGACAGGAGAAGGCGAGGAGGGAGCTTCGTCCTTTGAATCATATTCATGCTTTCACCTGTCACGGCGCATCGTCCCGCACCGCGTTCTGGCGCGACACGTTTCTGGAAAGAAGATGATGAACATCAAAGAGTTGCTGCGTGATGTCAAGGCGCCAGACTTTGAACTGCCTGACGTCGAGCAAGACATTGTTGTGTTTGCCATTGTGGCCAAAAAGTCTGAACCCCGCGCCCACAAGCAGTCCGAAGCGAAGAAGGGCCGGCAGGACGATCGGGGAAAGTACATGGTCATGACGCTGTGTGACCTGGACTTTGAACTTGACCTGTTCCTGTTCAACTCGGGATTTACGAGGTTCTGGAAGCTGACGGAAGGGACGGTGGTTGCCATTCTCAACCCAACCGTCATGCCACCGCCGCCCGGGAGGCAGGACACGGGGCGATTCAGTCTAGTCATCAACTCGGATGCCGATACCATCATCGAGATCGGCGCAGCCCGCGACCTAGGCTTCTGCCAGTCGGTGAAAAAGGATGGGGACTTGTGCAGCGCTTGGGTCAACAAAAAGAGAACCCAGTTTTGCGAGTTCCACGCCAACGAGGCCGTTCGCAAGCAGCGCTCGACACGCATGGAGGTCAACACGAGCGGCTTCGGGGACAGAGGGCGACGCGGAGGCCGCGGCGGGCGCGGCGGCGGGTCCAAGGAATGGGACAGCGGCAGGAAGAAGGGGCCCGACAACTACGACTGGGAGACGAGGACGCAGTGGTTTGCGTCGAGGTCGTTCAGCGCGGCGGACCTCATCGACGGCAAGGACCGGGCGCCCGCGGACCGCAAGGAAAAGTCCGAGTTCCTCAAGCGGAGTATGGAGGCCAAGGAAAAGGAACGCGAGATGATGAAGCAGCTCGGCAAAGTGGGCAATGCAGCGGGGCGCGAGTACATGCTACGAGCGGGCGAGAAGAAGGCGGGCAGCGTGGCCTCGAGCGCGTCGCTGCGGGCCCTCACGGCGTCCGGGACGGCAGACGAGCCGCCCAAGCTGGACGCGGCATCTCTGGGCCTGCAGAGCAAGGACCGGGCCATCCACCTCAGCCCAATCAAGCGCAAGCGGCCCGAGAGCTCGCAGGCAGGCTCCACGGCGGGCAGCGCCAGGGGGTCTGCTGTGGCCGGAGGTGGCTTTGGCTGGGGCAGCAGCCTGCGGAACAAGCTATCGAGCATGAAGGACGGAGAGAAGCTGCACACGCAAAAGAGCGGCTCTAAGTCGCCGGTGCGCAAGAAGACGCGGTTCGTGACGGAAAAGGGGATCCGCGAGGCCGGGCGGGAGAGCCTGGGCATGGACGCAGCCAACGCCGACGTGGCGGGCAGACAGCTGTCGCTGGACGACGACGATGACGACGAACTGATTATTGTCAAGTAGGGTGGCGAGATGACGGCCGCTTGTGATTTGAGCTTGGGGACTGTTTGAGCACTGGGATTCTTGTGCACCCTGAAACGGGCATTTACATGTATCGGCACGCAAAGCGAAAGCAGGCAGGCAGGGGCTGGGTTTTGAGGGCATTCACATCAGCATGGCGCGAATCGGTCTGGCCGGGTAGGAATGGTCGCATCTTGTACAGATCCAATTGGACGAAACGTGTAAAAGCAATAAACCATGTCCGCACTACTTTCTCTTCTTCGACCGCTGAGGGGCGAGAGCAAGGTCAACGTCAAGATCGAGACGGACGACACGTCCGTAGCACGCGGCACAAAACGTGGTCGAACGACCAGGTCAGACGGGGCGACGTTGCACGCGCTTCCGTCGTATGTAGGATGAGACCGGACGCCAAGGCGGCGGGCTCGGCCCTCGCCTCGGTCAGGCAAGGCATTAAATGAACCAAGGGCATGCGCAGCTTGCTCGACCGGGCGATGACTGATTTATTGCCTACTCGCCCTGTTGCGTACCTGGGTAGCCAGCCAGCCGGCTGGTCGCACGGATGATGGGGGCTGTGTGCGTCCCGTGTGTGCATGTGTACATGATATAAACATGTATATATGCATGCAATTCGTACAAGTGAGTGCATCGCGAGGCGACGAACAGCAGGCGCCCGCCTCTCACGACATACACGAAGCGGATGTCCGTTCATCTGCCCAGTGATCCCTGTCCACGGGTTTCTTGTACATGGTCCCTCCCTACTCCCTACGAAGTACAGACTCGATATCTGATCGAGCCGCATATAACGTGTCCCATTATCGCCATCGGATTGTTTTCTTTCAAGTAATGGGTTGCCAACGCGGGCCGTCCGACGTCCGACGTCCGTCCGATTCTTCCGGTGTCCGTGTGTGTGTGTGTTCTCACGCCGGGTTGGGGGCGGTTTCCGCGATTGAGGGTATCATTTCCCAGTCGGCGTCGATGCCGGAACCGGGACCGGGACAGGGACGGTCGCCATGCGCGTCATCGCTCGTGAGGTGGCCCGCGCCGCTCGCGTGGTAATGCATCGCATCGCGTAGCACCGCACCGCATCGCATCGCATCGCAGACGGTACGTATTGATCCTATTATGTAGCTGTGTTCCCTTCCTCGTCTGTTTGGTGGCGCCATGCTATTATGCCGTGCCATGCAGGCGGCACGTTGCACACACGCTTGCTTGCTCGGCTGGCGCACAGGGGGACCGCGGGGGCAGGGAGGCACAACGGACTCTTTGACCTGCCCTACCCTGCCCTTCCCGCTTGCATATACTTTTTCGTCTTCCGCCGGGCTGTCGGTGAAGCCGGTCAGGGGGACCTTTTCTCCTCGTTCCTTTATTTGGGCAAGCGTGCGTTATACCTGCGTCGTGGTCGTGGTCTGGTGGTGGCGGGCGCTGCAGAGTATGGAAGAAGCCCTGATATCTGCACTATGCGAAGTAGTCTGTACAGCCTGTCACTGCAGACAAACCAAAGCTTAACCATTTCGTTTGCTTGCTTTTCACGCATCTGGCTCCTTTGCATATTATGGGAATGCATGAATCGTTAGATGAATGAATGGTTGGACTCTGTAAAATGTAGGGGCGGCTGAGATGCGCCAAGCTTCGTGCTCGAGCCTCGTCAGTCCCACCCTATCGACCTCGAAGCCGAGCCCGCATAACTCATTCATCGGCCCGCAAGAGCCGGAGCAAACGCAAAGCTTATCTCGGACGCCTTCTTGATTTCCCGCCCGTCAGGAGTCCGGGGGACCCCAGAGAGTTTAATATCAGGGACAGGCTAGTCAGGTTCTTACTTCCAAGTTCCCTCCATGTCCCCGCTCGTTGTCTGTCTGTCCAGGCTCCCAGAAAGCCAGCTCTCATCACGCACCCACTCTTTGAAGGCTTCCAGGACAGTTGCTCCTCGTCCTGTGCTTCTGCGGTATGATATAGTGAGAAACGCACACAGCGGTGGCACGACGTCGTCCACCCTTGCGGGCAACCGCCGGCAGTGGTGGCACGGGGGCTGTGAGTCTGTGGCACTGACACGGCACGCGTGCGCCCTGCACGTTGGCGGCGCGGCCCTTCTCGATCACGAGAGAGTGGTGCTTCTTCTTGCTGCCGGGGCCTAGAGTCAGCTGTCTTGGGCCCATGATCCATCCCGCCCCCGAACGCGATCTCCACTGCGGCGAATCTCACGATCCAGACTCGTGCTGGGCCTGCATGCCGAACGGCAAGTGGAGGTCGGGGAAGGAAAAGAAACAAACTCCAGCAGGTTCCCCCGGGTCTTCTTGTTGGGGGTCGTTGGCCTGACCCTGTTCACCGCCGGCATGTGCTTGTACGAGGACAAGGGGAAGAAGAAATCTCAGCGCCGTGTCGTCGACTCGAAGTAAGTTCGTCTCTCGTCCCCAGATCCATGCCGTCTGTTGGGCGCGGCGCAGGCGCCGTCATCCTCACACTACGTCATCTCGCCGCCTCTGCCCCCTTCCGTCACTTCACGATCCTTTGTCCTGCAACGCCGGCACGGCGTCTCCGAATAGCGTTGCCAGGACCCCGGCACGAGGGGACTTCCACGCCTTTTTGTCTGATCTGTTACTCATCCATCGAACGAGCTGGACATCAACCCGCAGTCCCCCTCGTCCAGCCCTTGCCGGGCCTCGTACGTTAGGGCCACGGCCGGTCCGCCACTCCGCGACGCCGACCCATAAGCCAAGCTCATGCATCGGACTCTGCAAGCAGATAGCCGCCAGATCCAGGTCGCCGTGGCAATTCGCATCCTGTCGTGGAAAGTTAACGTCTCCTGTTGCAGGTAGGACTGCGTAGTGCGGACGATGAATATAAATGAGTCTTGATCGCGTGTCCACCGTCCTGTGTCCTTGACTCTCTCGTTGCACAATATCTCGATTCTTCCAGGAGAAGAGGGGCCGAGCTACTTCTTGCTATTAGCTCTTGTCATTGCGGCCATACGTCCGTTTGTAAGCATGTTACCCAAGCTCTCCTCGGTCTGGTCCGCGGCCCTAGCCGTGCTGGCCGCCGCCTCGTCAGTCGCTCTCGCACAGCAACACATCCCCGTCACGGGCGCTCCTGCTCCGGGTAACGGGCCGGTTCCGCCGCGCCTCAACATCAACGATATGCAAGCCAACGGAGGCCCGGCATGGTAAGAGGGCGTTGTCTCCATCGGACTAGGGGGTAGATGAGATGTGAGCGATCTCTAACGCGGTAGGACTTGAATTAGGGACCTCTTTCTTCGGTCTTTGCGCGCCATGTACGACATGGCTCCGTCTGACCAGCGCTCCTGGTTCCAGATTGCGGGCATTCACGGCAAGCCCTACGTCGAGTGGAACAATGCCGGGCCCGAACGATCGGATGGATGGCGCGGCTACTGTCCTCATGGCGTAAACCCTTCCCTCGTCTTCGAACTTGCTCACAGGACCACGTCTAAGAGACTGTCTAGGAAAGGATATTTCTGAGTTGGCATCGTCCGTATCTCGCGCTCTTCGAGGTGAGAGCCCCTGATACACGGCCAGTCATGGGAACAGTCGCTAAACTCACACCCAGCAAGAGCTTGTCAAGCACGCGCAACGACTCGCCGCAGAGTATCCAGCCCGATGGCGCGATTCGTACTTGAACGCTGCCGCAAATCTGCGCATCCCGTACTGGGACTGGGCGGCCGACCTGGCCGTTCCGCAAGCCACCGTCCCACGCACTGTCAAGGTAAAGGTCCCGAACGGTGACGGCCTCCGCGAAAACGAGATGGAGAATCCGCTGGCTACGTACCGGTACCCATCTGCCGCATTGGAAGGCCGCTTCGGCATTTTCGACGAGGTGAGGGGCAGGACTCAGATCATTCGCTGCCCGGCCCCGGGAAGGTATCCCGAGTCGGCCAACAATGCTCTCCGGAGCCGCGCTTACCCGGAGTGGGTTGTGAGTACCTCTCAGTGTTGTCCTTGTAAAAGGAATAGGAGAATCTGCAGGCTAACGCACAAAGTAGTACGACGCCTTCACGACCCAAAACACTTTCAATGGCTTCGCCACGGGTGAGAGGGGCTTCGGGCTGGAGCGAATCCACGATAGCATCCACTGGGATGGCGCGTGCGGGCAGCAGTTCCTGAGCCTCGACCTGACGGCCTTTGACCCCCTGTTGTGAGTTGCGCGCCCTCTTCGGGTGGACGTTGGCAACACGTCCCGCTGACAGGTCCAGCCTCTTTCACCACATCAACGCCGACCGCCTGTGGGCGCACTGGCAGGCCATCCACCCGGAGGCTCCCATATTCAACGACACTTATCGAGGCCGGTCACGGTTCGCGACTCGCGAAAACACACTTATTGATAACCGCTCCCCGCTGGAGCCCTTCTTTCAGAAGTCAGGTTCCTTCCACACCTCTCTCTCGGTCCTCTCGTACGGCAGTTTCGGCTACACGTACCCGGGGCTCGAGTTTTGGGCCAAGTCCCAAGACCAGATGCGACAAGATGCCATGCGCACCATCAATCAGCTCTACGGACCCCGTCGCGGCGCGTCGGCGATCAAGGCTCTTGCGCTGGGCGGAGACGAGGTGACCCAGCAGCATCAGTCTCTCCAGCGCTACTTTGTCAAGTTGCAGGTCGACAGGAGCGAGGTCGAGAGGCCGTGCTCCGTCAACGTGTATCTCGACGACCATCGCGCCGGTAGCTGGGTAATTAGCCAGCAGCCCGAGGGGGGCATTGCGCAGGGCGGTTTCACCATCGACAAGGCCATCCACGACACTGGTAAGCACCAGAGCTCCGTAGAAGACACGACAAAATCCATCAAGAACTCTCTGCGAGTCGAAATTGAAACGGTAGGCATATCGAAAAGGTCCCGCCAACCGCCTAGATGCGCATGTGCTGACCACGCCACTACAGCGCGATGGGAAGAGGATCGACCCAGGCGCGGTACCAAGTCTTACCATGGAGCTCGAGGACGTCGACTTTGTGCCTCCAGCAAGGGACGACGAGTTCCCTCAGTACCGGAATTCGCACCGGCAATCGGTAACCGTGGCAGAACATTGAATTCGATGTGCAACGTTTTGTACATAGCAGCGGCGGCGCCACATAGATTGCCTTCGGCGCGGATTGGTATGGCATTGCTCGGGCCAGATGTGGTCTGGGTTGAAAATTGAATAGATTGTTGCAGCCGGGCTATCATTGGCAAACGTAGACGAGCATGGTGCGACCCGTGCCTGTCACCGAGGTATAAGTATGGCACACTGCCTCATATCATTGGCCAGAAAGCCCTCGACTGTTGGTCGGTGCTTGTCAACAGGGTATAGTCCGCCGGTCATAGGATCGTGGAGGTTGCGAGCTGTTGTGCCTTGATCGTGGAGCTGTTCCTTTGAACCAAGCCCTGACAAGTTGACTCAGACTTCGCCGATACGAGGCCAGCTGAAGCGTTGTGATCGAGCTATATATTTAGCATCTCGAGCCGTCATCGATGAGGTGAATGGCGTCTCGCGCGGGCGCTCCCCCGCCCCAGTGCCGGCAAGCCTTTGGTGCATCTGGTGCATCGGCAGGCCATCGGGCCCGGAGGCGAAGTGGGTCCTCGGCCGCCGCGGGTCGCCCGGTCCCGCTGCTCCCGCATCCCGCGCGCCGCCTCGTGCAGCGCAGCCCCAAAAACCCCCCACGGTCCCCCCGACTTCCGACATCAGCATCCCGCCCCGAGCCCGCAACGCACCTGCAAAGTAACCGAACCCAGTCATAAGTCCCGGGCACCTTGCGGGTCAGCTGCCGGATACCGACATGGCCTTTGACATCGGCGTTCCGACGCCGGAGGAGGCTCCGGTCGTCTCCACCGTTCACCTCCAAGCTATGACAAACAACGCCCTCACGCAAGCGCAATTCCCAGGAGCAGTTGGTGCCGAGTACTTCCACAGCTGGCTAGCCCGGAACACGCTTCAGCAGGCCCGTGACGCGAACAAGGGCACGCTCGTGGCCCGAGATTCGGAAACGGGCGAAGTCGCCGGCTTCATCAAGTGGCTGGTCCACGAAGCGGGCAGCGACGAGGCTGCCGCCAAAGACCTCGAATCCTTTACGAAACCGTCTAACACTCAACTTCTGGACTCGTACGGAGAGCTTACAGAGCGAGCGAGAAGGGAGATGATGGGCACGAAACCGTATTATCGTGAGTCGACTTGAACCTTGGAGAGTGGCCGCGTGGAGCCGTCCAATGCTCGCCGCCCCATCCATCCGCGCTTATCTCTAACGAGGCACCAGATGTGACATTCCTCTGTACGGATCCGAAATGGGGTGGGCGTGGCGTCGCCTCGACGTTACTGAGGCAGGTCCAGGAGCGCGCAGAGGCCGATGGCATGGGCATCATTCTCGAGGCCACCATGGAAGCCGTGCGTCTCTATCAAAAGTTCGACTTCAAGATTGTGCGCGAGTTCCACCTCAAGCTGCCGCGCCAAGGCTCAGCCGATCCTTCAGAACCGTATGAGGAGCGATGCATGATCTGGACGCCTGCGGCTTGCAATGGCGCGTGAAGGAGGAGCTTCATGATCTCTTATCGGCTGCCATCGGCCTGAAGGCATTAACAACGGCACACGGGGCTCTCCCTCCTCTGTGCACGACGTGCATTTCCGCTGAGACTGCGGCCTCAGTCGAGACCGCCACGTCCAAGCTTGCAACACCATGCGAGGACGTCGTGCAGCAGTCGCTCGCCCCATAAAATATCCTCACGTGGCGCGGTGCCAGATGCGGGAGGGGCGCATGCGATGCGTTGCTGCAATGGGATCGATATAGCAATCAATGACCAATTCTTGCTTGCAATCATGTGATGATCTGCCGCCTGTCGCGTGGCCGTTTGACAAATGCTGTCTGCCTGCCGTGGTGCGACATGGCCAAGGGGACATCGCGACCCTCACATCCACGAAAGGTCGCGTTTCTGGAAATGAATCGGTCGTCCCGCGATGTGATAATTGCCGTCTTTGGCAGGGCACGACCGGGAAATACTGTGCCGTAACGTCCGTGGTGCAACTTCGGCGCTCCGACCCGTGTCGGCTCCCCGGCTCCGGCGTGGCAGGCCACGATACCCCTCGCAGGCTCGGTTGAGCGCCGGCACTACCCCACAGCGGTCGAAACACACGATGCTGCAGGGGTTGTGCTGTTGTGTTGGGAGCGACCTTGACATATTTTTAAGTCGGATATGACGTCGTCTGCAACGTTGTTGCTTGTAGGGATTTGTCGTGCGCACACGACTCACTCAGCAGCGCTGCATCAAAATAGAAACCGAGAGGCGAGGCGATGCGATGTGCCAAGAACCGGGCCATTGGATTCTGGTTGTTGTCTCGTCATGGTCGTCGCGCAGCCAAGTCTGGCACGGCCGATGCCTCGGTTCTCAGCGCTTGGTCCGTCTGGCCGAGGGCTGGTTGGCGCATTGCGCCTGCGGCGTCAACCTGGAAGGCAAGGCGAGGCCAGCGATTAGGGGCCGAGACTCGCCGCGACTGGCCCGCGGGCGCAATAGCTGAGCTGGGCAGGTCGCAGTAGTGGTAGCATCAGTTTGTCATGATAATATAAAAACCGGGGTTCGGGTGGCCGACCCGCGTGTGCCAAAGTTCCTCGACAAAACGCAGAGTGTGAGCTCTGGCCTCACCGAGGCTCCGTCGTTTGACAAACGGATGAGACGCGAGACGCGGCCGGGCAGAATGACTCGGCGGGCTCAGATCCATTACGTTAGAGGTTTGGCGGGGCCATGCAGAAAGAGGCACATGGGTGGCTTTCGATTTGGTAATAGTTGGACGGCAGCGTCGCGGGCCAGTATGGGTACCTCGCCAGACGGGGCTTCCGGTGCGGTTTGGCGGGCCGTCGGCGCACTGCGCAGGTAGCCAGTACCGCCCAGACGGAGGAGGGTGGTGGTGCGCCGCCCTCCCTCCCGAACGGTATTGTGGCCGTATTGTGTGCGTATCGGCGGCCACCGTTTACCATTAGGTATTTCTTTCTGCTGATAAGAGCCGCCCCGCGTCCGTCGGTCCCGTCGAGATAAGGTCCGCTGCAAGGCCCGGCGCCGAGACGGATCCTGGAGCAGCCAGCCAGCCATCCGGCAAGGATGCGTCGGTTGGGGGTGGGAGGACAGCGCTGATCTGGCGTGGGCTGCAGGGACCCGACAGACGATGGACGGCGAGGCATGAGAGCACGGAGGCATCAGGCGCCGGTGCGTCTTTCTGCACGAAGTAGCATGTCGTCAACACCGCCGCGGACGCCGATCCTATGTTTCGGTGAAGGTTGGCTGGCGTTCACGTTGGCCAGGTCGTGCGTCTGTTGGCGTGTGTGTTCGTGTGGCAGCCATCATGATCGATGTTGGCGGAACGAGCTCAGCTCGCCGTGTGGTGCAGTGCAGAAAGCCGGCGTCGAGGAGCGAGCTGGCTCGCCTGGTGGTTGTGGGCGTGGGCGTCACGGCGTCGCGGGCCATGGCGGTTGGCGTTGGACGGCAGTGGTGGGCACTGGGCGCACGGAGACACGGGGCGCCGTGAGGCAGGAGCGGTCGGGGCGCGTTCGGATGACGATGACGCCACCGGGCACCAGCGAGCAGCCGCGACCAACCTCGACGCCCGGCGCCGGCAAAACGAAAGTGGGCATCCATGGCATCGCCATGGACATGGACATGGACATGGCAAGCACAGCCCACGGAGGCACAGCCCGGGCAGGCAGCGAACAATAAGCAGCGAGCAGTGAGCAGAGCAGAGCACACCGACCAACGCCAACAGGCTAATAAAAGCTTCAGCGCGAGCTGACTTCATCACCTTAATCTCAGGTTGGTTGCTGGTGAGGGAGCCAACTGGCAAAGCCGCCCAGCGGCCCCAGGGGGGCAGGATTGCAAAAGGTGATGTGACGTCCATCCGTTCATCAGTCAATTGACTGTAACAACGTACCTACCTACCTTGGCCTGCCCGAGCTGCCCCTCGCAGCCCTGGTACAGCAGGTACAGCAGGTACCGCGTAGATTTAGCGCTCTGTCAGGGCCGAATGCGGGCGACCGCCCGTTAAATCCGTCCAATCCAGTGCCCTGGTGCGTCGCGATAAGCCTCGAGAGGCGGCCGAACTTGCGCGCGCCATTTTCGCTACCTGCGAGTACATTATACATTTCACTCGAGCGTGGTATCGCGGCCGCACCGGCGTCGCGTCCGAGTACGAGAAACGTCGCTCGCCAGGCTCAGCTTGGAATCAATCGCCCGTGAACGCGCGCGCGCCGCCAAGCAGGCAGAGCTGCTTCCGATGCTGCATGGCGGGCAGCTGCCGCGCGGTGTACAGGCGGGACCTAGGTATGGAACCAGACGCGGGACGGCCAAGGCGTGCCCAGGGCCGCCCACTGGAGCTCGAGCTCGCGCGGCGCCAACGCCCCTCCGGGCGCCCAGGCGTCCCGTACTTTAGGTACCCGCGGACGAGCTTGGGACGTGGTCGTGCGCCCAAATCGATGGCACCTGCGCCCAGCACCAGGCGCCTGGGCGAGGTACGGCCCAGTGGGACGAGGTGTGGTAACCTCCAGCGCTCCACCCCACGAGCTGCCCGCCCAGCACCCGACCCCGTCCGTGGGTAGGTGGTGGCATCCACCGCCTGAGGCGCGCTAATGGCGCCGCTGGGGTCCCTTCCGGCAGCGAGGGTCGCCCCCCCAGTCTGGGGAATTTGGAGCCCGTACCGCACCGCCGCCGCCAAAGGCAAAAAAGCACATGTCACACTGGCGCCGGGGGTGAGCGCTCTGCCTGTTCCGTTCCCTCTTTTTCAACACTCGCGCCGCCATTGGTAGTCGCCGGCGACACCAGGACAGGCTGTAAAAAAACCCTCTCTCGGCCATCCTGCCTCTGCACTTCCCTCTCTTTTCCCTCCTCCTCCTCTTCCTCCCTCTCGCCAGATAAGACACGCATCTGCGCCTCGCACACCGCAACGGGCCAGGCCATTTGCAGGCCCCATTGCCCCGCGCTGCAGATTCCATCCCGTCCTCGGCCCTTGTGCCGTTGTCGACACCATCACGCCGCGCCTGTCACCACCCCATGCGTCTATAAGCCAGCGTTATCTATCAGACGGGACAGTCCGCCAGGCCACCCCAGGGACGACAGCCACCTCCAGCTCAATGACGCCGATAACCCACGGTTATCTCATTCTGGCCGCCGTCGTGACTTGACTCCTGACTTGCGACAACCGCGGGAACCCGAAGAACCCGCCCGCTCACTCACTCACTTGCTCGCTCACTCGCGCCTTGCCGCTCGTCACCGGCCTCATAGGGCGCGGCTTCGACACTCGCGAGCCGCCCCAATCCATAGCTAAACAAGTCAGGCCCGTCTTGTCATCGACCCCAGCGGCCAGGCCAGACCCCGGACAGCCGTCTTTTTCTCCATTTATAATAGTCACAACCACTCATACCGGGCATACCCCACGGATAGTCTCGTCTTATCGGCGCCCTTTTCGATCCACGTATAGCAACCCTCCGTTGTCGGCCTGATAACGACGCCCAGAAGCTAGCCTCCCCGGTTACTGGAACCCCTTCTGGATTGGTGCTCTGCTGTAACCTGCAGTCGTGCCAACTGGTTGACGCGTTTCAGTCCTGGTTGGCCCGACCTCCTTGCCTCCATCTGCAAGTCGATAGGAGGCATTCGCAGCGCTGACTGCGGTCGTCCGTCTCGACCCGCGCCAGACAACCGGGAAACCGGAGTGTCTGGGGTAACCGGCGCACGTTGCCACCCCGTCCCCTTCCGACTGAATCTGGGGTGTCTCCCGAGGCCATCACCGGGTTATCGCCCTCGTGCGCGCACACGTGGCTCACTCCTGCTGCTACCCTCCATGGCGCACAACGCATCCGTCCAGCGCACGGCGCCCATAGCCATCGCACCCAAGCCGCCGCGGCCTGAGCAACCACCCCGGCGCCAGGACAGCCTGCACCGGTTCGAAATAGGGCCGGCCAGCCTGCAGACTGCCGAGTCGACATCCTTCTCCGGATCCGTGGCCCCACCTTGCCAGGCCTGCCGGTTCTCTGGCACGAAGTGCGTTCTCGGCGATGACGAGGATGGCTGTGTGCCCTGTCAGAACAACGGCTCCGAGTGCTCGCTGTCTTCCAGTCCGCAGTCACGGAAACGGAAATTGAACGGCGACTCTTCCAACGACGGAGGTTTAGGGAAGCGAAGGTGAGTTTTGTCCTTATGCCTCGTGCAACGTGCAACAAGACATCTACATACGCAGATGCCCCTGCCTCATTCTACCCCCAATGTTTACCCCTCCACATACGTCTTTTGCCATGCCCGTCGGGCTGATGCCCATCTGCAATCGATATCACAGACCCTCCGCTCTTACGGCAACATGTGAAGCTAACGCGTGATTGGTCTCAGTTCCCCTGGCATATCTGCCCGGCGGCTGCAAAACTCGAGTCTCTCAAGTACTGCCGCTAGCAGCTCCTTCCTCGAGGACATGGCCAATGTCGGTGGCCCGACGATGCTCAAGCGTACCTTGGGCCTGCAGAATGACCGGTACAGCCAGTACATCGGTCCGACAACCGACTTTGAGCCGTCTCTGATCAACCTGTCCACCTTCGACCCCCAGGATGAGAGCCTGCTGTCGAGAGGCACCCTCCGCAAGGTCAGCGACATTGACACGTTCTTGATGTTGCCGGATCATGCCACGCCAGGCTTTGAACACATTATCCAGGACGCCGACGCCATAGAAGCGGTCGTCGCGCCCCATGGACGGAAACTGATCGACCTGTACTTCCGAATCGTCCACCCGGCCTTTCCGATCATCCAGAAGCACGTGTTTCTGGAAAAGTACGAGCGGTCGCATCGGGAATTTTCGCCTCCGATCTTGGCTGCCGTCTACATCCTGGCCATCAATTGGTGGGAGCAGAGTGAAGACCTGTCTTCACTACCTCGACCCAATGTGCAAGAGCTCGAAAGGTTGATTCGCCGGACGCTAGCGGATGCCATGAACAGGCCAAAGCTGTCAACCATCCAGGCTGGTCTCTTGCTTTCACAACGACCCGAGGGTGACCAGTGGGCTCCGACTGCGCAGCTTGTTGCCATCGGACAGGAGCTCGGTCTGCACCTGGACTGCTCCAACTGGAAAATCCCACCCTGGGAGAAGGGCTTGAGGCGGAGGCTCGCTTGGGCGCTGTACATGCAAGACAAGTGGGGAGCTCTGGTTCACGGTCGCCCGTCGCACATCTGCTCGTCGAATTGGGGCGTCCGACCCCTTTCGCCCAACGACTTCCCCGACGTCGAGTGGGACGAGAACGAGTCGGACGAGAAGGAGGACATTGAGCGAGGACGGCTTCTGTTCACCCGTGTCGTGCAGCTTTCGGGCATTCTGGCCGAGATCCTCGAGACGTTTTACACGCTGCAGTCGACCACGACAATCTCCGACGCGGGTCAGCAGGGCACTCACCTGGTGTTGTCCATGGCCAAACCCGTGCAGCTGAAGCTCAAGGAATGGTATGGCGGGTTGCCTGCAACGCTCCGCCTGGAGTCGTACTCGAGCAGCAGCTATTCGCCGTCACGGGCGACGACGAACAGGCTGTCGAGTATCGGCTACCTCCACCTGGCCTATTTTGCCACGGAGATTACGCTTCATCGGCGAATCATTCGGTCCCTGGCGTCCAACTCGTCTTCCGTGGACTCTTACGTCCAGCATATCTGCCGCAGTGCGGCGAAGGCGCGCCTCATCTCGGCCATGGACTTTGTCAACCGGTTGACGCCCAGTCACCTGAGTTCCTTCTGGTACTTTGCGTCCAAGACAAACTTTGCCCTCATCGGGACGTTTGGCTCGCTGCTGTGGGCGACGTCTCCTGGCCGTGAAGAGGCCGACTGGTACCGGAGACGGCTCGGCGAGTATCGATGGACGCTGTCGGTGAGCTCGAAGCCGGGCGAGAACAGGAACCTGACCGAGTTCGCCATGACCATGCTGGACATCTCGACGGGCCTCTTGAAGAAGCTACCCGAGAAGCCGTCGATGAGTCGCAGTGGCAGCCTGGCGGACATGTCGGCGCCGTCGGTGCCGTCGTCATTCCCGGGTTCATTTGTGGGCTCCTTCGCCGGCGGCAGCATGCTGGGTCAGTTCAGCAACATCCCCAGTGCCGACGTCAGCAGCGTGCAGAGCCCGCGCAGCGCTGACTACTCGAGCGACGACGACATGGACGACAGCTACGCGACGCCGGTGTGATGGAGACGAGTTCAATGCCGTTTTGGGTCTTTGCGGGAACGGATAGAGGACGGGGCGGGCATTTGGATTTTGCGTGATACACAGGTGTTCGCAGGAACGGAGAGGAGTAGGATGATATACCGCCTGAGGGCCAGTGGGGTTAGGGCGCAAGGGGGCAAAAGAGAGGATGGGGAACGTCTTATTTACATCGGGGCGACGCACCTGACGACGCCTCTAGATTGGCACATGAGCGAATGTCGAAATGAAATGGCGTCACTGCTGTTGCGCAGCACAGCACAGGACGCATGATTGCACCATCAAGCACCTATTAGCCTTCCTCTTTCGGCGTGTCCAAAGCCTCGGTGTGCTGGCTGACCATGCGTTGTCCGCGCCAGCCGTCGAATCGACGACGCTCTACCTACCCAGCGGGCAAGGCCGATGGAGCGGTCTCGTGTGTCTCCCGTCCTCGCAAGTCGTCAACGAGATGCCTTTCTGGGCAAGCGTCCGTCCCCATCAGGATGCCTCTGGGCGCTGGCGTCGGTCCCCGGGTCGCGAGGCACAGCCACTTGCGCCACAGCAGGGGGCTCGACAGTGGGCGGCTTCTGGGTCCGCGTCTCCGTCCGCACTGATCCCCTGCTCGAGCTGTTGTTACAGGATGAAACGACAGCGAATGAAACGTTGACGCCCGTCCGCACGGCGCCAAGCGTCTCTTTCTTCACGAGGCACGTCCGTGAATCCTTTGAGGTGACAGATCAATTGCTAGCTGAGGGTGATAATTTCATCTCCAGCTTCAGCTTCACCTCGCTTGCCGTCGTTCTCAAGTCAGACGCGCTGCAATTGTCCCCAACTGGACCAGCTTCGCTCCCTTTTCTCAACGCCATGTCCGGAGCTGCCAGCAAGCCGGCGACGGCGGACGATGCCCTCTCGCCGCAACGGTTCGAGCGTGAGCTCAAGGACCTCGCGGTCAAGGCCCGGAGCGACACGTGGGCAGGCCGCGCGCGCGAGCAGCTCGTCGTCTACCTGCGGGCGGCCGTCCTGCTGGCCCTGCTGGGCGTCTACTCCAATGTCTCGCAGCTCAATCTGTCGCCCGTCTACGGCGCCATCCCGGCTTCGATATGGCACTCGAAGCTCCTCATGACGGGCTGCTTCGTCGGCTGGGCCGGCAACGTCGCGCTGCGCCGATTCCTCCCCGTGAGCGCCGCGCAGGCCCTGCCGCTCATCGCCCTGTACACGCCAGCGCTGCAGTTCTTCCTCTTCCGCTACAGCGGCCAGCTCGGCGCGCAATGGGGGCCCGTCGTCACCGAGGCGTTCACCCTGTTCCCCCTCGCGGCCTTCACCGCCGCCGCCGTGGCCGACGACCTCGAGGGCGCGCGCCTCACCATGCTGCCGGGCTTCGTCGCCGATGCGGCGCCTGGGCTCGGCTCCTGGGGCATGCTCAAGCTGGTGGAGCAGCGCGCGGGCGAGCACCTGCGCTCGCATATGGGCAGCCTGGCCGCGTATACGCGCGTCGGGCTGGAGCTCATCCTGGGGGTGGTGTACGCCGCGTTCGCGCCGTCGCGGTTCCTCGTGTACGCGGCGCCGCCGCTGCTGCACACGCTGATCGCGAACCCGCACGTCGCCTCCCCGGCCGCCATGCAGGCGCTCGTCAGCAGCATGATGTCGGAGAACTGGCTGCTCATCGAGCGCCGCGAGTCCGTGACCGGGTACGTCTCCGTCGTGCAGAACATGCGCGAGGGGTTCCGCGCGCTGCGCTGCGACCACAGCCTCCTCGGGGGCAACTGGGTGCACTCGTCGGGCGGGGAGGTGTCGGAGCCGATATACGGCGTGTTTGCCATGCTCGAGGCCGTGAGGCTGGCGGAGAGCGCCAAGCCTGTGGCCGACAAGGACGCCCATGCGCTGGTCGTGTAAGTGCGCGCCTGTCCCTGGACGAGCTGGATAATTGCTGACGACTTCTCCTAGTGGCTTGGGTGTTGGCACCACACCCTCAGCCTTTGTCACTCACGGCATCAACACGACCGTGGTGGAGATTGACCGGGCCGTCTACGAGCTGGCCGCAAAGTACTTCCAGCTCAAGGAGAACAACCCGCCTGTCATTGCCGATGCGGTGAGCTACACGGCCGGTCTGGCTGCTTCGGCCCCCGAGACGTACGACTACATCGTCCACGACGTCTTCACCGGCGGCGCAGAGCCCGTGGACTTGTTCACTCTCGAATTCTTCCAGGGGCTGGGCGCTCTGCTCAAGCCCGACGGCATCGTCGCCATTGTAAGCTTTCCCCCTCGGCCGACCTCGACCTTACTTGCTGACACGCGCAGAACTATGCCGGCGACCTCAACCTGCCGACGCCAAAGCTCATCTACCGCACAATCAAGCACGTCTTCCCCACGTGTCGCATCTTCCGCGAGTCGCCCGCCGAGGCCGAGGCGGCCAAGGGCAACGCCCCCGACTTCACCAACCTGGTCATCTTTTGCAAGAAGACGAGCGGGCCGCTGCGGTTCCGCGCCCCGACTGTGCGCGACTACCTGCAGAGCCCGGCCAGGGAGGAGTTTCTGCACCTGAGGCACGAGGTGGCCCAAGACGCGCTGCTGTCTGGCGAGGATACTTCAGTGCTGTCGCGGAACGACACGAGCGCCGTGGTCAAGTGGCACGACACGAGCGCGCTGGGTCACTGGGCCATTATGCGCAAGGCGCTGCCGGCCATGGTGTGGGAGCAGTGGTGATGTGATTTCATTGCATATTTTGCCAGCATAGTAAGCGTAACAAATAGGTCAGGTAGGCGCGTGTATCGCGCACGCGTACAAAAACTCAAAAGCAGCACCATCTCTCGTGATTCATTATGCAGGTTGCTCTCAATGCCTCCATGTCTTTTTGCTGATTGGCCCCGTCTATTCCGACTTCTTGTTGGCAGCATTGATCGCCAGCTCCTTGTTGTCCCTGCTAAAGTCGTCGAAAAAATCGGACGCATACTTGGGCAGGTCGATGCGGTTGTGCCCGCTGGGGACAGGCTCGCCCATGGTGGCGTACATGGGCACGACGCCGGTCCAGATGCTGTTGAGGGCCTCCTCGTTCTCGAGGTCGTGCTTGTCGTCGGCGACACCGCCGTCGCGGAACTTCGCGCTGCCGGACGCGATCTTGACGCGGAGGATGCTGGTGCTCTGCATCTCGGCGCCGGTCGGGGGCAGGCGGCTGTTGCGCCAGCGCTTGGGCACGACGCTGTCGGTGATGAGCTCCATGGCGTACATCTTCTCGGCCTCGTCGGTGACGAGGACGGCGTGGCCGAAGAGCACGGCGGAGCGGTAGTTGTAGGAGTGGTTGAAGGCGGAGAGGGCGAGGACGAGGCCGTCGACGTGGGAGGCGGCGACGCAGACGGGGACGCCCTCGGCGCCGGCGTCGCGGCCGACGTTGAACATGCGCGCCGAGACGTACCCGTGGATGTACAGGTCCAGCGGGTCGCCGAGCGAGGCGCTCGGGCGGTCGAAGGAGCCCATCTGCCCGATCATGGGCAGGGTGAGGGGGAAGGGCGACCCCGGCGGGTTGAGGGAGACGTGCAGCAGCTGGCTGCCGTTGATGAGGCCGTGGATCTTTTCCAGCGCATAGATGCCTGTGTGCGAGGGGCGTGCGTGTCAGTGATGAGGCGCTCACAACTTGAACGTGAGGATAAAGGGGAGGGGGGACGGGTGGGCTTTCTGACCTCGCTCGCCATGACGCTTGACGAGGTTGGTCGCGTCCTTGGGATACTCGAGTTCGTAGCGGCCCATGACGATGGTGATGCGAGCGCCCTCGCTTTGCTCTTCTAGTTACGTGTCTTGGGTGTCAAGCGACGATGCGAGCGCCCTCGCTATGCTCTTCTAGTTCCGCGTCTTGGGTGTCAAGCGACTATGCGAGGATGGCGAGTGCGGTTGAGGTCGCTGGCGAGTGGTTACTTATACGAGTCCGTGTCAAGAACACCGCGAGAGGGGCAACGGGCTGTCAGTCACGAAGGATGCCCCCGAATCGGCAAGCACCCAGTTACGATTAGTACATGGCCGGACGAGCGAGCCTGACGAGAGCCGAGCCCACGCAGTCTGGGGTATGTGTCAGCGGACCGGCGCTGCTTTCGGAGGGCGAGAAAGCGGAGGGCGGCGACGGTTGAGTGGCGGACGGTCCGGGGCAGGTGGCAGACGGGAGGGCGCGTTGGAAATGGCAGCCGCGTGATTGACTGAGCGGTGCGATGCCGCTATGCAGCTCTGCTCCACGCCGGGGCCCGCGGCGCGGGGCAGAGCATGGAAGCGAGGGGCGGCGGGCGCGCGATTGATTGCTTGGTTGATTGACTGATGACATGCCGCCAATCCATTCGTCTGCAGCATGCGGGACGGCGGCAGGAGCAACCGACAATGAGCGCCAGGCCAGTGGAGTTCCCAATTAGGCACCTTGCCGACAGAGGCAGTACAGTTGCAAGCGACGTGATTTGATGGATCCATCCCATGGACGCTGGAGGGGGATAACATGCTCCGTCTGTAGGGGGACCGCGTTGCTGCCGCCACGGTCATCGGACCTGCCAAGGCTGGAGGGGCTTCCGTCGACTCCTGGCGGCTGGCGCTGCGAGGCGTCCGCATGGCAGGCCCCGTGCTTCGGGCCCTGCGGCGCCGCCACCGCCCCGTGCCTATCGCGGCTGCGGGAGGCCGTGGCTTGCAGGCGGAGCTCCTCGAAAGGGCGCGTCGACATCTCGCGTGCATCGACGGAGTCGCTCCTCACCGAAGCTGGAGCGATGCAGGCGATGGCGACGCATGCGCGGCAGTTCACGACAGCCCTCCATGATGGAGTAATGAATTTTACTCATCACATGCCGGCCAGACAACTCCAGGCGCACACACGACCAACGGTAGCATAGTCGAGGGGGTCGTTCTGATTCCGTGTTGGCCTGTACTCCTCAACGGGCACAACGCCATGCCGTTTCCTAGAACAGAAAGGTCCTTTGCGGTCCCTTGGAGCCTACCAATAATCACCAAGTAAGGTGAGTAGTCATCAAGGGACGCACAAACAGGCGACAAGACGACATCTGCAGGTCCAAGTTCGGGCAAGGTTCGAGGTGTCACGGCATGCACGGCGACTTACACGCCGCCCGCCCTACAGGGCACCTTGGGAGGGGCTCGAGAGGCTTGAGCGCGCACCGCAGGCCATGGCCTGCTTCCACGGCGAGGAAAGAAGAATGGACCCCTGTCTTGCTGCTGCTTCCAAATTCGGAACTCCAGAGATGCCATGTACTTTGTACCACTCGACAAGAAACAAGCTCGTCCACCATCTCCATCTTCCACCGTAGTCGCCCTTCGCTCCCGCGACGGGTCGGGACTCTTTACCTCGCCCAGCGCCGGCTGCGACACCACCCCCGATCGGCGTCTGGGTACATTCATAGCCTGGCACCGGGTTCCCCCTGGCGGCGCGAGGCACCGACTCACCGGCCGCGCTAGGTTTCCGACCCAGCACGTGGACCGCACCCCAGTGTTTCAGGCTTCTCTATGCGGCCTCGTCGCCAGTCAGGACTCGGGGGCAACCCGTCACCCAGACAGGCGGACACCCTTCGCCATCGACAGAATGGCTGGCAGCCAAGCGGCTGTGGCGCGGGCTCCGTGTCGATTCGCACGCCAAGCGACAACAGACTCGGCCCTCCGTGCGCTGGTCGTCGACGCGGCGCGCCCCCTTCAAGTGGCTGCAGCTCCATTGGCGATGTCGATTAGTTGCGAATGCCTTCGTCCCAGTGCCGGTGTCCGCCTCGCCAAGCAAAAGCAATCCAACGCTCACCTATTCCCAGCAACGCCACCAATCCCAGACAAATGGCTCTCTCACTCAACCTGAGGAGCGACGAGAGATTATGCATACACTTGCATACAACCGTGCCGGCCGTCGCAGATACACACGGTGATGGGGCCCCCTCGTGTCAGAGTTCTTTGGCGTGAGACACGCCTGCGGCGCTCTGCCTGTCCGCCCGCCGCCAATGATGCGACACCAGCCCTGGACCCGTCGCGACAGGCATGGCCTTGCTCCGGCAGCCGCCTCGTGTGAGCCTCTTGTTTCCGCGAGTCCACGATGCCAGTCCGTGTTGGCGTGCAACCCGCTTGCAGACGCCCCTTGGCCGTCCGAGCCCTCCCCAACGATGGCTCTGCCCTGCATACGTGCACTGTCTTCTTCCTCACTCCATCTGCAGCCGAACTGCTGTCGTTGCGCGGCTGTCGTAGGTCGACATGGCGTAGTAAAGTGAAGAGCCATCATGGCGTAGCATTCTCATTCTCTTACTTTGTTTCCTTATTCCTTCGTTCCCTCTTCTCACCCATTGAGTGGGTGTTTGCTTTCCAGGTCCTCGCCTGGCAGCGCTGCCGCCATGGCGGACGCGACCAGCCGCCAGGCTCTCGCGTCGACGTTTGCCTTGTCAGTATTGACTCCATCTGGGCAATGTCGTAAAGTCAGCTAACGGGAACAGTGGCATGGTCCTGAGCGCCGCCGTCGGGACCGCTTCTCTTCACTGCGCTTCCGGATCCTCCTCGCTCTTTCGGGACGGAACGAGGCTGGTCCTCATCATCTTCCTCATATGCTCGTCTCTTTGGGCGGCGACGGGCTTCGTCGCTACCCTCATCGATCCTACGGCTGCGTCCGGGTGTCAAGCAGCCGTGGCCATTGCCTCTGGCTTCGACCAGCTCGCTCGAATCATGCTTGAAGAATTCTTGTTCTGGAGCATGAATTCCAACGTTCGGGCGTCGTTTGGTATTCTCTTCCCTCAAGCAGTAATTGTGCTACGTTTCATCCTCGGTGGCATTTTTGTTGGCGTTCAGAGACCTCAGTTCAAGCCCGTCTGCGTCGGAACAACGCTCGTGATTGCATTGGGCGTGGCGGTCCTCGCCGCCGATGCCTTTATTGTCCTCATGCTCTGCATCCGGGCTTCGTCTGTCGGCATATTCAGGGATGTGTCGGAGAGGACGGCAGACCGGGACCGGAGCAAAGCTCTCATTGTTGTCACGCTGTCCCTTGCAGTGTGGATTGCTGTACGTGGCTTACCCTAACGAGCGACTGCGCAAGCTTGCTAACATTGACAAAAGGCTAGCGTTCCCATGACGCTGGGCATGCCGTCGCTCGACCTTGTCGTTCAGATAGTGCTTGCTGCAGCTGGCGTCTTGTTTGTTATTGGTATGTCGAAGTTTTTTGTTAACATGCTCCATCTGCTAACACAGTCAGCATTTGTGGCCTTCTTCGGGCCAAACTTGACTGCGAAGAGCGTCGCAAACGTATCGCCCCGGCCTCCAATCAGCCGACCAGCGTATATTTCTTCGAGGGCCATTCCGAACGTCAACTCTCGCACTCAGGATATATCTGCGAAAGATGATGCGGACCGGACGTTCGCTGGCCAGCGACAGGCTTCCACGACGACACGACCGGCGCGGGCAACGCGATCATCCCGCCAAGTAAAGGACATGTCTGGGCTCCCCATTATAAGCCGTCCGAATCCTGGACAGGCTGAGGCCGGTGTGGGAGGTTTGCCAGTCACGGGTGCGCTATTCCCTCCCATGAGGGCGCAAGGAGCACCAATCACTTCATCGCCACCACAGACTCGCCCATTCAAGAAGCCGAGTGTTAAGGGAGGGAAGCCTGTCATATCTCGGCCAGTTCTAACAGCTCAGAGTGAAGAGGGGCCGTTGAAGAAAATCACCACGGTGGATTTGGCAACGGCAGCAAGAAATGAAAGAGAGCGTCGTGGCCAACTCGAGCCGACTCAACCAGTTGACCCGGTGAAGGCCTTGTCACAGGAGGAACTTCGAAACCAAGCTCAGACTTTCAAGAGGAAGGAGATTGGCCCGGCAATTGCGTTGTCCGCAAATCCGCCAGTCCCAGCTGCAATGACCACGTCCTCGTCTCAGTTGTTATCTCCAAGGACAGACGAATTGAGGCGGAGGTCTCCCCGGCAGCCAAGGCAGACGCTCTGGGTAGGTCAGACGCTCTGGGTAGGTCAGACGCCCCCCGGGCCTCCATCTGCCTCTGGCCGCCAGAATGGCGCAGCCTCGAGCATCTCAACTGCCACGTCACCGCCAGAGCTCCCTCCTAGGTCGCCTCTACGGCCAAAGACAGCACAGAGCATTGGGGGGCCCACAGGACCTGTGCAGGAAGCCTCGTTGGTAAGAGACAACGTCGTGAAACCCGCCGGTAAGGAATCTACAGCAATGGTGCAACCGATGCGATTCACCGCAGCACCCGAGAAGATGAGGCCTGAAAAGCCTTCTGGTCCTGCATCAAGAGATACGGTTGAACTCCTGGTTCCCCAAGTTGCGCCGCTCTCCCCGCGAGTCAGTCAGGGACTTGCCCTCGAGAGCTCTGGCAGCCAGCGCCTCGTGCATCGTCAGCTGGCCGAACTATCCAGGAATGGCTCCGTCAGGCCAAACATCCGTCCTTCTAGGCAACGGCCAGCATCACCGGGCGCCGAGGGCGAGCCTGCCTTGCCTCCCAAGACACCCGTTCAGCTGAGGTCGGCAAATGGGATACCAAGCAATCCTCGAGCCAGAGCGACGAAGACTCCAATTAGAGAAGTCGAGAAGCCGCAGGATCAAACAGTCATGTTCACCAATGGCGCGCGAGACGATGTTGGTGGCCTAACGCGGGGAGCGATGGACCGAGCTTTGAGCGATATCCTGAAACGGCGCCCAGTCGCGGACCACACGAGCCCGACTTCGAGCGCGGTCTCAGTTGTCCATCGACCGCGCCCTATTCCTCGCAAATCACGATACTCGCCATCTTCGAG